ATCGGAAATAGACTGATTACGCTTTCCACGGCGTTTCGCGCTTTCCGCCGCGACGCCGGCACGAAATCGAATCGCGTCGCGATTTTCGATTAAGCCCCTAATGGAACGCAGCCGGTCCGATTCCCTTAATACCTCCATCGGATTTGCGATTTGCGAAGAATATGAAAATCTCTGTTTGCTCGATCGATGAGCTGATCTAATCCGGGCGGTTACTCGGGAAAGATGAAGGTTGTTCTCTACAAAAAAATCAGTCGGTTTCTACTCCCCGAAGATTATTTTCCACGTGTCAAGCGAGTTTCGTGCGAGGAAAACCCGCGGCTGGAACTAGCGATGTCTGTGACGTGGGTTTTCCGGTTTCCTCGGGGATTCGGGTAGCGATTGAAGGGTGACATTCAATTCCTATCGAAGGTGGTCGCTCGAGTAATGCGGATTTATTGGGAAATTTCGAAAGGACCGAAACCGGGCGGATTTCGGACCAAAACCGGCCGGTTTTCCGGCCGGCTTTCAACTCTAATAAACCCAGAGACACATCGGCGTTCCGAGATATCTCGGAGACTAATTTCGGTGGTTTTCACCGTGAAGAACATGTACAGGTTATCCCTAAGGACAGTTGTTGAAGTTTATATAACGGGAACGGGAGTATTTCGCAAGTATTTAGTAGGATTGTGAAACACGGGAAACCGTTTAGGATAAGAAGAAGGATCCCTCTCTCAACGATACATCTTCGTACCTACGCGAAAAACTCGAATAGCAGAGAACAATTTTCCATTCCCTCCGCCGCATCGGGCTCAATATTACAACACAAAAGCGCCACTATTAAGAACCCGTCAACGTCTGGACCGAACAAAAGCTTCTAATTAATATAACATAATCTAAGATGGTATCTGTTAGCGATTTCTCTCCGTACTTCCTTTTGTGGAAGGGAAACGCACCGCTTCGCGGAGACAGTTCGAGGACTGATAGAAAACTCGGAAACTTCTCCCGGATCGTTCGAGATTTAACGTTTTGCATCGTTAAATGTTTCGATTAAGAATTTAGGCGACTATCGCAAATCGAAACACCAACAGCACAGAACCGTACTTGCTCTATTTCACTTCCTATCCAATCGATCCAAGTCTCTTAAAATGGTATCATGTGTTAAATTTTTGTGTTTGTTAAACACGAAATATATCTTCATTAGGAATGCGGGGGCGGTTTAAAACCGCTGTAAGAAACAGGCATAATCCTCGGGTAAAACATCCTTGGCGGTTCCAGGCTGATTTACAGAGACATCCGAAATGGGGGAAGGGGCCCCAGGAACGCATTAGAAATTCGGAGTGCGTTTTCTTTGGGAGTTCCCCGCAGTCTCTATTCGAATTCCGTTTTATAGAAATCCTTCGAGCGGCACGTTTCCTAACTATTAAATCGCGTTCCGATAACCGAATCCGGTTGTTTTAATTGATTTTAGTCGCATAATAGTGCCCGGATCTAATTGTCCAATATACAGGGCGATACTCCATTCTTTGTATCATAATGTAGTAGATTAGAAGAGACAATTCCAGTGAAGCGGTTTTGTTTTGGGAAATGCCGGAGGATAATCCGGTTGTCGGGGGGAAACAATCGGTCAAATATAGACCGAGGAAGAGGAAAGTTTTATTGGTGGAATTAATCGAAGAAAGGGAGAAAAAGAACGATGATTATCCCGGGGATGAGACTCTGCATTATTGCTGGTAGGTAGTCGGCGTAAAAAGGACGTAAAACGTAGATGAAGGGCTTTTTGTTCGGTGTATCTAATTCGGGTAGACGGGTCATTGGCTTAATAGGATCAAATCGTTTGCAAACATTGTTGTTTGTAACGAGAATTTGGAGGAATGTAAGGAAGAAAAAGAGGTCGTTTAATATACGCTTTTGATATTCGAACCGCCTTATCTATACAATCGATCAAAACCGACTCCGAACGAGGCATATTCGAATAAAACACGTCGTCGGAAAAGTTTTATTTTTCCAAAAAGAGTTTTTCTAATTTATTTTTACGAGCAGTCGTTTACAAAAGACCTCTTTTGTATCAAACTTTGCCCTGTCGTATACTAAATAAAAAAAAGCGGAATCGTCTCCCAAAAAAAAAAACTTTGATCGTTTCCATATTTTCGTCCTTCAACTGCGAGATAACTTTTAGGCTCGAAATGATGATAAATGAATATATTAATGAAATTCTCCCCCGTAATAAACCATTACTTTTACGGCCGCAGTCGGGCCGAAATGGCTTCTCCCCACAGCGCCCCCACCTTTACCTCTACCATTGTGAAAGTACGCCGGGAATATTAATTATTCCACCGGTATAAGGCTAATGCCGCGCAAGTTTTGCTCTATTTACGACCAAAATTCGGCCCAAAAAGCCTCGAAGCTTCTCGCAATTCAAAACAATAAGAATAGCCGAATTTTAGCGAAACGATGGGCAAATCCAGGACAGCTGATCAAAAATTTAAGCACAATTTAGCGCATCCCTGACAAACCCAACAAAGCCCGTTCCGCTAAAAAATTCATCGGGTTTTTCTTTCGCCGACGCCGGACAGGCATTTTAATTCGTTTAAATGTGCCGGTATAGCGAAACGCGGAGCGGTTAAAATGCCCTCGAGCGGCGCATTTAATCCACCTGAAACAGATTCCGCGGTTTCTGTATAGCTAAAAGAATCGTTTCCTGCTAAATTTTCCACCGTTTCGGGTAAATTATAACTCTATTACATTAAACTTTAGCGATATAATTTGTTATTGCTTACGTTTGGTTGTAATAATATCGTAAAATGGTTTTACTGGAGTTTCCAAATAAATTCACCCAATTCTATCAAACTCCCGTTAATTATTTTACTTCCAGCGTAGTCGTTAAGCTAGTTTATAGCTTTAAAAATGGAGTTTTATTTGCAACAATTTATTACAATAAATCTAGGGTTTTTTTTAAACGCGAATTTTAAAGTGCAGTAGTTTCTACATCGTGCAGTATGCTCGATACCGGGGCGCAGATGTTTACAATAAAACGAAAACGCTTTTAGCGATCCCCCATATGACCCTAAAAGGCCTGAGAGGAATGTCCGATAAAAGAAAATATGACAATATGGCTGCATGCGGTAGTTTCCACCGGGTTTTTTTTTGTAACATGTCACAAAGTTCTTCGCCAACAAGTGGGCATTATCGATCTGTTTTGTTCGTTGTTTCAATAACTACAATTAATAGTAATGAGATGATTAAAATTAACGGAGAAAAGCAGGTAAACAGGCGATTCGGTAAGAAATAGCTACCGAGTTTCGCAATAAAATAATCCTTATCGATTGTGCTATAGAATCGGTCCAATTTTAGTTTTCAATTGAGATGAAATACACCGGCTCGAACGCCATGGAGATTCGCAAAGTTCCCCACTAATTGGATTATTTTGAGTTGATATATTAGACTGTGTTACAAATTAATATCGATAATATTTAGAACCGATATTTTAGTTACTATACAAGCAATATAGTAGGTGAAAACGTAATCTGAGATGTATTGTTAAGATGTTCTTTTAAAGACTTTGTTGGTTGATGTACAGGAACAATTTTCTTTGGGGGTTTTCATGCTGATGAAGAACGAGTTATAGAATTATGGACTCGAAAAATTCCATTCTAGTCGAAACGCTCTATAAAAATGAACATAATTAAAATCGACGGAAAGGCGCGCGATTTCTCGCTTCGAACGAATCGATTTTCAATTTAACCGTCGACAAAAAAAACCCACCCGGGGTCTACCGAGAAATCGCGGAACCCAATTAACTTTTAGGTTCACTTTTATTCGACACCACGACTTCTAAATAAAACAAAAGGGCAATAAAAAACCGGCGAGCTAGGCCTTATTTAGCGGTCATTCACATTTCGGTTATGGCAGTGCGGAAAATAAAAAAAAAACACGTTAAATATAATACCCGACAACCCGAAAAAGTCTACTACTCGATCACGACTCGTCGCCGAATCGAAAACTCGTTAATAAAATCGTGCGGAAACGAAGTACTGTCCCTAATGAAATTCTGATGGCGTCTTAAACGCGCAACGAAAAAACCTCCAATAGCGTTAAATCGGTAATACAGGAAGAGGCCGCTTAGAAAGCAAGCAATACATCTAACGGAACCTCCTGCAGCACCACATTATAATCAAAAACAATGAGTCGGTTCCGGTCAACGGGCAATCTCTGCTCCTGTTGTGTCACACGTTTTCACGCTATATACAACGCGATTTAAACTATTTAACAGTACCATGCTAGGATTTTGTTGTCTGCTTAATTCGTGGAAAAAATTTGTGGATTTGTGGACTGATCGGCGGGGATTCCGACGCATTAACAGGTGAGTTGGTTTCCCCGATGGCAAAAATCTCCTTTAAGGTTACAATGAAAATTCGAAAGAGTGGAAAAAATGCGAGTTTCGCATCCACAAAACTCCTTCAGACGATTTCACCGTCGGGTGGTCGTTTTGTGCCCTTTTTTCCGCGGCCCTTCTCCCGTTCCTTGAGAATATCGACGTAATTTTCATTTATATTATGTATAGAATTCGTTCGTGTTTATATGGCTACATAAGGCGGTAAAAATACGCTAGAAAACATCCAGGTATACTGGAGAAATCGCTTTTTATGGGCGCCGTTAATTCGGAAAAAATAAAGCGAAAATTGGCATTTTAACGACCGCCCGACCGCCAGTGAAATAATCAGATAATGTTCACGAATTGTTCCAGTGCAATAAAATAAGCAGCCGGTTGAGTAAAATGTCGTTGACGACGACGAAGCGACTTGTCCTGCAATGTAACCGGCTAGACGTCTTTTTGCCGGGTTGTTTTCGATGCAATGCAACAAACTGTATTTACAAATTGCGATAAGAAATTGGCGCGTTTTGAGGAAATACCGCGATTAATTCGGTAGATAAATCGTTCGACACCTGTTGTTGGTTCTTTTTCGTTTCAGCGAATCCACAAACTGTTTGTATTTATTTATTTTATTTATTTCTTGTTGCAGCAGCAGCGGCGACGACGTCCAACGTTCAATCGAATTGTTAGACCAAGTGCTCTCCGAATTCGATGATGTGGAAAACGCGAATCAGGTTCAAAACGTGAGTATATGCGTTTGCATTTTTATTTACTTTAGAGTAAATTATAAAATGAATTTTCCGCTCGAGATAGTCGCAATTAATTAGTTAAATTCGAGCAAGTGTATGAATTCGAAAGGGAAATCGCCGACGAGGAATTCACGCTAGACTGTAATGATTTCTGAGCGAATCGAATAATCTCGAGAAACGGAAAGTGAAGACGATTTAATCGAATATTTAATCGAAATCTAATTTGCTTTTTAACTGCCAAATTAAATAAGGTAGACTGAGGCAAATGTAAGAATGGGGTAAATGTAATATTTTTACCTATTATGTTAATGTTTTTATTATTTTTTAGTTCTTTTGTGCATTAGACAGGGTTTGTTTCTTATTTTTTCTTTATTATTTTGTAGCTCTGTTATTTTTTGAAATAAATAAATAAACAACATATCAAATTTTAAAGGAACTAAATATTTTTTTAAAATTGCCCCATATGTTCTATATAATTGTATTGCACTTTAGAACCGTTTGTTACATTTACCTCGTAACATATTGTCAACATTATTAAAATATGTAAAATTGTTTTCTTCCTTTTTCAAAAAAAAAACCTTTTAATACCTCGATTCTTTAGTTCAGAAAGTTGTGAATTTAATGCGGTATCAGCATTTCTAATAAGAGAAAAAATAAAGCCACATTTTAGGATTTAATTTGAACCATTCAAATTTTCCAACCTATTCGCCCCAGTCTACCTTAGGAAAGTGAAGACAACTCGCCGCCATTCAACCACGCATTTAATCGAAATCCAATTTACTTTTTAACTGCTAAATTAAATACTTAACTCATCCGAAAATCGTCCATTTTTAACTGCTAGATTAAATACTGAAATCGTCCAAATCGTCCGACAGATCACGACATCGACATCGACGCCTCATCAACGCCGCCGCGCCGCCGCCACGCCGCCCCGCGGCCGCTCGACGACCGCCACCCCCGACGACGAGAGCCCCTCGCTGGGCGGCCATCAATCCGAGGACGACGGCTACATGAGCATGAACGGGCGCAAGGCCAAGTTCAATCTGTCGTTCAAGCCGCTGGCCGAGCACCGCGAATCGCCGCCCCCGCCGGCCGCCCTCTCGCCGCACCAGCTCCGGTCCCCGACGACGCCCCTTCGGCCCGGCGATCCCGACGATTTCCCGCCGCCGCCCGAGGAGGCGCGCCGGTTGATCGCCACCTTGTTGCCCAAGTAAGTTCCTGGTAAACTCCTTCTGTACTTCTACACCAACGGAGTAACCAAAACAAGGTTAGACGCTGGATCATCAAGCACATTCGCATCTATTGGGTGAAATAAAAAAGCCTCCTTACGCTGGCCAATCGCTGGTGATCAAGCGTTGATCCAGCGACTAATCTTGTTTTAGTTACTCCATTGGTAAACTCCTTCTATACTTACTTCATCCATCCAACCAACGGAGTAACCAAAACAAGGTTAGACGCTGGATCATCAAGCACATTCGCATCTATTGGGTGAAATAAAAAAGCCTCCTTACGCTGGCCAATCGCTGGTGATCAAGCGTTGATCCAGCGACTAATCTTGTTTTGGTTACTCCGTTTGTTGGATGGATGAAATATACATCTCTGGAATGAACGATGGAATTGGAAAAACTTTATTTGGAATTTGCTACAACTTTCGTCTTACTCCTACGATACAAAACCGGTAACATCAAATAATAGTGCATTCGCAACACTGCAGAGTGTAGTACAAGCAATTCACCGTCCAATCTTCATCGTCCTGTGTGATCTTGTATTTGCCCTTGTGCTTCTTGCTTAGTTTGAGTTTTTTCCTGGTGCCTTCGGTTTTGGGCGGCGATGGAGAAGTGTCTACTGATTGTATTCTGTCGTTGTCGGAGCTGCGGCTGTCGTCGAAGGTGCTGTTGGTTATTAGAGGTGAACAAGTGCCTTTGTCGTCTTCATCTCTGCATCGTTCGTTGGTGGAAATGGCCGCTGAATAAGGGCAGAAGGTTCGGTTGTTGTCGCTTTGGACGGCGACGTCTTTGGAGGCGGGCGGTAGAACGGGGGTGGTCGGTTGGACGGGCGTTCTACCCTCTAAAAAGAGGATAAGTTCGTGTTTATGCGAATTCGGCGTGTCACCAGACATACTGTTGACTTTTGAGTGACGTTTGACGCAGGTGTGGGGTTTGATTTCGTTGTATTTGATTTTGAACGGATCCATGGTTTATTTATAAAAAAAATAATGTTTGTCTACGGGTATTACCTTACACATTCGATAGGATGGCGATCGATGAGCTCAAAAATTTTGCGACGATTATAACGCGCGTTTATCACATTTCGATTTGATTTTTAATCGTTTTCGCGAATTTTCACCTACGGTCTGATAGATCATGAGGAATCATTCCCTATTTTATTGGTTAACTTTCCGCGTTCGGATGCCATGTGTAGAAACTTTTTTTTTGGAAAAATTTGATTTACGTCAGATGTCAACGAGTGACTATAATCTTCCATGAATCCTGTACAAACACAGGATAATTTAATAAGGGGGTAGCGACATTAGGTCGGACTTTAGAGAAGAGGGTGACTGAGGTAAGGGGAACGCAGAAGTCAAATTAGGTTGGCAACAAACACTATAAACAGTGACAAAAGTGTCAAAAGTTGTGACAAAAGTGTCACATTAGAACTGTTGGCTAACCTTTTTAATGAATTTGAATTCAAAAATGATTCCTAGTTTGTTTATAATTGCTTTTATATGTGCGTTGTGTATTATTTGACTTTTATTTATAAACGAAGAGAAATATATTGGTCTTTTATCGTTTACATGAACTATATACAAGTGAAATTTTCGCGCCAGACTGACGTTTGCGACTTTTCGCGTCACCAATACGTCACCAATACGTCACCAAAATGGAACCCTCTTCCACCTCGAAATGCCCTTACCCCCATATTAAATTATCCTCTACAAACACTCTACTAACTTCTTCTCTTTCACCAATTTACCTTCGTTTATTCGGCCAATAAATTTTTCCTCTATTTTCTGTTTAGAGTATCGCCGACTCACCGTCCGACGAAGCCCCACAACGGCGGCGGAGGCGGCGCCGGCAGGAACCACCACCGTTCGTTCCCGCTCACCCAGCTCCCCCTGCGAATGGAGACCATCCCGCCGCCGCAGAGGTTCCAAAACGATCACAACGCCGCCCCCATTATCATCAACGGTCTACCGCCAGACCCGATTCACACTGCCACCCAAACGACTTTGGTGAGTACCCGAGTACTGTCGATTGTGGGATGTACTCACGTTGTTTGATTTCAGCCGAAAACGAAGCATCAACGTCCATTCGGTTGGGAACACAACGATTTCACTTTGAACCCTCCACCGCCCCCGCCCGGATACCGATTCGGCAGTCTACCCTACCAGCACGGAGTCTACCCGATCACATCGCCTACTAGAATGCCCCCTAGAACTGTGCCTACAGTCGTAGAAAGACACCGAGAAGTCAAACGGTACATCTAACGAATGTTATAATTTATCGTAATTGATGTTAATTTTTCTCACACAGACATGGTAGTGAAGACAATCTATCGAGCGATTTGGACGAGACTTCGGCTCTTCGACCGCTCAGCGAACTGGCGGACGACGAGCACTTCTCGGACGATTCGCTGGAGGAAATGCCGCCGCCGCCGCCGCCGCCTCCGGTTTGCGACAAACGGGCCAGCATCGCCTGGGAGGTGCCCCTCGACGACGACGCCCTCCTCACGCCGGGCAGCACCAAAGTGATAGGCAGGCGAAGGCGGAAATCGGGTTCCTGCTCGAGCACCAGTTCGATACCCAACCGGTTGAAAGAACTGGAAGACTGGCCGGACCCGCCGCCTTGCACCACCGAAGACGAGGTCACCTCGCCCTTTTCCGACTCCGACGAGCACGTCGTCCTGCCTCCCGAGCTCGGCAGCGCCAACGTATCAGGCAGCAGCACTTTCGTCATCAGAAAAGTCAAAGACCGCAAGTCCCTGCAAGCCTCGTTGACCTCCAACTCCTCGTTGAACTCCCGCCTGAGCTCGGAGCTGAGCCTGCCGACGAGCCGGTTCAGCGGCGAGCTGAGCCATCTGCACACGCCGAATTCCCGGTACAGCGTCGATTTGGGCGCGCCGCATTCCCGCCTCAGCCAGGAGTTCAACTCGCCCAAGTCCCGGCTGAGCTTGGACCTGAACAACACCAGATTGCTGAGCCACGAGCCGGGCTCGTCGCCGTCGGGGCGCAGCGCGTCGAGCAGCCGGTCCAGCACGCCCGGCCGGTACGATGGCGAGACGAGGAAGCACAGCACCACGTTCGATAACATCAAATCGTTGGTTAGAGACGGGGTGGTGCACAATTTGGTGTCGCCCACGATGGAAACCGCTAGAGATTTCGGCGCAGCGGTGTCGCCGATGGTGAGAGTGGTCTCGTTGCCCAGCCTAGGAGTCGACGCCGAGGAGTTTACGCCGAAACGGGAGCTGGACGTGACCGTGGAGGAGGAGGAAGAGGTGGATAGTTCTCAGCCGAGCGCGGAGATTTCGCCGTTGAGGAAAATCGAGCAGAACATCAGCGAGTTGTTGGAGAGGCGCGATATAGAAGTGGTGCAAAACGATCAGTTCGTTTTGAACGGTGTGGAGTCTTTGATTAGAGATAAGAAATCCAAACCGCCATCGAAACCGACCAGAGACACCAGGCATCGGATCGATTTGCAGAAATCGAATAGCCACAGCGAAATCCAAAAATCCGAGGAATACTACAGGCAGCTTTTGATCGAAGGTAACTTTCACCACTCCACGCATAATACTGGTGTATACAATATGTCTTGTTTTATCTTCCGAGTAGGTGGTATTCCGTTTCCGAAGCGAAACGGCATCCAGAAATCGGAGAGCGCCAAGGAGATGCTGATCGCCCACAGGGAGCGGGACGCCCGCCCGTTGCCCACCTCCACGTCGGCGGACTTTCCCGTGCGCGTCGAAGTGCTCAGCCACGATTTCCCGCCGTTGCCGCCGTCGCCGGTCGAAGAGGACGAGGACGAGTACACGGAGATCCTGCACCCGGTGCGCAAAAGCCGCGCCGACACGTTGCCCAACGCCAACGAACCGCCCGCGGTGCCCGCCCACCACTTGCAAACCGTCTCCAACAGCCTCAAAACCAGATCGATGGACGGGAATTACTCCAGAGGTGAGCCTCGCGAGAATCTCCACCAGAAGGGGAGTATTAGAAGGATGTGTTTGTGTGTAGGTAGAAGAACGAATTTCTTCACTTCTTCGAGTAGGAATGTACCGCCGGAACGCAGAACTTTACCCACTGAGTTCCAAGAGAAACGCAGACCGTTCCAGAAGAGGGCCTCGCAGCAGAGTCCTCAAGACGAGCACCATCTGCAGACCTCCTGCAGTTTACCGGAAACTCCCATCTTCGCCAGAGGTTGTGATATACCGAGGACTCCTCATCGAAGGGCCCCCGACGTGCCCGGCAATCAGACCGCCCCCAGGCAAAGCAACACCATAGGTAAGGTCCACTTGATCTACACCAAATGTTCAAGGTGATGTTATTGAAATAATTGTAGTATTCTCGATGGTAAAAGGTGGTAATTGGTGATTAATAATAGGTTTTGTATGCATGTGGATCATTCATAAATGTTTCTTACTTCATCTTCTTGGATTGTTAACGAGAAAGTAACGCTTGCGATTGGAGTTAACACAAATAGGAACGAACCTCCGTTACATCCACCGGCAATTCGGAAACCGTTGGAGAAGAAGAGGCTGAAACCGGCGAAAAGAGTCGAATAACCGGTTTGTGATAATTCCAGGTAGCCTAAGCACGATCGGTACGACGGCGTCGAGCGGCGGCTGCCGACGGGGGCTGTCGCAAACGGGGCTCGAGCAGGCGATCGCGGGGGCGGAGCTGCTGCGGCTGGCCGGCGGGCCGGGGCGCGGCTGGTACCCGAAGCAGCGGCATCGCAGGCCCGCCTCCATCGAGCACCTCGACCGGACGACGGCGGGCGCCAATCCGTGGGGCGGCGACGGGACGGGGGGCGGGCGGAAGCCGCAGACGCTGCCGCCGAATCTGACGCCCAAGTTCTTCCAGCGGTCGCCGCGGGACGCCCTGAGGAGGGTCACGAGCTTGTTGATTAAGAAAGGTTAGTTGGATTGCGCGAGCCGAAAGCTTTTTTTCATGCATCTATATCTTATATTTCATGCATCTATAACTTGGAATTGGATTATTTTAACATTCTTTTGTGTCTAACTCGATGTGTGATTTTTAACTCGATTTGTGGGGTTTATCGGTCGCTCAAACCAGTTGTAGTTTCTTGTTTTGTTCCAGGCAACAATGGGAAGGAGAAGGAACACGGGAAAAAGGAGAAGGAAATCGTATCTCCGACGATTCACGAAAACGCCAACGGTAAGATAATTACAATTTAACAACTCGTTAATCTAATCTAAATGTGATTATTTTTTCAGGCGAAGAAGTCCAAAAGAAGAAAGGTTTTTTCAAGAACTTCTGGAAGAGATCCAGGCACTACTCCTTGGAGCAACAATAGTGAACCCCTTTTATATTTAGGATATTTTTTGTGTACATTTTATATACCTTAAAAGTAACTCGACAATTCTAACCGCTAGTATTAAATTTACTAAAATTGACGAGTAAAATCCTTATGCATTACGCCATGCGGGATGTTCGATGTACCGAATGTACACTTTTTTTTGGGCAATTTCACACCATTTGACATTGAGTTTTAACGTGGGCATCCGGTAGATGTAGATATTACATTACTAATTTATTACGTGTAACAATTTTTAGCAAACACTCTGTATTCGTCGAACGGTAGGCAAGTTTTTCTATACCAGCAATTTTTACCATTTTTTTTTATACAAGTAAATTTAAAATACACCTGTAACTGCGTTGATTACAATTTTTAAACGTTTTATATACTCGTCTAATTAATTGCGAAATAGCGCTGAATGTAATGTTTTCGTATTAGTACGTTTTGTTTTATTTTAAACTTGCCAACCTATTTTTGCTTTAATAAAAATGTATAATTGTATATTAGTTTATTTATATTGAACATATTTTTGTCTGTGTGTTTATGGTTTAATAAAATTGAGTTAACAATTCAATTCGTGCACTTCCTGAACCTTCCAAGCATTTGAAAATTGTTACATTCATTCAAATTATAGATAATAACTCTGTATATGATTGAGCTACATTGGGCGTTGAATATGCCGGCAATCTATATATGAACTGCTGATATTAGCTAGCAGGAAAAGCAGATTTCTCCTGGTAATTCCGGTAAAACTCCCCCAGATGTCTCTGCGAGCTCGAATGAACCGGCAGGATACCATCGAGATCGAACTTATAAGGACGCGAGTGAGCTCGTTTCAGCCAATTTATCGTTTTACTCCGAAGTCATAAACCATAATGATAGGTAGTAGACAGGCAAAGGAAAATGAATTACTTTTTTTTATCGTCCATTAGCCTGCAGAGTTTCTCCACGACGAGTTCTTCTTCATTCAAGTCCACTTTGTGGCATCAATTTTCTCTTATCAATACCGGATAAAACCAGCGATGAAATTGGGTTGTAAATAATCCACAAATCTAGTAAGTTTAGCTACTCAAAAATCCTTCTCAAGTTCAGCAATGTTAATGAGGATTCCAAATAAGTAATAAGTTATTGAATTTAAACGATTCGACCGGTGCTATTAATAAAGCGAAAAACAATAATCGGCGCATTGAACGTCATCCATCCTCTGGTACTAAAAATAAATCAGTAAAACAAGGAAGTCGACTTCCGATAACCGACTGGGCGATAATGAAGGAACTAATGGATGATTCCAATACAATTTTCTATACGATTTTATGTGTGCATTTTATATCATTATAATAACAGCTCGAATTGTTGTAAAATTCGAATGAATTCGAGATCACGATGAGTCAAATATTTATCGAATAAGCCGGCAAATAATCTCATCTTGTTCATCCGGCGAGTACGCAACGAAAATCGATGATAATTAAACCCTTTCTGAATGATTTCCACGGCAATTCATTCATTTAATCGGCTCGAATTGGATCCCAGAAAGGCGACTATTTCGGTCGCGACCCGAGGATATGCAGCAACTCTTCGGGAGGCCTCCGCATGCGCTCTTTAATCGAAAATACTTTCACCAGGAATCACTGCTGATGTCCCAACGATATTCCCGTCCAGAATAATACAGAGACGTGCCGATTTTACAGCGAATTTCCCCGTTTTAAATTCGCGAAATTACTTCTTTATTAGCTTCTTAATATCAACTATTGGTGAAGTCGTTGGAAGGGCGTTGGGAGAAGAAATAGATAAAATGAATGGAGGTGTTATTGAATGGTTTTTGAAGGACGCCAATGTTTTCAGGACTCGCGAAGGCTCATCGTTCGGATCGATAGAAAGGGAGAGTCGGGTGGAATTCGGCGAGATGGGCGCAGGATGAAGTTAAAAGCCGGCTATAAAAACAACAATTTAATATCACCGGCTGTAGCTTTCGCTTCCTCTCCGATTATTTCGGAATTAGAAAAACCGCATCGACCACAATTTGTTTTAGAGAAATAACAAACAGGATCCTGCTATTTTTTTTAGTTCGTTTGTCTCCAGATATCCGATACCGAGCATCTGGTCTGCCCGTTAACTATAAACATGTTAAAAATAATTACCGAATTTTATTTTTAAACGGATAACCGTTATATAAATTAGAACTGCGTTAATCTGCCATAAACTAGCATTAAACGCAGTTTAAATCGTTGTGTTACAAAACGTAAGCCATAAGAGTTTATAACTGGTTGCTCTAAACTATTCATTAGAATTAAAATCTACACATCTTTCGATTTCACTCTTCACTCTCCCGTTCACCATTTTCTGGTTCTTTCCAATCCAACCCCAACCTTGTTGAATGCTCATCGTAATTGGATTAGGCTGTAGAGCACACACCGGTGGTTTTAGTCGGGGGTATTCAATCCCCCGTTTTCCAATAGGCCTGTAATTGCGATAATCCCCGTAAGTTTTTCGCGTTTACCGGGAAACAAAGGACTTTCCAGTTTTCCAGAAATTGATAAATCCTGCGTCGACGAACCGAGCACAAAAGGGTCTGGATATAGAAGATGGTTTTAATGTAAAACGCGAAGATGAGCTGAATTGTTTCTGTCTTCGATTCGAGTTTGAAGCTTCTTTTTTGTGCGATAAATGCTTCTAAGTAGTTATCTCAATCCTGGGAAATTCCTGTTGGTCTTTTCGAGTGATTCATGGAGTAATTCGAGTGTATGAATTTTCTGATTCAACAAATCAATACGCTTACAACGTTACTGTGACATCACAAATGAAATATTTGCGAGAGGGATTCACAGTGGAATACTCGATGTCTGGGAATGTCTTCGAGAAATATTTGTAATTATTTCAAACGTAAAATTGGTTTTTTTTTATAAATTTATCTATTACAAAATTTTCGTATTCAGTTTTATGCGATAATCGATTTCTTTTATCGCCGTATTACTAATGTGTACTTAACGATTATCTGTTATTTGCGATTGAACATGATCGTTCACAAGCAGAAAGGCCGCTAAGATTATTAACCGGTTTAAAGCTGAATATTTTACTTCATGAATCGAAGAATAATTATTTTTTTATCACAGGCAGCTTTATCTGCGTTCTAAAAGCACTCTAAAATTTATGTAAGCTAAAGTAACTCACAAATTCTTTTACAAGCAAAGGGGAATCTTCCTGTATATGATGTAAACATAAAGTACCTATAATTACTTAATTTGCTAATAAATGATGATGGAATTAAATCTCTCGATGAAAAAGTAAATTTAATAGGATTTTAATAATGAAGCGATGTGGAAAAAGTGTTCCTTTTAAAACCACTTAAACCGCATTCGAGATAAAAAAGCTATTTTAAATATTCTTAATCTATCGGTTAGTTGCTAACAGAAAAAACAATGATATAAACTCGATTTCGTTTTTTAATACTATGCACTGAATATTTCCCAACTGCGTTCGATTCAAACAAAGGCCCGAATCAAACCTGTTGTGAATCGAATACAAAATTGCACGCAGCAATTTGTGATGATGAAGATAAAGCGGGCGGTGATGAAAGTTGTTGCAATAACAATTATTCGACGTCGTTTAGCGGAAATTTCAGGGAGGTCGAAATGATGATCCGATTTACGAACAATCCGCGGCCCCCGGTAATTAACTCGAGAAAATAACTCGAACGGCCCTGGAATTTCTTCCAGCGTGTAAAGTGTGCAAACGGCATCGGCGGAATTCCTGATAATCGGTCTAAATGCCGGAGCATCGTTAAAAAATACGCGGAAAAAGGGGAGCGACTTGAAGAGATGTATTTCCATTTGTTGTTCAGTTGGGTTTTTTATTTAACAGGGCCGGATCGAACTCGACCAGTTTTTTTTCTAAGAGAGTAAATTATATTTAATAATAGAAACGTACATACATCAGGCTTGATGCGAAGTATCATAAACATTCTTATCTTATTTTTTACATACGTCCGGCTTAAAATTTATCACCGTAATTACGGTTTCTATTTTCGCTCGTTTACAACCTTTAGAACTGAAATCGTTGAGTAATGTAATGAAGATTCGCTAGGAGTGAATTGGACTAAAAATTATTGACTACTCCCGGTTAAAAATATCGATTAACGGGGGTATTTGATGATTTTTTCATTCAATCTATTTGATGCATTTGTTGTTATCTTCGAGACGATAATATACTCGAGTATGAAAGATAAAAGACAATTTTTATGTTGTTTCGAGTGGAAATAACATCAAACATAAAAAATAATACATCATTATCCTTCGACTTTCAACTGATACAAAATGAAGATCAAATTTCCCTCGTCTAAATTGAAAAACGGGACGGGATGTGGATTTATGCGGAATTTTATTAGTCATCTAACCGCATAATATATAGGTGTTAAATGAAATCAACAAACGACTTTAATATACAAATTTATTATTTAGATACACAATATATCCCTTGCGAATTATATCAGAAACATTTTACAAAGCTACTGTTCGATTTAAATCTCCGATTTAAATTGGAAAGTAAAGAAAATCGTTCGTCGCATACCAAGACATTTTTCTGAGCGTTTACGCGTTAAATACAATCATTACAATGTTACAGGCTCTTCGAAACAAACTACAAAAGGCTTTTTCGAAAAAAAATTAAAATACTTTCGATTGGTGTGACAGTCTAAAAGGGGCCTGTATAGGCGAATGCATCAGAAAATTCTTAGTAACTAAATTTAGTTACTTGCTTTTATCCAATAAACAACCGTCGTTTATTTTTTACAGTATTTTTAAATATTTATGCAATACATTAATGTGTACGATAGCGTGTAATAAACATTGTAAGAGGATAATTTACAACAAGAAATGAAGATATCGATGATTCAATTTATGGATTCCTGCAAAACGAATAAAACGCTATAATGAAATTAATTACTGCTGATAAGTAATCGAAGCTATTATTAGAAAACCATCACGGTTTCGATTCAGATAAACAACCATTAGTCTATACAGGCCTTTGGATAAATACTGGCGAAAAATCATTAAAACTAACCGAATTATATTATCACAAAATGAGTATGTGTCCAGTTTAAACTAGTGCTGCGAATTTAGAATGTAAAGCCGACACCAATCGTAGCCGGAATGAATTATAAAAGCAGTCGGATTTTTCGAAAAAAATAACTCAAAAACAGGTGTTTTTCTAAATATCTCAAAATTAAAATTAAGCGCCAAACGAAAATAGCATTAATAAATCGAACAAGCTCAAAAAAGGCAACAAAAGCGATTATCAAACTTCCACATTTACACGTAAAAAAACTGATATTAGTGTCAGATTCGAAAATCCATTATTGAGATATTTAATTTAGACAAACACCCGGCAAATTTTATTTTGTGCTCGATTTTACGTTTCCTCCGCTTACAGGAGATTGATTAACACGTTTTTTGATTGCAAAGCGCATATCGAGGAGCGGTAAGGAGGAGTCGGAAAATAAAATAGAAACAGCAGGACTAGAGATTTTTTTATTAAAAAATCCTAAACTGTAAGTTCTTCAGTATCAAATGTTTTTTTTAGATAGCAATGGTATGAGAAAAGCTAACAAAAAAATGCTTAATTAAAAAAAATCACAAGGTCCCCGAAAACAAGACCCCGTCGAGTTTTCGATGCCTAACAAAAACTAAAAATACCCTAAATACTCGATTAAAAAAAAACAATGATTAATTGAGACCACAGTCAAAAATTACGATTGGCAAATGTTGCGGTTATGATACAAAATACAATTCCGTAAAATACAAATCCAAAAAAAAAGTTAATAAATTTAAAAAAAAATCTCGTACCACAACCTCAAAGAAGACAAAATGGACGACGATGAAATAAACGATTTGACCGATATATACTTTTTGTTTTGATAAAAAAAAATAGGAAACACGATTCCTCAATTTGATTTTTTTTGTTTTTTTTGTGTTTTTTTTCATTTACATAATGATGGATGATGCACTCGGTATACACATTGCCGGTTCGCTGTTATTTTGAAAAAAATACAAATTTAATAATTATAAATTTCCGCCGCGCGGCATGGCTGCTTACAGCGGCACACACTATCTGAAACAAAACAAAAAAAATCGTTGAAAATCAATATTTAATCAAACGATTAAATATTTATGTCAATCCAAACATTCCCCCTCACAAAAATTCCCCCTCACAAAAATTCCAACTACTCCACCACTGCTCGAGCGGGTTGAATGTCTACTAGTTGGGTCCATTATCGAAGACAAAAAATCACATCATATCCAAAAACTTTAAAGGTTTAGAGATTAAAAACAACAATAAAAACTCACCTCTAGTAACCGCAGTTAATTAAGTAATCACCTAGCTTTTCTACCACCGACGCTGCTTGTTGAGGTTGGATTGGATCTTCGTAAAGAGCTATTACAACGGCTGGAAAAGGAGAAACCGAATACTAAAATTAACTAATCCAACGATGCAATTTTAGTGAGCTATTTTCGATTGCGTGTAAACGATCTAAAGCGGTAATTTATTGAAAAACATATATTGGAATTTATTTAGAAATCTTCACGCTCTGCATTTCGAAAATTAACCGAATTACATATTCATGTCAACGCGATGGATACCAAACAAACCTTTCACCACAACAAACGTTTATTCGAAAAAGGAATAAATAAAAAATATATATGTATTAATTCAAATTTCAAATTAACCATCTGGCTTGGCCTATAGCCCGTAGAAATTGGCAAGTGCATCCGAATCGTTCGTCGAATGTTGACCCATATGCATTAAAAATAGCGTGGAAAATATTCGAGCCGACCATTTTTAGTAATATGAAAAACTCCGCAGTAATATGAAACAAAAAAATAATAAATTTCAAACTTACCTTGTTGGGTTTTCATGCAATGCACACCGACTTTGCCCAATTTCGCCCTAATAACACGATCCGTCCCTGATAGGTATATGTATCGGTTACCGGCTAGAGTGACGCCCGAGGACGTGAGGATGTCTTGTTTGTCGAAACCTTGAACTAATTTCGCTAGTTCTTCTTTTGATACCTGCAACAATGTCAAAAAAAAACACTATAAAACGAGCTTCGACCGAGCACAAAGAGATCATAAAAATTGGGGCTCCATATAATGGTTCCCGATGGACGAGAGACCTCAACTAAAAGCGAACCTGTTTTTTTATAGACGAAATTATTTGCAAGTGGTATTGTAAAGTGATGATTAAAATTTACGATGGCATTTTAAATATTGACGACTGGCTACTTCTTTTTTTGCAAACACCAGACGAGTCCATAAAAGAGGGCGATATTAAATTTTAATTGCGTGTATATCATAAATAAATTTTATATAAAATACAACAATAACCTCTCGGCGGGGTTTTATTTATATTTCAACGTTGGAATTCTTACAATACAGTTGAAGAAATTGTTTTTATTAATCAGGATGGTTAAAGAATTGCAAATTTAACATCTTTATGTATCGGTAACCCATAAATTAGTTGCATGGAAGGTCTTTCGAACAAAAAACCAACGTCGATTCGCTCGCATTTTTACATCAGAACGCGTTTAGAAATTTATTCCACGTTAAAAATTTCAAATTTCCAATAAGCGGTGAACTTTCTTCGTCAGTGAAAGTAACGTTTTCCCATTTTAAAAATACTAATTTATCGCATACGTGGAATAAGAAATCGAAATTTTCATTAGATCAAAACATCTTATTATAATTTGGCAGATTAATTGGAGAACAGTTCGAGTTATTTCGAGACTTTTCTAGAATCTCGTTATTGCGACAAGAAAATCTATTTGAAAAGCATGTTATTCGGGTCAGGTCGTTCGATTTTTGCGCCTTTCAAAGTCACGATGTTATTGTAGGTCAATGAAAACGCGATATACAAACAACGCATAGGGGGCTACAAATGGTTATACAAACAAACAAAAACTAATTTAAAAACTACACTCACTTAAAACCAGCTCGTGTAATAATTTTGTCAGAGGCGTAATCTTATTAATTATACTAATTAATTAGTCGATTTTCAATTAACTCGATACGAAGATACCTAACGTCCGTTAAATCAGAATTATACACGCAAAGAAAATCGAATCAATTGATTATGTTGGGACGCGAAACAACAACAAATATCACTTTCGAGAAGCGCCTTATCGAAATCAATTTTCTAAACGAAAGTAATAAATCGAAACAAGAACCATACACAGCGTACAAAAATTTATTATTCACAATATTTTTCTTTTCGTACATAAAAATATTTACGACCGAGACACCAGCTTTAATCAAACGCGCCACACTTCATAAACAGGCGAACATCTCACACGTATTTCCATATTTGTCACAAACGATTTTTTTTGTTCTGCTTCTTTTTCTTCTGGAACATCTGGCGAACAGATAGAGAAACGGCGACAAGGTTCGAATAACAAATTTTCTAACCGTCGAATTGGCCTTTAATCGAGCTACAAGACAGCACTATTATCAATCGAAAACGATTACAATGATTGCATTAAAACGGATAAATCTAAATATCGATGGCCGGTGTTAACACCATGTCATAACACCGAATCTAGTGCAAGTCTTTAATAGGAAAATTCAATGCCGCACGAAGGCGATCTTGATCTTATTGACTTAGCGAGAGGGCAAAATACTCTCTTGGGATCACTATAAAAAATTACACGACACTATAAAAAAAACAGGAGTTACAGAAAGCAAACGCTACTCCAAAGGTCGCCAGATTCGCTTGACATTTCCATGTTAATTAAATTTGCTGCAATAAAAAGCACTTGCATTCGATCACAAATTTCAGGCGATATTTCTATGCATATACTCAAAATGAAGGGCGAGTAGAGTGGGAATGTTCCTTTTTTTGATCCAACCTGTACCGACAAAAACTAATTCGAAAGAGAGGACCCCGCGGTTGCATAATTCATAAAACCATTAGAGGAAATGATGTCCTCTTTATAAACCTAATTTAGCGATAACCACTTAACTAGATGACTTTTTTTTCGGGCGCAACAAGCATTATTTTCTCGGTTAAACTACCTGTAGTACCACTAATAAATCTACATTATTAAAAAAAATTCCACATCTCTATCTGAATTGATTTAGTCCAATATATTTCTGTGTTTAATAGAATCGCCCGCCTATGAATGCACCGGCAAAAAAAATCGTTTAACAAACAAAATGAGTCATTTCGATCTAACAAGGAGACGTTCGAAACCGTTCACCATCATTTTCACTCGAACGTTTTAACGACAATTGAATACGAAACGACCGACAAAAAGGTACAATATTAAAAAACAAATAAATTTTTAGCACGAACAATTCAGACGCGACTCGAGCGGGACATTAAAATATCTAATTCGTTTGTTAACGAACATTCCCTTTGGAAACTTTAGTGCAATAATGTCATTGAATGGCGTCTAAGTATACATACAGATAATGTCAGTTTTGAATTCGCTATGCATAGAACAAAATGTGGGAAATTGAAATTCAAAATCGATATACGTTTGTCAGAATATGCAATGCAGTTAAATTTCAACCTTAAAATATTAACCGTGATACATCAAATTCTGGATTTCCTTTCTCTAACAGCCAAGAGAAACGAGAAATGATTAGCGAATTTCTCGTAAATAACCCTTTTTACTGTACATTTAGAAATAATCAATTGCAACCGTAAATCTTTTATCGCTCCCGGGCGTTCTGACACAATCGAACGAATAATTTAGTAACAGGTGATAAGACATCTAATTGAATGATATGAAAGAAAAAAGTCAAATCGAATGAAATGGATTCCGGTTCGTCTTGCTAGAAATTACCAACTACAACCGCAATAACAGGTAATTTATTGTAACCGACACGGACAATTACCCTATTATATAGATCAAAAGAAAAACGCTCCGTAAAAAATTGCATTTTCTTATCGAATCGTCCAATTTTTTTTCGTACTTTACACTTACGACACAATTTATATGAATCAGCAACATTCCTCATATTTTTAATGCCATTATACACAATAGAATATTGTGCAGCATTAAACATAAAACCTACTCCGCGTTATTTGGAAAATACGATATTAATATCGCCGAAAATTTCGACGAAAAATCCGAGTCACCGGCTCGCGCAGTACATTTCAAAAATACCTTATCTAATAATAAATCGTGAGTCATGGCGCGCGCGTCCACTTATACTGATCTTCCAGAAAGAAAATCAAATTTTTCGAACGAGAAATATGCTTTTCTTTGAATTGTAATTCCTTGACTATTTCGATTATCTAGGCTACTAATTTCGGTCAAATTAAATAGCCATTTTCGATGGGAATTCCAATGGTTGTACTCGAGTGTATTCTTATGTGTGAGGCACCAAATTGTAATTATTTAGTTCTGTTTCTACCGCTCGAGTACAAGCAAATTACCAATTAATTTATCAGCATTTTTTCAAATGGCAAAACCGCTTTACAACCCAATTTATCGCCAAATAAAACAACCTACAAGAACAAACCATTAATTGTACCAATCGCGAATCGCGTAAACATCGCCTTAATTCGCATTTCGACCGATTCGAATTGCATTTACATTTATCATCGAGAAAATAAATAATAAGCGAGTCTGATAAACCCGAAGGTTAAGGCTACCAGAACATTGACCAGGCGAGGATTCCAATCCAAAACGATTCGGATCAATAACATACACTCAAGTTGAAGGACTGTCCCGTTGTACCTACACCCTTACGATTTCGTGACGTTTTCCCCGTCGAAACGGAAGGGGCGTTGGAGCTCCCAACGATCGGAATTGCGCCTGTACTGCACCAGAATTGGTCAAAACGAGACTCGAAGATTAAAAAAAAAAGAAGTTTCAGGGCCCCGAGAAGCTCCAAACTGGTTCCGCGCTGGTGCCGTTACTCAACCTACGCGACGTCTTCGCGTTCGAATCTACCACCGAGGCTAATACACCGAAATTTTATTGTGTATGGAGGAGGAATTTTCGGAAAATTTCCCCATCATTAGGGCGTATTACAAAGTATTTAACCCGGCGCGTTGGGTTATTTACGGGTTGCGACATCGACGTGTGACGAATTGCGTTGAGAAAACGATCGGAATCGGTAAAAATTGTTCGATTAATCATTACCGAATTATTTCGTATAGTCTATTCATTCACACACACGTCGCATTCGCGAGTCGGCCATCTTGTTTTTTAAACCGGCTACTTTACTAAAATACTGCCGTGGAATCTATTCGAATATATCGAATTACGCGTTATGCTGCTACTAAACGACTATATCTATACACCCTTAAATGGATAAAAGTCGAATTTCGCCTCCATTAGGTATAAAATAGCGATAAAAATCCTTCGAGGACCAAGCCCTTACTTTCTTTTGTTTGCTAATAGCCGAAGGATGCCGATTTGGCGTGCGGAGATTGAGCGATTTCGTCACGTGAAAAAAATAATACAATGGGGAAATAGAGGGTCGGTACTTACTTCAAAATTGTCCGATTTGGCCCAAAGGTTTCCGTCGTGACCAGTTATTGCGGCTTTCGTAACGCATTTCGATGCCAAGAGTTGCTTGTCTACGTAATCCTGCCAGCTCATATTGTTAAAATTCAATAAAATCCACTGCACGCACGCTTCTACTCACTAAATACTTTGCAACGAATACAGCAGTTGCCGCACGACGAACTGGAGCCGAATACTTTTGTCTGCAAATGAAGATTAGTAATGGCAGCGGAAGCCCGAAGTGATTAGTGCGCCTGCGCCTTTTAACCTAGTATTGCCAACGTTTGACAAATGATCGGCGTCTGTCAAATTTTCGAATTAGATTATTTCGTATTTTGTAAAATTAAACTATCGTTTGCAAACTTTGCGATAAGTAAACGTAATCTCATATTTTATAATTCCTTTATTTATAAAGCGATTGAAATATTATTCAAAATATATCAGGTTTACCAACTGAAGATTTGTAATAAACAAGTGGCGCCATCTTTTGATTAAAGGCGTAAATAACCAAAGCGGTGAATTTCAAATGTTTGTTTATAATTATTACATACATTTCTAAAAAATACTTAATTGTTATTGCTATTATGCGACAGAGTAAAAGACAGCAACAGCTGTGTATCTTTTGTGGGCTTCTGAGAACCTTTCAATATTATTTTTATTTTTCTATTAAATATGTACCCAAAGTAAATTAAACTTTAGAGACTAACTGTATTCTTATGCCTCACTGTGTATGTGGGCAATTAATTTTTCAATGATTTTAAACTGACATTTTTCTACTCGTATTTCGTTCAGAGAAATAAAGTTCGGTATAAATAAAAATACATTTATTTCTTGGAGTTTCTTAATAATTTAAAAAAAATTAATTAAAGGGAATGGATTAATGGAAAATTGGGTTTTAAATAAGAAGCAAAACCACTGAGTAGTAATTTAAAATGGAAATTACGTCTTTATTTCCAAATTTTTGGTGTCCACAGGTATTGACGACGCCTGGAAAAATGAGAAATATCAGATACTTTTTTATATTTATAATAATAGCGAAATTATGTTGGAGAAATCGCAATTTGCTAGTAATTAAATCAAGTCAATTAAAAATAAAATTCCTGATCTCTCCAACATATTCGATTAAATATTTCTGCGTTTTAATTTACTCAACAGGGCTTTGGTTCTTGGAGAGGTATGCGCTAAAAAAACTGTATCTAAAGAAATGTCAATTTAAAATCGATAAAAAAAAGATAAGGTGTTAAATAAAATGCTACCATTAAATGTTGTTTTAAAATAGTTTATGAATATACAAATATAGTTAGATTTTCGATACAAAAAAAACTAGAGGACCAAGCTAATTAAATAATTTTCGAAAAAAATCTTTCCAATACATACAAATCATAATATCAGTGATACATAATTTTTGCAACCCACAACAAAGCAATTACTATTCTAATAATAAATTACGATAATTTAGTTACAATAAAAAAATTATCACACATCATAATACTCACCTTAAAAGCTAAATTAAATAAATAAAATTATTACGAATTGATTTATAACAAATCTTTAGACACAGCATTATCGAATACATAAATACAAATCAAAGAAAAAGTCGAAAATTTTATCACCACTTTTATTAAATCTTAATATACAAAAATTCTACGTGATAATCCAGAATTTCCTTCTACATCGTTTGCGATTATAATAACCTTTCCAGATACCAACTAAACCCTTGCAGAGACGGATAAACTGTGTGGAGAGGATTACAAAACGACGGGTACCCTCGGTGCCCCCCGATAAAGGGGGCCCTCGGGCCTCCATACAGCCACACGTCTCCCGAATTATAAACACTAACTATATTTATATTCCAAAACTAAAAAAATACACTAGGGATTAACCGAAAAAAAGAAACAACAATTATTTAAAAAATTGACACTCAGAGAGTTCGTAGATATATTATATAGTAATACGAGGGGGGCAGCGTGCCTTAAAACGGCGTGTTCCTAAAGAAACGTATTGGCGCACAATATTCGCATATATGTCACAGATTCAGCATAGAAAGCTAATACTCACACCAAGTAGACCTTCAGGAGGAACGTCGCAGTAACACACCAACACTCTGTATACTTTTTTTTTAATGCTTTTATATGAGATCTGCAACATTCATCGGCATTTCATCTATTTTCGTATTGTAAAACTGCTCAATGTCCTTCAGCGTACGCTTGTCGTCTTCCGTAACAAAATTTATTGCTACACCCTTACGACCGAATCGACCACCACGACCAATCCTAAAAGAAAATAATTTAATCAAAAAATTGTCCTATACAAAATTCATAAGATTTCATCGAAATATTATACATCAGTTGTCATATATTAACATCAGCACTCTCAGCGATCTTGGTGGACAAAATGTCATCATTATAAATAGAATATTAAGATAAATAACAAACAAATCAATTATCAAATACAATTCTTGGTAATATTATAAATACATTACTGTGTAATTGAAAAACGTATTAACTAATCAGCTAAATTCGGTAAGTACTGATAAAACAAGATAAGTGGAAAATCTGGTAAGCACATTAAATTCCAATTTACTCTTATTATAATAAAAAAAAATCACTAACCTGTGTATGTAGTTTTCTCTATTCGAAGGTAAATCGTAATTAATAACTAGGGATACCTGTTGGACATCGATACCTCTGGCCAACAAATCAGTGGTGATCAACACCCTCGACGAACCCGTCCTGAATTGTCTCATGATCACGTCACGTTCCCTTTGTTCCATGTCACCGTGCATCGCGGAAACGGTGAAGTCTCGCTTGTGCATGTTCTCCGTCAACCAATCGACCTAAACCAAAACCAAATTAAAATCCAATCGTACTCGAAATCGAACAGTTTTCTCCAGTACCTTGCGACGGGTGTTGCAGAAGATTACGGCCTGCGTAATCGATAGAGTATCGTAGAGATCGCACAACGTCTCCAATTTCCAGTCTTCGCGTTCCACGTAAACGAAGAACTGCTTGATACCCTCGAGGGTGAGCTCTTCCTTTTTCACGAGAATTCTCACGGGCGCTCGCATGAACGATTTCGTAACGTCCAACACGTCGTTAGGCATCGTAGCAGAAAGTAAAATAACCTGTAACATAAACCATTACAGATCGTACGCAATGCATATTAACAATAAATCGTACTTGCACGTCGGAGTTCAACATTTTAAACACATCGTGTATTTGATCTTTGAATCCCCTCGACAACATCTCGTCGGCCTCGTCGAGCACAAACATTTTGATGTGGTTCGTTCGCAACGCCCGACGGGTGATCATGTCGTAGACTCGACCCGGCGTACCCACCACCACGTGCACTCCGGTCTCCAGTTTTCTCATGTCCTCTCTCACGTTGGTGCCACCGATGCAAGCGTGGCATTGCGCCGACATGAAATCGCCCAACGCTATGACTACTTTCTGGATTTGCTGGGCCAATTCTCTGGTGGGCGCCAGGATCAGCGCCTGGCATTCTCTCACCGACGTGTCGATTTGTTGGAGAATGGAGATGGAAAATGTGGCCGTTTTACCGGTACCAGACTGGGCCTGGGCGATCACGTCGTGTCCTTTGACGCACGGTATGATGGCTCGCTGTTGGATGGCCGATGGTTTCTCGAAACCGTAGGCGTAGATGCCTCGGAGGAGTTCCTCCTTCAGGTTCATCTCGTCGAAGTTGTCGACGACCTCCTCCCAGTTGGACTCGATGATGCCGTCGGGCTCCATGCCCGGCGGCCCGTCGTAGCCCTGGGGCTCCTTCTCGTCATTGGCTGGGCCATTTTTGTCCCATTCTTCATTACTGGAATGGAATACACACCGTTAGAATTGGAGACAATAGCCATAACATAAACAAAAACGTTTCTTTTTTAATCAAAACTTAACGGAACATGTTTCTATAAGTAACATTTCGCTCGATTATCGAAGCTTAATATAAATTCATAGATTCGAAGAAAGTAAGGTAAGTACATTGAAAACAATGTAACTGTATCCAGTTTGAATAACCTTCAATTCAACGTGACTCATGTAGCATATGCTATTTCGAGAAATCTCGAAATTCTTTTACATCTAATACGTATGCGTTTAATAATTCACTTACTGTACATTTAAAGTAGAAAATATTAACCGTTATATAATGCAACGTGCAAAATTTCACGTGGACCTCAGAATTAGTATGAAATATTTCGAAAATCGAACATAAAAGAAAGACAATTTGCAATGCGTTCGATTTGTTTTATAAACCGCTATTGATTGATGTAAATTAATAAATAAGAAACGGCTTACATTCAGGAATTAAGCAAATTGAAAATTTCATTGAAATTTCTAAGCGCCATGTTGGCATGGAACTTGGAACGTTCACGCCGATTTTTTTTCGGAATTAACGCAAAAGTACACCGCGCGTGGATTATATTCGGATATGTGCGAATTGTGTAAACACAAACAAACGTTTTTACTTACGATTTAGCAATAAACAATACCGATTTTCGTTAGAAAAAACAAAACTTACCGTCTATCTTGCAAAGACATGTCTACACTCCGCGTTTAGCAAAACGGAAAAGGCTGCTGAAGTGAAGTCAGGAGTGGGACGTAACTTTGCTACGCCCGGTTTGCGGATGCGTTCAGGGGGTATTGTGCGCTTTCGAAAGGCCTTCGGCGAGCGGCTTGAAACGAAGCGAAACGTATGCACCTGAAAAGATACACTGGATTTTAAAGGGTATGCGAAAAAATTTATTATTTTGTTGGAATTATTTTTTCGGGCGCCAGAACATGGCCGCTCTCGTACTTCCGATCTTCCTGGCTGTCAAGACAGCCGCCAAAATTTAAAGTTCATACTCTTATTGATATATGCCACTTGTTAATTTTGACAAAAATTTATTTTTTAATATTTAACTTCACCGAATGTGATTTGTTATTACTTGATTTGCGAAAACTTGTAACATTCAAAGAAAAAAATAAGGTAATGATTTACTTACTCAATGACAGATACCTATTTGATGGTTTTGAAAAATTGATTTGTTCCTTGAAAAAATTCATTCCGTTCAGCGAATTTCACGCTTCTTTACAAAATACTAACAAAATAATTATTTTATCAGCACAACTTCATATGTATTCAAAACTTGAAACTCAAACCTGCATTTTCACAAAAAATTCAAATAATTTATACAATACATCATATTCAAATCATAAATTACACAAATCCATAAACTCTAGATTTATTTACTACAATTTATTGATAATAGATAAAATGCATCTTAAAAGTAACTGCAATCACATCATGTACAAGGCTATAAATAAGAATCCTTCATAAAAGAAGACTATACGTGCTTATTCTGACATTTGACAGTGACATAAAAATGTTAGGTTATTTTACATGCTTAACAATTTAAAATTTGTTATTAAAATAAAATAGAAAAATAACAGAATACTAATAGAAAATTCCACACGTTCGTTTTTAGCATAGAAAATATGGAAAACTTAGAAGAGCTTCGTAATTATTCATCAAAGCTTAGGCTACAAAACGTACAGGGACCGATTAAATTCGATTACTCCGACAGTTTAATACTTGCTGTATATAATCAAACTCTGATAGTTTACGATGAATCTGAAATATCCGAAAACGAGCAGGTTCATAAAATAGAAACATCGAATCCTTTGAAATACGTGAAATATCTAACTATGTACAGTACAGTATTTCTAGCAACAGATACCCAATTAATTCTATACGATATCGACCAACGTACAATACTGACTCAAAAAAATGTTAATGCAATTGTGGAATTATCGTGGAACCATTTGGAAACTTTATTTGTAGTTATAGATTCAAACAATCTTATAACATCCTACAATTGCACGAGGAATATCATCAATCCAAAAGACACGGTGCAATTGAGTGCTCCGGTTCCTATTCCAGCACTCGTAGGATGGGGTTCACAGAGAACGCAATTTCAAGGACCCAAACAAACGAGATCTACAGATATTAAAGTAGAAGAATTGGACCAAACATCAATTGCTCCACCGAAAATAAGCTGGAGAGGCAACAGCGAACTGTTTGTCGTGAATTATTGTGAAGACGGGCAACGGTTCCTTAAAGTTTTTAACAGCGATTTGCAACCGATGAACATGTCGGAGGCTTACCCGAACCTTCAAGAACCTGTGGCCTTCATGGGACAAGGCCAGTGCATAGCCTGCTGTTCGATAGGAAACGACAATACTAAACTAGTTATTTTCGAAAAAAACTGCAAGGTTAAAGCGGAATATAACATAACGCAAGTAACGGTAAATATTTTATTTGCTTAGCTAGTTTAAATGTTTTTAAATCGATCAATTTTCAGGATTCTGTGAAAAAAATTCAGTACCATCCGATCATGAACATGCTAGCCGTAAGTTTCACGGATAAAAATCGCAACACTTTTATAAACGTTTACCTCTTTTCGAACGGCGAGTGGATCTTCAAACAGCAATTATTCTACCCTTCGGATTGCACCGTGTACGATTTCACGTGGTTGAAACTACACGAAAATCTATACACAACATGCACTATAGTCGTGTACACTTCCAAGTACATCGAGCATCACTACTACCGATTCGTGGTCTCCAGATGCCCCCTCACCGGTACAGTAGCGGTCGTTAACGGAAAGAAATTGGAAATATATCTTTACGATAAGAAAATCACTCCACCTCCACTGTATTTCACGTCTTGTATGAACGAAAGACCGATTAACAGAGTTTTGTTTCACCCGACAAGGAAAATCTGCGTTTGCATCGATTCCTATTGCTACGTGAAGTTATTAAACATCACCGACGAAGGAATAGTAGAGGAAATAGGATACTTGAACAACTACACTTTCACCGGCGCAGTTAAATTTCTATCGGTAGATTGGAACGAGAGTTCCGTAAACGTTTCGTTGGCAAACGAAACCCGTAAAGGAGAATTCAACTCGCAATTTAACGATATTTTAGTCAACGTTTATGTAAATGATGATATTACCGACTCGAACGTTAGATTACCCTACAACGACACCTCAATGTTGGCCTCCTACAAACACATCGACGAACCCAGCAATTTTATTTACCTCACAAAACACGAACTGGAAGAGAACAAGCTCTTCATGGATTTCGAATTCGCTTTATCAGCCAACAGGGATTTTTACGTAAACGACTCTCCGGTATGTGGAGGTGTTACATCATTCTACATATTCCAAGGGTACCTCATATTCACCCACTCATCGGCGAAACTGTACTGCATGCGTTTGAAAGACTACGTCCTGTTCACCTCCATCATACAATTATCTAACATATTCAGCAGGGAAATCGAACAAGGTGCTACCATACTAGCCTGCACTAATCTACTATTCCCGCAAATCATCCTGCAACTGCCCAGAGGCAACATCGAAACCATCGGTTGCAAACTCATGACGATAGATTTGGTAGAAAAACTGCTAAACGAAGGCTCTTGGGAGGAGGCTATTCGGATAATTCGCACGGAGAAAGTCAACTGGAACGTCCTCATCGATTTAAACCCAGAACGTTTTAATGACCACATAGAAGACTTCGTGAAAGCCACGAGAAACAACACCATGCTCAGCAATATCGTAACGGAATTCAACACGAAAGAAAACTGCTTCGATACCTTCTACAAAAACTACTCCCCGAAGGATTTCAACGGGCGGGAATACGACAAAAAGCGAATAATACACAACATTTTGCAGTACCTCTCCACCACCGATTGCATACAAAACCTATCCAGCATAGTAGCTATACAACAGAAGCATATATCTCTAAGAGCGGCCCTTAAATCAATCAAAGATATTTACGAAGTGAACAGGCATAGTTACGAGCAGATCTGCAGCAAAGCCATCAAGCAATTACTCAGTCAGGAGTACTTCAAAGACTTAGAAAGCGCCGCTTACAATCTATACGACTTGGACTTCCTCCGGTTGATTTACCACAACAGCTTGGAGGACCCGAAGGTCTACGAGCCCGAAATTAAAAACTTCAAAGCCATGGGCGCGTTAGAGAGGAGGTTCAAGATGAGCCTGCGCGGGAGGAATTTAAACTCCTCCGTTAAGTACCTGCTCAGATCCGATACGGTCGAGGATTCGTACATTATTAATTTCATCATCAAAAATCGATTGGAGAGCGTCGCGTACTTTTCTCTAAACGAGTACCACAAGCACTTCGTGCTGGTCAGCGAGCTGTACGCTAATAAATTATCGATTTCGAAGAGGTTCACCGAAGCGGGGATTGTTATGAAACGGGCGGGATTGTTCGACGAAGCTCTGCAGGAATTCACCAAAGGTTCCTACTTTTTTTTTTTTCATTAATTTAATGTTAAATATTATCGCTTGTACGTTGCAGGATTGCAATGGAGGGAGATAACCAGTTTGTGCACCACCATGAAATTAACCAGCGAAGAAGCCGATAAAGTCTACAAGAATTTAGCAGCTGAATTGGTCAAAGCTAAGCATTTAGATGAAGCTGTAATCGTGTTAGAAACTTACGCTAAGGATTATTTAGCTGCGATTAACGTGCTGGTGGAGAACCGATCGTTTCGAAAGGCTGTTTGTCTTGCTGAAACTTACAGGGAAGACGATCTGATTAGTAAGTACGAGTATGAATGAAGAAAATGGTGTATTGTTGATGTTAATGTGTGTACAGGGGCTGCAATACAACCGAAATTATTGGAATACACGGCGATTTTGAACGAGAAAATCAACAGATACAAGGAACAATTTAAAGTTTACACGAAAAGGTTGCAAGTTGTTCGACAAGAGAGGGCGTACAAGCTGCAGGCGGTGTCCTTAGGTCAGTACGAAGACGAGGATTTGTATCCGATGTCCGAGACTTCTACGTTCAAATCCAAAGCTTCCTCTCATCAAACATCGAAGTCCAGGAGGTAGATTCCAAATAAAACATAATTTCTCGACTCTCTACTCGTTTCGTTGCAGTTCCACCATGTCTTCGAAGAACAGGAGAAAGGAGGAGAAGAAGAAAATCGATCTAAAAGAAGGCGGTTTCTACGAGGATATAGCGCTGATGCGAGTGTTGCACATTTTGTACAACGAAGTGTTCGAATTCGGCGAGGAAATTAAAGAGATTTGTTTGGTGTGTTTCAACAAATACACCGACGTGGGGAAGAAATTGCACTCTCACTTCGGCGAGTTGCACACGGAAATGGTTAAAAGCATTCCGGATGTTTGGTGCAATGCTTTCGTTAACGAGGATGATCCCGATGAGTTCTATTTAGCCGCCATTATACAGAATAAACAAGATCTAGGTGATTATATTTTTTTAATGCTATAGAAATACTCGCTGAACGCTCGGGAAGGGAAAGGCATGAAGAATTTTATGTCAAATTAAATGTCAACGTATCCCGTAGTAACGGAAATGACAGCTTTGACAGTTCGATGTTTGTTCGTAGCAGACGTCATTAGTGTAGGTTTTTTTTTAAATAATTTGATCGTTTCTCGGTTTTTAGTAAGTATAAATGATCAAGAAACGTATATTTTTGCGAATTATTGTATTAAAAGCGACGAAACTGTCTAAATAAGGAAAAAATCTCTCATTTCGGTGTTAGTTCAGTTTAAACCAAATGTATTTTTTTTCCAGATCCTCAGTATAGCGTTCCACCTGCTACGAATACGGCGAATTCGTGGAAACTGGAGATATTTTCGTAATACGAAGAATATTAATTCGTACGATTGCAAGTCCAATAAGTTTTAAGTTCTAATTTGTAAAATACGAGTATATATTTTTGAATAAACCGTTTCTTGTTTAATCAATCGGTTCTTAATCGATCGGCAATTTTTCGTTTTAGGTCATATATTTATAAATATTTGTAACTAATAAAATATATTTACAATCTATAAATTACGGTTTATCACAAAAAGTTCTATATTAGGGCGATATAAATTATTTTAACGCTTTGGAAATCATACACTTATCTCTACTATAACATACAATATTTATCAATTTTTATTGCAATTTATTTGGAAGTGTTCTGTATGTAAATGTAATTGTAAAAAGTTGTGAAATACTGTAGTTACATACATACACCGTGCTTCATTCGCGATTGCAACATGGTCATTTCTATGAGTGGAACAAAGAAGGACTATTAAAATGACGGCTGTCAGAGTGAAAAGTTGCAATGACACAAATGTCTCTCTTTCCTTTTCCTTTGTAAGTGTCTAATGGAAGTTGTCTTTATCGCACCCATGGCCTATATAACCTATGTTGCGATCAAAAATGGAGCAACCTGTATGGTCATTTCTATGAGTGGAACAAAGAAAGATTATTAAAATGACAGTTGTTAGAGTGAAAAGTTGCAATGACACAAATGTCACTCTTTCCTTTTCCTTTGTAAGTGTCTAATGAAAGTTGTCTTTATCGCACCCATGGCCTATATAACTTATGTTACGATCAAAAATGGAGCAACCTGTATAACTGCACTTTGACTAGAACAATGAAAAAAATACTATATTTTATAGATATTTCCCCTAATCAGGCACTTATCTAATCACTTCCTCGAATAAACTCAACAAATAGCATCAATATGACGCAAAGAACTCCTCGATTACTATACAAACAACTAGAAACGGAACATTATGGAGATTCTAAACCTCATCTCTCATCTACACCAAACGCAATTACAAAAAACTGCATTTCTAAACCTCATCTCTTATCTTAAATGCAATTACAAAAAAGCGCAACCCATAATCAAAACGAGCACCAGCACCGGAAAAACAACATAAACCTCGGTCCTCGGATGACAAGTGCTGGTAAGCAGAGTAATATCATCATCTTCATGCTCGATCCCATCTCTAGTCGGCACCTCCACGATCACCGTTTCGTCCCCGATCAAATCCAACGGGAACCTGCAGGACGTCCTGTTCACGCACTCCCTCACGCTGTCGCTGTTCCTGTACCCGTACGTCGGCTTGTAGATATCGAAAACGGCGTGGATGTCGTTCCTGACGAAGTCGTTGTCCGAGTAGAAGATGTAATAGTAGTACCCGTCGGAGGCGACCGAGTGCTCGGTGAATATGTGATTGCTTTGGTACAAGTAGGCGATGCTGTTGCAGACTTTGCTCGGCTGGAAGCTGCGCGACAGCAGGATTTTGCCGTCGTAGCAGGTGAGCAGGTTGGTTTCGAAGCTGGAGACGCCGTCGTCGAGCTGCGTGAGGTTCATGGCGTTGCCGCCGTGCTTTATGTGCGAGTCCAACGGGGATATGCTCCGCTTCAAGCGGTCTAGAAGGTTGCTTGGATTGTTTTCTAGTGATTTTTTTAGCGCTTCTAGGTCTTCGGTGTGTTTTTTATGGTGGTGGCGGATGTTGGTGTTGTTGTAGTTGATGTGTTTCTTATGTTTCGATTTTTTGATGGATGCATCGATGGTTGGTTTGGTGTCGGTGGTTTCGATTTCTTTGGCGGAATTTTCGCTATCTGAAACGCAACATTGCAATCGTGTTTATCAAATTTATTGATTCTTACCGAGGATACTTTCGGTTTCTTCGTAGACTTTAACGCCGATGAATTCGGCGTCCATTCGGGCGCCGTATCTTTCGTGTTTCATCAAATTGCAGGTGTCCAGATTCTTCTCTCCTCTCACTACTAGAATTCGACCGCCATCGTAACGAGAGCAGACCTGTTACAATTAATTTTTTAATAGCAGTATAAACAAGTTTGTTTGAAGCATCACCTTCAATTGCACCACGGAGCCTTTGAGCAAATAAAATCCCCAGTACTCTAGAGTATCGTCGGGTAATGTCATGGATTTCTTCAGCCTGATGTGCTTCAATTTCTCGCTCTTGGTGGGTTTGCCTTGGAGTTGGAAAGCGTTGAAGGTGGAGTTCATTTTTAGGGAAAGGGATTTGCAAAAAATTGAGGATATCTACGATAAAATAATTATATATCGCCGGTACAATTTTCATTATACTTACTCCTTCTTGTAGCGATAGTATATCGGATTCCGCTACGGGTGTAACAACGTCTGCGAAGACTACATGTCGAAGATATAGGGGAATTATCGTGAGGATGGTTGGAAGGACTGCTGTCATCAGGCAGAAGACTAGCACCCGTTTCGCCCCGTGCATTTTTTCTTTTTCTACAAAATTTTTCATAATTTAGTAGAGTATATAATAAAAACCAGGAAGTGATAAAAAAATCTAACTAGAACGCCTTATCTGATTTCTTAAAGTACAAATAGAGCATTAGTATAATCTTCAAAGATATAATTTAATACTTATTTTAATTCCAGAATAGTTATACACGATTTAATGTTTTGATTCACACAAAAATATATATAATAAATATATTAATTTACCTTCTTTAGACAATTACTGAAAGGTGTACAAGAACACTTAAACTACTATTACATAAAACGACAAAATCAAAAAAAAGCCACTTAATGTGCTCAAGCGATTAAATCCCCATTGAAAAGTGATTAGGCAAACAGAGAAAATAAATTTGTGAAGAAAGTGTTAATTGCTGGAGCTGTTTGATTTGTTATTGTTGTAAAAATTAAATTGTTCCGGCAAATACAATGAGACGAATTGTATTTTTTTTATGTAAAACATAATTAGGGATGAATTAGTTTAGTTAATTTTTGATCGGTCGAGGTTTTAAATATAGAACGAGTTTTATTAGCGATTCGCGGTTGACTAAAATCTATAACACCCACGCGGGGAAAATCGGTAAAAGGTGGATAAAACGGTAATTATTTATTGGAGAACATTTACGCATTGTGGTCATGCGATTTTCTAAAAATAGACCGAGTTTTGCATTAAAACGAGCCATTTTCTTACCGTGTAAATCGAAAATTGAGTCATACTTGTGCCCTTTGTAATAGGGCAAATTGTTGTCACTCGATGTAATCAACATTATCGCACCTTTTAAACAGTTTATACTTTGTATACAAAAAGAGTGATTACTAAATAAAACGGCTAACTTCAGTGTTCAAACCGCAGAAGCAAAATAATTTATTGGGAACAAGAACATATAACTATAGAGCCTTAAAAAGATTTAGATAAACATGTTTTTATCCCGTTATCAAAATAGTATGTTTACATAGTGTTTATGCTTATAAAATTAAATTAATCTGTAATAAGTAAATTGTATGTCATGGGGATTTATCCAGCTGGATTCTTTTAGTTATACAGCACATATACTTATTATTATAAAAGATGTAAACATTACTTTCTTTTTCGAGTTGTTTTTTATTGAATTAAATTTAACTTTTAGGCCAATTATAAAATGCACAAACAATATTTAATACACTAATCAAACAACAGAATAAATAATTGTAAGTGACATGTAAAATTTTTTATTAAATAAAAAGATAAAATCCCAAACAAAAATAGTAGATATACTTACTAAGTTACGATAGAAAGTGGCTTCACAATAATATATGCAAATGAAATTTAAAACTAACTGGTATTTTTCCATCTTTTCAATGAAAGTTATTTCATATACATTCAATGGAATCTCCAGTGAAAGGCGATTTTACCAAATGGAGCAGCAGATTCATCGAGTAGGAGTTCTAAAATATTATTTCTTGTAATACTAATAAGATATTAAATTATTAATTTACCTGTATACTTTACAAATCGATAGCTATTTCCTTGAAGGTAATTTACAATAATATTGGATTCAAATTATCTTTAAATACCTTTTGTAATTAAGCAATTTCCTTAAGATATTGAGTAGGTTTGGAAAATTCTAATGGTTACATAATTATTCCATATTTTATCCAAAAATAAGAGAATTCATAGAATTAATTAATTAATGAATCATAAATAATAAATAAATAACATTACACTTTTCCTATAAACTTTGTAAACATTATTTTTAAATTTCTTCTTCTTTTTTATACTATTGAATTAATTGAACTATTCCTCACTTCACGATACAACTGTCAATGTCAAAAGTTGCGGGTAACGTCAAATCGAATTAATTGTTGTTGTTTTGTTTAGCAGGTTTTGAAAATTAAATAATTAAATGGCAACAATCAGAGTACCGGAACAAAAAATAATTCTCTGCGGCGAATATGGCGTGGGAAAAAGTTCGATATTTCGAAGATTTACCAATAACACGTTCGTGACAGCCACAGATAGAAAGTCGACCTTAGGGTTAGACCATTGTTCCAAAATATTCAGCCCTTCTGATAGGGATTTAAAAGTACGAAACGATAATTAACAACAATCTGTTATGTTTAATGAAATAAATGTTACTTTTTAGTTGCAATTGTGGGACACAGGCGGTATGGAAAGAGTCGCTTCGATAACATCGAGCTATTACAAATTCGCAGAGGCTGCAATTCTAGTTTTCTCTTTCGACAATCCCGCTTCATTTCACGTTCTATCCCAACACTTATTAGATATAGTGACTTACGCAGAAAACGCCAAAATATTCCTATGTGGTAATAAAAGCGATTTAATCGAAGAACCTCCTCAGATTACCGATAGCGAAATGGACAATTTCTGGTAAATTTATTACAGAAATACACGATAATTTTACATGTATTAAATTTGTAATTTTAGCGAGCAATGCCATAACTTAATATCGGGTATTTACAAGACTTCATGCAAAACGGGTGAAGGTTTAGAAGAAATGTTCGTCGATATTGCCTCCCAGCTTGTGAATATGAACAGATCGAAAATAGAACTGCAGAGTATAGAACAACACGGCTTTAAAATTGTTCCTTACGAAGAAGAATCGCAGGATGATGGATGCATTTGCTAGAAACACGTTTTTTATATGGCAGCTTACATATTTACCCTTTAAGTACAAGCGTTTTTACAATGCAAGATTTAAGTATTTAACTTTAAAAGTTTGCCCATGATCTAAGTCACAATTGAGCGTGAATGTACAATTATAAATTATGTTAATAATAACGAAACATACTCTCTGATGAATAATGTAAATAGTTGTACCTATTTCATTAATTCAGAAATAATCGGTTTTGTTTTCCTTAATACTTCACGAGTATGCAAATATTCCATAGGTTGATAGCACTGGATTAAAGTCAATTTTATTAATAAACGAACTGAATAATCACACTCATTTTATTAATGTAAAAAAGCTAGATATTTCTGCGCCATATTCGTTAAATAATTAGCTACTTGTGCCAAAGTGCTTGTTAGTTTTTTTTTTGTTATTATCGTTTTGTAAATAAATTGATATACTTTTAATAACACGCGTTAATTATTAATTTTAATATGCGAATAGGACAGGTAATTAAAGACGAGAACGATGGTCGTAATAATTTATTTACAATTAATAATATTTACAGATTTTATAAACAAAATTGCCGGCAAAAAAAGAAGTTAATATGTGGCAAACATCGAGTATAAACTGTTAGTATCTAGTGTAACAAAATATAGATTCAAACTATTCAATATTTTACTCTAATCAACGAAACAGAACCGTATCCAACAACAATAAGCGTTCAGAAAACTCATCACAACTTTCCTAACAAAACAAGCTTAGCTTTAATGCTGCGACCATTTGATAGTTTTCAAATCGACCCCCTCTTGTACCATCTCCCACAACGGGCTCATCTCTCTCAACCTACTCACGTGATAAACGCACTTTTTCGCCGTATAATCCACCTCATCCTCCGTCGTGAACCGACCGATCCCGAATCTAATCGAACTATGCGCCAAATCCTCATCAGCCCCGATAGCACGGAGGACATAAGACGGCTCCAACGAAGCAGAAGTACAAGCCGAACCGCTCGAAAGAGCCACATCTTTCAGAGCCATCAACAGAGATTCACCTACAAATCACCATTGTATTACAAGTATAACGTTTCGGATAGTCGAAATACCTTCTACGTAAGCGAAAGACAAATTCACGCAACCCGGATAAGTCTCTACATCATCACCGTTTCGTATAACGTGCGTTAGGGATCCGCAGATTCGATCGATCAATCGTTTGCTCAGCTTTTCGATGTGCGCATGATCGTATGACATTTCCGATTTGGCCAAGCGACAGGCTTCGCCGAAACCTACAACTAAAGGGGCAGGTACAGTTCCACTTCGGATGCCCCTTTCTTGTCCGCCGCCGCTCTGGAGCGCTTCCACTCGCACTCTGGGCCTCCTGCGGATGTATATAGCACCGATGCCTGGAACGGAGATGTGAGATATTGCGAGGGGAATTGTTTGTTTGTTACCTTTGGGGCCGTATAATTTGTGACCGCTGATCGACATGAGGTCGATGTTCATCGAGTTTACGTCTAGGTGAATTTTTCCTACTGCTTGTGCTGCGTCTGTGTGGAAAAACACCTTTTTCTGCTTGCATAGCACCCCGATAGCCTCTATTGGCTGCTTCACTCCTATAGAATAGTCACAAGTTAATTTAACTAACTTTATCCGTATGGAATATATTACCTATTTCGTTGTTTACAGACATGATAGATACGACAGATGTATCAGGTGTGATGGCTTTATCGAGCTCCTCCAAAGAAATAATACCGTTGGTTTTAACGGGTAAATAAGTAATTCTAAACCCTTCGTTTTCCAGGGCTCTGCACGAGTCCAAAACACACTTATGTTCCTACAATTACAATAATATAATTACCACACAAACTACACGCGATAAATTACCGTTTGTGTAGTAATAATATGCTTCTTTTTATCTTTGTAAAACCGCCCGACGCCTTTAATAGCGATGTTATTGCTCTCGGTGGCGCCTGAGGTGAAGATGATTTCTTTGGGATCTGCTCCGATTAAATCCGCGATGTGTTTTCGGGCTTCTTCGACGGCCGATTCGGTTTCCCATCCGTAGGCGTGGGTTCTCGAATGGGGGTTCCCGTAGTAATTGGTTAAATAAGGAAGCATGGCATCCAACACTCGGGGATCCTAAAAGTCGAATTAAGGTTATTTGAGTCGATTTTCGGGTGAGCTATGAATGATTACCAGCGGGGCTGTTGCCTGTACGTCCAAGTAGAGCGGTCGTCCCTCGAATTTGTCCGTAATTTTGTATTTTTCGTCTGAAATTGAAATATATACAATGACATAACCTCAAAAGATAATCAGGTATTTACTATCGACGGCGGTGCTTAATTTACGTAGCTGAATGGACTTTCTGCGACATATGAGAGATTTTAGGCCTTTTTGGAACATTCTAATTTGTTGGTTCATTTTAATTGTTGGTTTTTACTAAAAATACGGAAACAAAAATAATCACAAATCACAATTATTTTGACAGTTGACACATGACCATCAATTACGTGAAGTTAGCTTTAGGTAATAAATCATTAGAAACAAAAAAGAAGAATATAGGTTATGTTTTATATTTATTTTTGTAAAAACGAAATAACAAAAATTTGTAGTAATCTAAGGGTGAAGAGAAATAGTGAAAGTTCCTATCGTTACCTATTCAAATATCCCAAACACTGTCTTGATTCTTGATTAATCAAATCTAAACAGTATGGAAACTGAAGGCTCGTCAAGAAGATCTTTTTAAACCTTAATAATTTACTTCTCGCGAGCAGAAGGCGAATTCCTGCAATGACAAAGACCACGCAGCAAGAACTTCTGAATTTTCCCTTCCTTAAATTTAACAGTAGTATCCGAAGGAAAGTTAACGGACAACTCCAGGCATCCTCTATTGAAGACAATACTTTGCGGTTCGTTGGCACTAAAATCAGGCTTCACGTGTATCATGCCCTTACTCGGCTCCACCATTTTCGGCCTATTTAAGGTTTTACTGGAGCTAGGTTTGCTAATGGTAGTCACTACTTGCTCCTGAATAGCAGGCAGAGGCTCAGGCTTCCTGGACGGTACCGATTTGCTTCTAGGTTTGTGCACAGGCTTTCTCTCAGGCTCCCACGGTATCCTTTCTTCGGGGATCTAAAAACCACCAAAACAATCGTACACCTCTACAATTACTCGACCTCACCTTAGGCGGTTCGACGGGGTTCTTCTCCGGGGCACAAGCGTAGCATTTAGATTTCCTACACCGTGCGACTTCCTTTTCATCTTCGCTATCGTCGCTCAAATCTAAAGCGATCAGCTCTTCGATTTGGGGATCGTAGGTCTCGTATAAACCCACTCTGTTCAGGAAATTGGGCTGCGGGGACCTCCAAGTGTTGTCCACTCTACTCGTATTCATCACATAATTCAACCTTTGCAGTAGTAAGTAATTATCGTGCTCGATTCTTCTGCATCTGTCTTTCTCCTTCTGTTGCTTCTTTAGTTTAATGTTAACGTGGGCTCTGAATGGCGGAGGATTGTTGTCTATCGCAGGCAGCGCTGTAAGGACCTAAAACTTTTTATTGTTAACTTGCGGGGCTCGTTGTAATTTATTTTAATATGAAATTAATATACTTTTTTTCGGTGCTGTATGAATTTCCTTTGCTGCCAAGGCCTCACTAATAGATACTCCTTTTTGGAAATCATACTGCAAACTTGTGTAGATCAAAGAGTGCTAGATTATACAAAAAAGTGGTGCATATTTTGTTTTCTTTTCCATCGTATACCGGTTGCCAAGGTTAACTTATTGATTTCCATTTGCCCTAATTTCCACAGGGACATTATCAATTATCAGCAAAAGAATGCATTCAGTAATAACGCTGATTAACCGATTAACTTAACAGTAACAGTCCATCTCTCATTTTTGAATTCGCCATAGAGATGCTGCTACTTCTACCTGTCAAATTCCCAGCAATCGCGGCGGTTCGAAATCGAAAATTCCGTTCCGGTTCCGGTTCCTTTTGCGGTTTTCGTCCCGCCTCTACTCCGGAATATAAAGCGCAATGCGCATGTCGCTGTATTACATCCCAGTTTGCTTGGTATTTTGACGTTTGTTTTGTAAAGTCGCAGACAAGTTTCTCTATCTATTGATTTGTCCAGTCTACTAAAGTGTTTCCGAATATTCGGGCTGCAAAATGACCATCTTGACGAAACCGTTTTCGGAAAAGAAAAGCGACAAAGCGGTCGCCCCGTTGGTGGACAACGAGCAATTGCCACCGCCGGTGAGTACCTGAATAATTAGACTTTATTTAGACGTCATAATTGACGATTAATCGCGAATTACGCAGCTAATTAGTGATATTAAGCCCGTTAATCCGTCTGGAATGGTTTTGTTTACCTAAATCGCTCGAATAATGTCGAAAAAGTCCCGATTATTTTGTCTCTTTTGTGCTATCGTGATAGCAGAATGCCTAAGTTTTTTTATCATTTATTTACGTCCAGAATAATTACGAATTTTGCAGATAAGCGTTCATAATTATTCGCTTGAATTGTTTAATTGTGTAAACAGCGGTTTTTTTAATAATTTTAATCACACATATTATGTATGATGCGTTTTTAATGCTGTTACCACTAGATTAGGTATGTTTTGATAATTTTCACCGACTTAACTTTCCATTTGGATTGTAAATAGTTGAATAGTTCCCAGAAAAAATGCAATGGAAAAATTAGTAAACGACCAATGCGATGTTTGAAGGACATTCTGTAAATGTAGTAGATACAAAAATAGCAAATACCATCCCCTATTAGCAAATTACAACGTATAAAGATCAATACCGACTTCGTTTCCATGAAATGTGAGGTACAAAAAGAAATACAGGGTGACTCAGACTTTTTTTTTAATTGTAACTCCACTTTGAAGGTCTATAATTTCTCAGTAATGTAAGCTATAAACAAAAACAACTTATCTTATCGAATTTCGAAAAAATTGCATTTTTTCTTTAACCAGTATGTTTCATAACAATCTGCATTTACCTACTCAGCTATTCAGCTACAAAACTACAACGTCAACCAATCGCATTGCTCTATATCCACTCAATCATATTCCCAGCCAATAAGAACCCTCACCGAGTACTTACGTCACCTGTCAAAACTACAACCCTTTATTATCCACTCACTAGATTTCGCCAAATAAATTAATCGTAAATATCTTTTTAGTTGAATGCCAGCGGAGATGTCGAAGGGCAACCTCACGTTTCGCGCATCCTGGTCTTCCCGTCGGGCGTGGGTTCGCGCCATTTCACGGCCCTCACGACGCTGTGCCTCCTGCTGACGGCCCTCACCGTGGTGGGCATCGGCATAGCAGGAGGAAAGGTCCTGTACGATCAGTACCTGCGAGTGGCGCCCGCCGAGACGGACCTCGGCGATTCCCGGTTCGAAGGATGGGCGCAGATACCCATGTAAGGATGCGATTTGATTACTGCTAATGGTCGAAAATTGATTTGTGATTCGATGTAAATATTAACTAAATTGAAATGGATCGAACGATGGGGCTCGCGTGGGACGGTGGGTCGCGAGTTGAGATTTATCTGTTGGGTATTTTCGTAGTAAGAAACATGATTGAATCGAGGTGATGAATTTTTTTGTTGCAATATTTTTTTTCTTTCCTGTCTTGTAGGAGCAAAGATTCGCTCGATGAGACTATGGGTGAACATCAATCGGATGATGCGGATGTGTTAATCGATAAAATGTTTCCTACAGAAAATTATCCCGATATTTGGTAGGTAGTTCAAATGAAACAGGCTTGTTTGTGTTTTGTTATATTATATATTTTTTTTGTTTTTAAATGTTTGTTTCGATAACCACAACTTGGCACTCTGTGTAATTTGTTACAAATCTTTTTTTTTGTTGGATATTCTTGAGAGTATTGTGTGTGATTTGAGGGAATTTGTGTCCCTTATAGTTTTTGAATTAATTTACAATGACAATTTTGGGAAATATTTTTCTTATTGTTGTTTTATTATTCAGCTGTAAAGAAATGTAAAAAATGATGCATGTCTGGTGAAATAATAACAATAATAATAATATTGTTTATAGTGTGGTTAAATCTTTTGCTTTAATTATCAATTTTTCTTGCTTATTAATCACTCTTTGTAGGTACATTTAACAAATTAATTGTGCTTTTTTTTACATAGCTACATTAATGTTTCAATGAATGTAGCTTCAATAATGCATTTATTTCGCATTTAAACATTTTTAAATAAAAAGTAAATGTTTGAAGATGGAATTTATATACAATTAATCACAAAATTCTTTCAATAAATAGTTCGCTGATGACGATTCTTGAACGGTAGAATAATTTGTTTTCGCGTAAATTTTTTCCACCCGAGATTCTTTTATTCCAGTGTTTGTGCCATATTTCAAATAATTTACTATTTATAAACCACGTACGATGCAAAATGCACTTTTGTAGATACATTCATGTTGTCTCAAAAAAAACATAAAACATCTTGTTTTGCTTATCCAATCCGTACATCACTGTTTTATTTTATTCTATTTTATTTAACACATTGCGTAACATTTAACATTATACATCAGGGAATGTTTCGTGTATAATTTACAGTGTCAATAAACAGTAGCTGTTGGAGAACGACAACAACAACAACACCATAAAATAAAAACAAAACGAAACGTCGATGTAAATCATATCGATTTTGCAGGAACGACGACAAATCCGAATTCAAGAAGCTCTTCCTGAAGGATTTCTTCCAAGAAAACTTCCAAATCGACGACGACAAGAAGTACGAGAAAATCGACGTGCCCGATTTCAGGGACGGCCGCAGCGGACGGTTCATACACGATTTCAACACCAACACGACGGGCATCATCGACATCACCGGTCACAGGTGTTTCGTGATGCCATTGAACAGGGACGACGTCCTGCCGCCCAAGTCGCTCTTCGATTTGATACACAAAATGTGGGAAGGGTGAGTTTCGATTGACTCTGGGCGTTAATTAATGACGAAATAGCCCAATGACAAAATTGTCCTAAGACAATATAGCCCAATGACAAAATTGTCCAATGATAAAATAGCCCAATGACAAAATTGTCCAATGACAAAATAGCCCAATGACAAAATTGTCCAATGACAATATAGCCCAATGATAAAATTGTCCAATGACAAAATAGCCCAATGACAAAATTGTCCAATGACAAAATAGACCAATGACAAAATTGTCCAATGACAAAATAGACCAATGACAAAATTGTCCAATGACAATATAGCCCAATGATAAAATTGTCCAATGACAAAGTAGCCCAATAACACAATTGTTCAATAACAAAATAGCCCAATGACAAAATAGTCCAATGGCAAAATAGCCCAATGACAAAATAGCCCAATAACACAATTGTTCAATAACAAAATAGCCCAATGACAAAATATCCCTGTGCCCTTGCTCTGAATCAATACAGTAAACTACCGTAACAATCACCTAGTTAACTGTTTTATCGAATTATTAATTCCACTTTTGATTCATTTGTTGGCGAACGGAGCATAAAGTAACCGCGTACTCGAATTATTAACATTGTTGAATTTTTGCCGGGGAATAATTGGTATTTCCAACTGCAACGAGCGTATAATTTTGTGTCATTGTGTGACCTTTAAACGTGATTTTTGTCGAGGATATTGATGTTTATTTTTTTAGATACTACAAAGTCAACACGGCTTTGGTTAGAAGAGACATGAGAGTGGTACTTCCTCCTATAACAGATACGAAGAGCATCGGGGGGTACATAGCGAACGAGTGCGATGGATTGCCCATTTATAGATTGGAGAAATTCGTTGGAGGAGGTAAGATAGTTGTGGGATTATTATCTTATCGAAAATGTTGGTTAACCGGGGAATTTTTATCTAACGGTTTGTTTTTGTTGCAGTGGTGAAGAGATCGGTGAAGTACCAATCTGATGTGAAATTCGCCGATTTCGCCGGCAAGGGAATTTCTCAAATCGAAATTATGAACATCGATGATGTCATCGATTACGAGAAGAATTTGAAGAGTCATTAGATGTTTATAAACAAATAATTGTTTACACTATGAAATATTATTATAATAAACGAGTTTAATAGTTGAAAGAGCGTAACGGAAATTTCGAGTTTTTTTGCTTTATATTTGTATTTCGAAATTTCATCTTGTATATGTAAAATGTATTTTTAACGGTGATGCATAGGAAGAACTTTTTTTAATAAACTGAGCCTGATTTTTCGTGTTTATTTGTCGTTTTTCGAGCAGCTTAAATGGAAAAGTTCTTCGTATACATCATCTGCGTTTGTTGATCGTTGTGTAGACAAATTAAGTATATCGATATAGAGGATTTTTAATTTTTATCTTATGTGAAATGATATTATGCAATATTATTGTAAAGTGCATGTAAAATTCAATGTACATTTTATAAATAAACATAGTAAACACTATAATACGTAAATTCATGTTCCTATGGAATAAATACCACAAATTACGTGCTTATTTTATTCCACTACAATCATTATTTGTGCTTCATCGGTGACAGAAATTATTAAATCCGGTTTTATTATTAACTCTGGTGTATTTGGTTGTCTATACCGAAAAATTAATTAACATATTTTTCATTAAATACCCAGCATTTTTCAAGGTGCACTGAATAAATTAACCTAACGAATACAATTAAATCTAAATCATTTAGTTCATCCACAATGGAAGAACCGAACATAGAGTTCATAGAATCGTTCCTTTCTAAATACAAAGGAGGCGAAATAAAACTACAAAAACAATATTGGGACGAGGGCATAGCCCTGATTTGCATAAATCACGTCGAAAAGAAGAATGCAATCAGTGGTAAGTTTAAAAATTTCATATTTATTCATACATATTTATTTAAAACTATGTCTCAGTACAAAGAAAAAAAGTTCTGTTACAAAGACAAAATAGCCCAAAGATAAAACCGCTCAAGACAAACAAAATAACTTAGTAGAAAAAATCATTATCACAAATATTGAATCCCGAGTCTCAGGCTATTTTGCGCCTAAGCTGTTTTGTCTTGGGCTATTTAGACGAATCCAACGAATACGCCAGCTTGTTGTTGAATTAAATTGCAGGCAAAATGATGGTAGATTTAAGAACCTGCATAAAAGAATTAGAGCAATGGCGAACCGGCAAAGCAGTCATCATGTACGGAGCAGGAACAAATTTCTGCTCCGGCGGCGATTTGGCCTTCGCCCGCGCGGAATCCAACCCAACAGCCGGCTCCTACATGAGCCTCTACATGCACGAAACGCTCAAAAAATTCAGAAACCTCCCCTTCGTCACCTTCAGCCTGGTGCACGGCCCCGCTCTAGGCGGGGGATCCGAACTGGCGGTTTTCTGCGATTACACCATAGTTTCTGATACCGTTCAGCTGGGATTCGTGCACGAGAAAATGGGCATCATCACCGCTTGGGGAGGCACCAGCAGGTGATTTTCTATACCCAAAACTCTCTACCATCATCTACAAACTTGCTCTCACGCAGGTTGGTTAGGATCGTGGGAGAAAGAAGAGCTTTGGAGATGCTCTTGTCCGGTGGAATCCACGATGCTCGAGATTGTTTCAACATCGGTTTGGCTTATAAAATAGTTAGGAATGATAGGAGATTGGAAGAAACTCTGGATTTCGTTAGGACTTTCACCAATTCGCACTACTCGGTGTTGCAATCGTACAAGAGAATCGCCAATTCCGACGGGGAGTCGAGCTTCGGGGAGGCCCTGCGGGTGGAGAGGAACGAGTTTTGGCCCAAATGGGGCTCGGAGGTGAACAAGGAAGCGCTACATCGGAACATAAAACACTTGTAATACCGAATGTATTGGTGCTCGATTAAATTACAATCGGCTGGGTTAAGTCCTTTCGGGTGATTCGATAATAGCGGTCCAATCAAGATTTTAGATCTAATATTAGATTAGTATTAATCCGAATATCGCAGGCTATTATAATGTTATTATGCGAACGGTGTTATTAATGACCGGGGGCAATTTATTTTTGTAATATTTACGACTCTCCGTAGAACAGCGAATCGATAACGGTGCATTAGAAAATGGAATAATTTCGAAAAAGATGTAAAATATTAACGCGATCCTCCGTTGCATGTTTCGGGCATGTTTTCACTTAAATTAAGGTGAAAATTGGTCGTTTAAAAAAATTTAAACAAACAAATAATTACGTTTTATACTTATAACTCAATGCACTGTACAGGGTGACAAAATTCAATCATTTCACAATTCTTTGTTTCAAAGGAAACCCCAACACTCGGTAATTACCTATTACTTAATTGCTCCGTAGAGTATTTATCCCTTTTCCCGCGAATTAAATATACGACGCTTATACAACATTAGTGTAATTAGATTTCATTGCGTTGATTTACGGGGAATTCGAGCAAGTTTTATAAAATGTGCCGATTTTAAGGATTTCTAACAGACAGATAAATTGAAATTTCCGATGGTCTAATAACAGGTCTATTAGCTAATGCATCAAACTAAGGAAATGATCTAATTTACTGGCATTCCTGTAACCGAGCCGGGGGTTTCGTGACGGGTTGGTAGAAGGGCGGCGCCGGGAAATTGGTGAAAAACGCTTTCCATCGAATGCATTCTAACGGTTTTCGCCGCCGAAGTGAGTGCGTGAATAGATCAGATAATTTACATTTTTTTTAATTAATTATTTACAGTTGCGTCCTGCTAACATACGGGCATGCGGGTAAGTTTCGCGTTGCGAAGGCTATAAAAATTAGGCCGGAATAAAACGTTTGATATTGGAAAAATGCGGAGAATGTTTCGAGATTTTCAGTCGATGAAAAGGAAATTTTTACCGCATTTTTTTGCATCAAAATAACATTGCTATCGGGGAATTCTTGATTGATAATTCTTCCTCAACGCTGCGTTAGGTTAGTAACCGAATTTTCAAAATACTCCCATCCAACTAGCTGTTATATTTACTTACCAAGACCTGCTAATTTCAGGAATGCATATTTTTTGTATAAAGATTTTTTTTAATACAATATGAAGGTCCTGCCGTGCTTTTTGATGCCATATTACGTTGTATAGCGAGGCTTGAACCAATGCCAAAAAATAAAACTCTTTCCGATAAATCCATACAGGATTAGGGTGGTCAAGATTCTCCTGTATATACGAGGGAAACGCGACGAATTCCCCGCGATATTATCTTCCTGGAAAGAAGCACGTAAGGCATTCCTACATGCTGGAAATTTCGAAGTCTCCGAACGGTTCGAATAGTCGAATAGTCACTCATCAGTGATTTCGAATTTTTGTCTGAATACCGAAGACCTGACGATTCCCAATTGAATCATTTCGAGATTAAAAATTACAACGGTATCGGATAAAATATAGCAGATCGGTAATTTAGTTCGATTTCATAATAATACACTATTTATTAATTACACATTAGCTCCGGTGTCTGGAAATTTCGTTTTGTTATTCGCCAGGTAAGATCGAATTTTTGTTACAAATTAGGCATCCAGGAAAGCAGGCATTAGCTAATATTTTTATTTACTTATCCATTAAGTGGCTTTCGGTGCGATTTTCCTGCAAAACATCTACCTTATATTTTCGCCGATAACATTAATTTATAATTAAATCCTCGCGATGTAAGTACCCGTTATTAAAACTATACCGTAGAAAGTATAGTTAATAAATTTCGCTAAAAATTCCGTTGCGTAATTTTCAGTAGCGCCAGCAGCTTTTTATCCATTTTCAGGAAGCTTTAGAACTTTTTGTGCTATTATTCACAACCCAAAATCCTGCTCGTTAGGTAGATGGGATAATAAGTTTATAATATGCCTATACCCGAGATAATTAATATATCCCATAATGTTATTAAATCTGCATTTATATTTTGAAGCGTTTTAGTTTTATCATCTTCTACGACAGTGCTTGTTTTGCTCTGAATCGTTCGATTCTTCTTCTGGTAGATCGAGAATTCCGGATAGTTAGACTGTGGCGTTAATCCGAAGGATTCCTGTGATGATCGAGAGGCAATTCGTGCAAAAAGTGGGTGTTCCTGTGATATCGGCGCCCCCGGAAACGAAATGGTTCTCATCGGACACTGAAAGCGAAAACTCGGAAGGCGGTGAGTATCTCTCTATCTATTCCAAAGATTTTTCGAGTTCTGGTTTCGATATTTCTGGAATCGGTTCTGTCATCGTTATTATTATTGCTCGATGAGAAGAATATTTTTGGCGGATCGAAACGTGTGGTCTACAAGTGTGTTTTCGAATCTAAAAATACCGGAAAAACGGCGGAGTGGGGACCAATCGACAATTGCATCTCGTATTTATTTACTATTTTATATAGATCGTGGTTTTTGATGCGATAGAGTGTCTCAAATTAAGCGATCGCGAGGTATTTGATCTATTAGAGATTGAAATTGATCCAATCTGAAGGCAAAGGGATGGCGGCCATGCAGCAGAGGAAAAGTAAGGGTTGAAATATTTTTTTTAAATCGAGGAAATATTATAAATAAGTGTGAGTTAATAACAGCAATTTTTTTTAATAATTTATTGTTTGTCGAGGTTTTATGATGGATGATTGTTTTATATAACCAAATTTTTAGTTGAATTGTTTTCTATAATAGTTTTTTTAATCGACCGTAATGATAGTTTTGTTCGTGTGAAGTTGGATTTACTAATAGATTCAAATTAATGGTCTCTCAAAAGTCATGCACTTTCCAGAAAATGGTTTTTATTTAACGGAAATTATTCATAATTGGGAATCGATAAACCAAAAACGACCTTTATAAATTGTAGATTAAATATAATTAATTTAAAATTAATTAGAAAAAGTGTGATTTATTTTCAATTGCAATTTTTGGATAGGTTGCAAAAGGAAATTTCCCAGTAGAAACAACAACTTTCCCTTTATATACACAGGCATTCGCAGATTACGAAACCTATTTACCAATACAACATTATTTGGTTAATGATAACCATATACAATAATCATAAAACATTACAAGAATAATCCTATCTACATTAATTGTTTAAAAATCTACATAATAAATTACAACTTTGCAACACCCAATTCGAAACTTTTTTATGTAGGTAAATTTTTTATGAACGCATCAAATTTTCAAATATTTAATACCATAAAGTATAAGTACAGGTAATCCCCGTACAGGACAATTAACTTAAAAATAATCCACCGGTCGCACGAAACGAAAACAATACGAATCTAGAAAAATACTCGCAGTCACGATATCGCCTATCTGTTCCTGCCAATTAATTCAATTGAGTAGACGCTAAAATGGACCGGCATTTTCTAACCGCGAATCCTTGAGGAGTTGTATAAAAAAATCCGAGAGATGTTACGAAATTCAGTTATGCAAATGCTTCCTTTGTTGCAACCGAATCTTCCGAGATGCGCGTAGGTAAGAGGCATCCATTCCGAAAACCGGATAAAAATTTCGGAAACGCGAACTTTTCCAATCAAACTTTATGGCCAAAGTTTAAATTTAAATTATCATTTCCGTATATGTGTTCGTTATGAATAACGAATTCATTTCGATTTATAAGCCAGCATACATGCTAGTTTGTTTCACTTCTCGCTTCACCAGAATCTCTTCCAACAGCTCGAGTAGTTTAAGCACCCTTATAGTTGGTTTTATTTCAAGGAAAACTGGTCAATACATGCTGGTTTGTTTCACTTCTCGCTTCACCACAATCTCACCAGAATCTCTTCCAAAAGATCGAGTAGTTTAAACACCCTTATAGTTGGTTTTATTTCAAGGAAAACTGGTCAAACTCTTCGACAACATGTCATCTTTAGAACGCCTAGTGTCCTGCCTATCGGAATTCGCCGGAACAGCCTGCTTGGTCTTCGTAGGCTGCCTAGGCTGCACCATCAACGCTCCGCTGGAACAAGTCGCTTTCACCTTCGGCTTCGCCATCATGATAGGCGTGCAGGTACGTACAAAACTCGCAGGAAACTCGAAAAATTCAATCACAATCCGCAGGCTTTCGGTCACATCTCCGGCGCCCACATTAACCCCGCTGTAACGGTAGCAGCCGCAGCTCTGGGTCATTTCCCGCTGATAAACATCCCCATTTACGTCGCCGGGCAGCTGCTGGGGTCCCTCACAGGCTTCGGATTGGTTAAAGTAAACCCCATAATTCTCCATAGATTACAATTTGCTCATCAATCCTCTTCACAGGCGATAGCCAAGACAAAAATCAACGATAGCGCTTTGGGAGTGTGCTCGCCCGCCCCCAATCCGGACCTGTCCGGTTTCCAAATATTCCTGGTCGAATTCCTGCTGACCCTGGTGCTCGTGTGGGTGTGCTGCGCCATATGGGACAGCAGGAACGCGGAGAACACCGATTCCGTTTCGATTAAACTCGGATTGACTGTCGCAGGACTGGCGATGGCCGGCGTAAGTACAACGATCGAGCAACTCAGCAGGAAAATATGCAATTTGTTTGGTTTGCAGGGAGCCTACAGCGGAGCCAACATGAACCCGGCCAGGAGCTTCGGACCGGCTCTGTTGGACGGCGATTGGATCTATCATTGGGTAATATCGATGTTGATTGGATCATTTCATTAACAAAAGTAATTTTGTAATTAATTCGCAGGCCTACTGGTCGGGTCCTCTGACTGCGGGGTTCGTCGGGGGTTTGTTATACAGGGTGTTGTTCGCTAGGGAGCCCAAACTCAACGAGACCGTGCCGGAATTGGGGCCCACCCGAGAGAATACTTAATAGAGAACTGTTGTTTTTGTGTTTAGTGAAATATACAATTTTTTTTCGTAAGATAATCACTGGTTGCGTGAAGGATTTTTCACTTGGTTTATTTATTAAACAACATTTGTTCCTAAATTGACGATTTTATTTGTTTTCATACAGAAAAAATGAGACTTTTAAGTGAATACGAGAATCCTTTGATTTCGATTAGGGAACCGCCGCGATAACCCCCGGTTATTTTTGTTGAAGTATTTCAACCCGAACGAAGGTTATGCGTAAATTAAGAAATATTGTTGCGTAAAAAATCTGCATCTTTATAGCAGCAAAAAAGGAAAAACTCTCGCTCATATATCGCCAGTTCGACCTCAAGAATTTTTCGCACTAAATACAATCGCAATAAAACACCTCTCAATGCCGAAGCCTGCAAATAACCCGTTAGAAACTTAGAAATTAAACGTCTTTCGTTTCACTGGGTCGATAGAAGAATTGCTACGATTCTGAATGAGTTATATTTGATTTTCCTGCGTGTGTCTTGGCTAAACGCCACACTATCTGTGTATATCAACAGGTTAGCGAGTCTTTTGTGTTTAATTTTTACAAATAACTTTGTTTTGATCGAAAATATAGGCCGATAAAATTAGATCAGCACCGAAAATCGTGCGTACAAGCTGTAAATGTGTTAGAATAAAAAAATCCACTGCTCAAATCACTGATGTTTCTTACTGATGCTAGTTAGTGTTAATTACTCCACTATGAAGAATTTGATTGTTCGAAAATGAATAAACCATTGCTAGAAAATAATGATTTGTAATATCAAAATTTGTGGAATTGCTGGTACTAATCAAGGAACGATGTCTTTGTTGGGTACAAGTCTAAATTTGAATATATGGCGTTAAACCTTGATGTATTCGTGAACTTTCCTTTGAATACAATAACCAAAGTTCAAGCTGATTGCAATTAAAATTAACGAATGTTACTCGATAAATATGAGTGTAGTAGGTACATTACGAGGGTTTCTGGAAAGCAATTTATATAAAGTTATAGGGTTTCAATTTTATTAGAAACGTTCCGTACAGGAGAAACCCATATTAAATCACGAGCAAATTATTGATTCAACACTTGCACAAATTCTATTATCTTATACAAGTTCATATATACTTTAATTATCAATTATTTATTCAAATTTAACGACTCACTTTCCATTACCGATCGTTAATTTACGTAATCTATAGTTGGCAATGAGCAATGTGTTTAACAAGAGTAATTAGACAAACGGGAAAAAATGGTATTGCCCTTGTAACATTGCCAAGTTCCTTAGTATAAAAACAATAAGTTCAATAACACTAATGCTTAAGGTATATTCGTTCGAATCCACCATAAATAAGAGAATCGAGATCGATTCAATGCTACTGCTCAATCCTTTAAACAGCGGATTAATCTTATATAAAGTTTTCGCATCGGTTATCAAAGGCTATTCGAAGGAAGACCGGTCAACGAGTTAAGTAGCCGTTTCGTTTTCGGTTTTCCAGCCAGTGCAACATCGGCCGTTGTGCGTGAGTGGTGAAAGGAAATTATTGGTAAATTGGTAGCTCCGAAGCGATAGAAAATCCGCCATGGCAAGATGTAAGTTGAGCCAAAAACGCCAAAATAATTTAGCTATATAATATTAATTTAAAAGCTTTAATCGATGAAAATATGTAATGTATTTTACATAAACAAGCAATTACATGCTATTATTGCGAACCAGCCCGTTAACAAATTAGATTTTTTTTTTATGTTAATAAAACAAAATATTTTAACGGGACGTTTGAATGTTGTGGACAAACATGGATGTGATGATGGGTAAACGGAATAAATTAATATCAAACATACAATAAAATCTCCATAATATAATTATTCCATTAGCATTTGTTTAGATCCATAAATAATTTGCCGTTGTGACTTTCGAGGCCTGGTGCATAAATTAAGTAAAAAAACTGTTAGAATTTATGAGAGAATGATAATTGCGATTTTATTGAATTTCTCGCATCCTTTTACGAACATCAAAAAAATCGTTTCAGAAGCAAATTACGCTTAATCGTTTCTTCTACACTTTCCTAATTGAATTTGGGCCGGATATAGTTTTTGATAATAATTGTGTCCAGTTAGAAAATCGTGACAAAATATATCAAGCAGTAACCCGACCAAGGAAGCAGATTATTTAATTAAACTAAATATTCCTGTCATTTAATTTAACGAAATATGTACCGACAAATGTTTGCTTTTGGTGTATATTTTAACAAAATAAATAAACCTAGTTCTCATTAAAATTATTTATAACAACTCATTTATTGAGCCCGTAAATCAATTGCTGATGCGAAAGAAAATCAAATATCATCGACGCGAATTTCGATTTATTGAACAATGCTTATAGCTCGTAATATGGCAAGTAAATATTTTTTTGCTTCCTCTGCAATTCCACAAGAAAACTAATTTTTGTTAGTGAATTAAAAACGACCTTTTCGCGGCAAATAGATAAATTCCCTCATCCTGTAAAGTAGACAATTACGCCATGTCACACCGGGAGAAGAATTATCCTACTTTTTTTTGAACATCTTTTTCAAAGCGACGCCGTCTCGGAAATAATTTTACTATGCAAGTAATTGAAGTCCTGACGCTTCAAGATGATAATAAAAAAAATATTATTTAATCACCAGTAGGTAGGTGTAATTGTCATCATAAAATACCAAGGTACGATTAAAGCAGGTGCGCAATAAACCGCTTAAATTGAGATATTGAGATTGTTATGTTCCATAAAAACCCTCTTTTAACCCATCTGACATTGATAGACCGGCCGTAATTCAATATCGTGCAAACATTTTTTTTTAATTTACCGAGCAAATAATCAAATAATATCTCCAGTTTTATAAATTATAAAATAATTACGTCAGTAGCGAGTCAAGTGTGTACGATTTATAACCCAAAAGTCGTAAAAATTTTAGTTCCTCGACAAAGGAAAGTCTGTGCAAACGATGAGATTATTACGGCAGGCTGGTAACAATAAAATTCTTCGTATCTCTTCGGTTATACGGCGAAATTACACCTCAGCACCGACGAAAAGTGATTTATCCGATATTCATTAACTATTTTATAACAGCCAGAAGTTGTTATGGTAATGAGCAGAACACCTAAATAATCCCGGTTGCATAAGCGAATATGATGAAGCACCAAACGTTCATCATATAGATGGAGAATGATGAATGGTTCATTATTTTCGTGGTGATGTGAAAAACTTTGCTATAAATTCTTCCCTCGATTCCATTAATTGCCTTTAGTATTTTCGATAATTCGTGTTTTCTTCGAAGCGTATCACAATTTTATGAAAACACGCTGTTTACATCGCAACATTGAATACATAAACTTCGAGTGCTTGACCCGAGATAAAGTTGTAATAATTTCAATTTTAAATTATGTTTTTCTATTTCGTCATCGAATAGTTGAACTTAAAAGCGAAAATGCAACGGAATCGTACGCTTTTCGTATCTAATACAGACCATCGCTTTGATTTGTTAATTACCTATATTATAAGACATTTCCAGAGGAGTGTATACAATGACCATTGATAAAATTATTTACTCGATAAATTCGTTGTTTATTTGCTCATTGAAGCAGAAAGATTACGTTAAATCCAAAGCTACTGACGTATAAACCTTTTATCGAATGTGTAAAATATTTTTACGATAATTCTGGTCCAATTAGATAACGAAATAGTCTTTCCTAAAATGGTTATTAATCTAATACGATAAGAATAACCTGCGCGATTTATTTACTTATAACTATTGTAAGGTTCAGTAGTGAGAGTATTGGATGTGGATGAATAAATAAATTGTCTTTTCGTTTGGTTAGTAAAGATTGTAGCCTTGTGTGAGTGTAGCAAACAGCCATAATTTACAACGTTTGATATCGAAGATAAGAGACTTCCAATGAAAAAACGAGCAAACGATTGATATAACATCATTCGCTTTAACGATTAACGTTTCATATTAACGCGGTCTCGTTAACAAAAAAGAACATCGAGAGGTGCGCCTAATAAAACTAGTACAAAGCTCCAGGTTTCTAATAAACTCGGCGCTTTGATGCACTAATTCAAAGAATCATTTTCCAGCGAAGCTGATAGAAATAAAGGACAACATGTCGACCAAAGACAGAATAATACTATGCGCTGCGGAATGCGGCGGCACGGCGATCCTGGTATTTTTGGGATGCATGGGGTGCGTCAGTTCGCTGGCTGCGGGAGGTTCCATTCCGCACGAACAAATATCCTTCACCTTCGGTTTGGCCGTCATGGCGGCTATTCAGGTAAATATTTGCATTTGCATCCGTTTGGCGCTGCGCCTCGTCAACGTGCGGCCCCGTTTTAATGAATTCCACTATACAAGTTTGGCCCCTTTATTCGGTGTTATAGCGATCGATGCCAAGAGAAAAAGATATTTTATTCGAACGCTCATTATCGCGATTCGATATTTAAATAGCCGCCGATTTTTTCTTATTCGGATTCGCTCGCGCCAGAACCAGTATTTGCTTAAGCAGATTTAATCGATTCGCAAATAGTTCTTTGGAGTCGCAATTAAATACGATCGATGCAAAAACTACTCGGCGAAAATGCTAAATGTAAATACATTTACTCGCTACTCGGAAATCAAATAAGTCGGTTGTATAATAACCGGAAAAGTAATTAATTTAGCGGTATTATTTTTTTTTTGTCATCTACTCAGCGGAATTTAATAACAAAACGCTTTTGATACTTACTTACTTACTTATGAAAATTGATACCAAATACACCATTCATTCCTCGAGAAATAAAGCAATAAAAAAAATCTGTATATACTTAACTTGATTCCGTAGGTATTCGGCCACGTATCAGGAGCTCACATCAATCCTGCTGTAACCGTAGCCGCTGCTACATTAGGCGACATCCCCCTGCTGCAAGTCCCCATCTACTTCGTCGGGCAATTCCTGGGCGCCCTGCTGGGATTCGGTTTGCTATGGGTAAGTACCGACATTCATCGCTTCGTTCTCCTGCTGCACGTTTATCATTGCAGGTCGTCACGCCGGACGTGCATCTGGGCAATCAAATGGTGTTTGGCGTGAAACAGCCGGGCGTGTGCTCGCCGGTGGTCAGCCCTAACATATCGGCGGGCCAGGCCTGCTTCGTCGAGTTCCTGCTGACGCTGATCCTGGTGCTGGTCTGTTGCGGCGTGTGGGACGCCCGCAATAGGGACAAACACGATTCGGTGTCGCTCAGGCTCGGTTTGGCCGTCGCCGTGCTGGCCATGGCTGGGGTAAGAGGCCGTTTTTTAATCGTTCTAATCTAGTGTCTATCTAGAGAGTTTTCGCCGCTTTTGAATCAGTCTAGTAGCTATCTACAGAGTCTTCATCACGGTTGTAGATTTCTAAGGTCTGGAAATGTAGGTCGAAAAGGTGTATTTGAAATTTGAGGGTGAAATAGGGTTCGTAAAATGGCCGCTAGAAGGCGATGTTGTAAAGGACCACGTACGAATTATACAGAATTAGTATTAAGAAAGGTATTATTCAAACTGAAAATAGATATACAAAATATAAAAATATACCTTAATTAGCGATGATTTTGTTGTTAACTTTTAGCCTCACGTATATTCGGTAAATGTATTTCTCCATTTTCTCCTCGAATTGTCAAAAAATTATTTTTTGACACTTTTGACAGCTCGAACTGTCGTTTCACGCAACCGCGATTTATAAGTAGCGCGACGCTGATTGGCTGAGATAAATTGGTTCTCCGAAGTGAAGCTCAAAAAGTCTTCAAATAACACACATTCTCTTAATGCATAATCATAGAATGTTTCCATACCTTAGAAATATACCTCCAGTTGTTGATACACATTTTTCGTTATTTCACGTTATTTCAACCGAGATTTCATCGAGTTGACGTTGACATTAATGACAGTTATCTAGTAACTTATTTTTGTACCAACATAAACATAACAAATTCCCTACGTTCATTTCGAATTCGCTCACGCGGGAATCAATCATTTACGAAGACTCCGTAGTATTTACCGAAACGTTGTTTTAGGGCCCGTACACGGGGGCGAACATGAACCCGGCAAGAAGCTTCGTACCGGCGATGTTCAACGGAGATTGGCAGGCTCATTGGGTAAAGTTCGCGCGTTTAATTAGGCGAATTAGTAGTGTAAATATCGCTTTGCAGGTGTACTGGATCGGTCCGTTGGCTGCAGGATTCGTCGGTGGGGTGATTTACAGACTGATTTTTAGAAAGACGCAAAGCGCATCGAGCGATACCCTACCGGAAGCCATCGCTTTGAATCAGAAGGTTTGATTGATTCCCGACAAACCGCTAATATACCTTAGTTTTTTTAAGGTACCTAAAGCGTTTCTGAATGTACCTATATATCACTCCGTTGTGCCATTTTATTAATAAACGTATTTTGTTATAGCGTAGTCTATTTATGTTAAAACAGCAATTCGACGCAGCTGTTCGCTCGAGCAAGGGGAGCGAAATTTCGGAATAAACCGATTTACGGCTAATTCTACCGGGTTATTAGTAGAAAAAATAGTAGGTATTTCGCCCAGCGCGCTTCTTTGTCATTTAAATGCGAAGTTAGAACCAGCAGAGGGTAAATAGGTGCGAAAGGAACGCGCGATATTAGCGAATTCTGGAGTACAAAAAGGGATAATCACAGTCATCAGGGCCAATTTGGAGTGCGAAGAAGACGGAAAATAATCCGGGCGCTAAACTTTCGAATTCAAATTAGGGGCGAAAAATTTGATCGCGCGCCCCCCCGTTAAAACCCCGGGCCTGTAAAAACGGCTTATTTCGAATAGAAACGATGTTCAATCGGGTCGATTTCAATTGCAAATTCTCTGCTTATTTTCGTCGGCTCGAATTGTTAGAGTCGCCGAACGGCGGAAGGATTAGAGCCTTTTAGAGTTCTCAAATCGCCCGATCGCCGTTTAATTTAATGAAAGTTCACTTAGCCTCTTCCTGTAGTTGAATTATTAGGAAATATGTCGAGTATCAGCTGCTGTTATTTGGTCGACTGTATTTTCCTAATCAAACAATCTCGCTAAGTTCGTTTTACGGGGCCATATATACCGCTGTGTAGGCAGTTTATGAGTTTATGTTCCTCTCTTTTCCTTATATCCTTCATTCCAATATTTATCGAAAGCCCGAAAGTTATTTATCTAAGGGGACTCTAATGATTTACAGCCGTTTTATTGTTATTTATTCTGTTTACGACTCATTATGGCTTCGTTAAGATCCCTCATGGAAGCTGTACGGTAATCGAAATTACTCGAGCAAGTTTCGCAATCAACAGGCCACAATTTTCGCGAGATATTTGATTTCTTGAAAGGAACGCCGGTTAAAAAAGGTCGAAAAACAGGTCTAATTAATGACCGCGAATTGCTTCAGATGCGACCGGTTATCCGTTCAAAGAGATTTCCATAAATTCCCATCAGGGCGTCGGGTCGCGTCGCGGCGCGGTAAAGACGTTGGAACTTTCGCCGTAATTCAGATTTATTTTTCCATCTCTCCGGGTTTTTTTTTCTCCAGCCTTTTTCCGCCACCCGAAACGGCAAGGACGTTTTGCTGTTGCCATATCGCGTCGAATCCTTCATTTCGGGTACGAAAACAAAAAGGAAAAATGAGCTGGCTCGAGGCTGGAGGAATTCATAAAGGACCAGCGGCGTACATTTTAATGATTTTCGCGAAATAAATCAGTAGAAATCAAATTGGTGCAGAATGATAGCATATCACTCGAAAGATGGGGTATTATAGCTACCCGAGAGCTTATAAGGGATTTTAAGTAGTTATTTTATGTAGGTATATATGCGTAATATTATTAATAAAAACGGTCAAGTTTCGGGTAAATCCTGCGGGTTTTTTTTCCATTTGCAGGTAGGATACTGCGAAATGATCTCCGAGGGCCAAAGGGTGACTTTTTTTATTTTTATTTTATTACTCTGTAAAAGCGGTGGCTTAAAGAACGCTTTTGCATGGCCGGCCTGAATAGAAATTGCCCTTAATTTTATTACCTAATAGGACCACTGTCGGAATTCGAGCAAAGAGAAAAAAAATACATTCCTTTTTTACAGAACAGGCGTTTAATAGAATGAAAATGAAGATTTATTTTTTTGGCGCATAATAACGAAAATACACCCGATTAATTGCGCCGGTTAAAGCGCCGCGAAAGCACGAAAACTTTTTATTTATTCGCGCGATCTTCGAGTTTGAAGACCCTCCGAAAAAGGAACATCAAAGCGGGGTGTATTCGCATTCGAGGACAACTGGTGAATTTAAATTAAACCGAATTTTATAACAGATACACATTCGCAAAAAATTATCCCCGACAAACCGGGGCGGGGTCCGTGTTTCGAATGACAACCAAAAAAAAACAGCCGGGGATAAATAAACCCCGTCGTTGCGGTACGATGTTAAAAACAAAGTAGCCGGAGTGAAAAGTGGCCCAACGAAATGAAAAAAGTTGGAACAAAAGTTGCCGCCGGTTATTTCGCCAATTTGAATGGTAATGCGCGTTATAAAAAAGAAGACTGGCGGTGTGTTTCGGGAGCTAATTAATTTTCGTTCTATTTATCCAATTGAACTGGGCGTAACATCGCGAGGAACCATCGGGATTTTTGAGGGTAATAATTTTTACTTGATTAAAATCGAATGGTAGGAGTTGCATCTCCGGCCGGAAAGTATAACGAAAGTCATTTAAGTTTTAATTTGGAAATTATCGCATTCTTATTCAACCGCCGCCCGACCGTTGAAGTAGATGAACATCTTTCTAACTTAAATTACTTTAAGACAATGCTGGAAATAGAGAAAAATTCTTTTAATTACCCAGCAGAAGACGGCTTCTTCCAGGATTCTTATATTTTTCTTTCGCTGTGATGGAGATGATTATCATTAGGTGGTAACAAAACGACGTTATCTAATTAGATAACTGGATTAATTAAATGTTAAATGTTAGAAAAAATAAAGACAGCAATTTCGTATTTTATTATAAATATTTTGGCACCTATCGTCAACAAACTACTAATATTCAAATAATAAACTATTAGGATTTATTCTTATTTTATACAAGCCTTAGTTAAATAATTTTACCTAATAAATACTCCACAGAAACCGGATGGTTAGGTAAACGATTAAAAATAACACTAATTAGTGCATCGGTTAATTAAAAATTTAATCCAACCGAACACTAATCAAAGTTCAATTAGTTAAGTATATAAAACACTGATTCTGCAAGATATACTATTATAACAGGTTTCTAAATCCACCCATAATCTTATAATTATTGTATCACATTTGACTTTACTAACCCAGGTAATATTCTAACATTAACATACAAAATACAATCGATTTTCTTTCAATTATAATGATTGGCACGCCTTACTCGTTTTCGAATCGAAGTTCGTTACCGCCTAAATCGAATTTAATTCACACTTTCATCAAAACTTTCCGAATAAATAATTACAAAAAAGTCCGCAAAAGTATTCCCGGCGAAAAATTAATCGGAATTTTTTTCTCCCAGTAGTTCGCAATCGATTAGTCGGGCAAATTAAAACGATTCTAGAGTCAACAAATATTTCGCATAGGCACACTTCGAATTCTACGCGGGATTCTCCTTGGATTTTCTAACATTACCTCGAATACAACAGCGAACCCAACGAGCAAATTATGTACAAGTACCTGGTGTGATGAGAGCGCTTCGCCGAGCTCGTGATGATTTCTGGAAAATTAGGAGGTAATAATGATGATATGATGAAGGAAAAATTTTACCTATAACTTGATCTGTGTGGCTTTGCGATGACGTGGATCCGAGCACAGGAGCTGAAAGCGGGCTGTCTTCCTTGATGGTTCTATCCACGGAGTTCTTCCATATGGAGAATAAAGAAGCTTGGCATTTCAATTTCAGTACGCCGTTTTTGAAGTGGGATTTGCCCGTTTTGATTTCGATCTTCGATTTGGATAGTTTTACATTCAGCGCTTTGTTCAGTTGATATTGCGCCGGATACATTTTGGTAACCTCATCGGGAATTATCTGCAAAATATGCATTTTTCGAATTCGTTACTGAAATGAACGCGCCGGGGATTTTTCAATGAAATTTAATTAACTACCTAATACATTCCGCAGCTCTGTTGATATGAACATTTTTCGCTCCTATAATTAGTTGCTATTCAAACAACGCGAGTAAATTCGACTCGAACCGACCCGATTTAATCATAATCCGGCCAAAACATTTATTCATTTCCCGAATTCGGTAATTAAATTTGCGACGAAGTTAATTAAAGAAGCGACGGACTCGAAACTTTTCCTTTAATTTCGGCGATTAGGTCACCAGTACAGGGTCCGTTTTGAACCAACAAAAGTGCATTCATAAACGAGGTACACTCCAGGTATTTTGTAGAGGGAATTTCATCGCTGAAATGGCTACAAAAGTTTCAATTCCAGTTAATGAATCATCACTCAAACAATCCTTCGTTGATTCATTATTCCTTTTCATTACAGTATAAGTATTTAGATCATTGTCATCGATAGATTTTCCATTGGAGTCTCTCGGTAGCCAATTTGCCAATTCACCAATTTGGCGCGAGTTCGTGCGGTTGCCGAATTCGATCATTAAATTGCTTTATCATATTTTATCTCGTTATATTCGGCCGACGACCGATTGTTTCGGCGGGGCGGGAAAACCAATAACTGATTTTCTAACTAGCAACGTCCCTTATCTGTAATCCAGTCGTTCGATTATTTATTCGCTGTCTGATCAGCGATAACCAACGAATTATACCGTTCGAATTAGAGCACTTATTTCGGTGTTTTTCCGGGGGTTTTCCGTGCGGAAAATCCGCCTCGAATTGGACGTATATTATCGTACGAAAGAGGACTGAATTACGGAGAAGGGGCGGTAAATATTTTTCGCGGTTTCCGCCGTTTTCATGCGAAGTTATTAGTCTCTACCTCATTTTCCGAACCATATTCCAATTTCAATTTGGCAAACACCCATGGCGTTTTCTATCTGATGAATAGATTGAAATTCGTCTACTTGTGGAAGTTTCGTGATGTATTCCATTAGAAAAAATTTCAATTTCTACTATTACAAGGACGTAGATGAATTTTTTTAGTGAAGAGGATTTGGAAATTTGGTCAATTTTGTGGTAAGAAACTGGTATAGTGGCGAGTATTTTCATTTATACTTTATGCATTCAATTACTTTCGTATGCATGTAGTGCATATATTTCGAAAATTAAATTACTTACCTTCCAACAGGAATAGTGCTTGATGCATTTTTGTGTTACATATATCAGAAATATAGAGTTGGGCAAAAGTCCGGAATAAAATTATTATCTTTTGAATCAGTAATTTAAACAAATAACGCCGAAACACGTAAATTGATTTTATATTGTACGGATTTGTTGCCAATAAAATGATTTTTTTTTCTTCAACCCCTTAGTTGCAACCCTACCCAACTTTATTTTTTCAAATGCAAAGGTATGTCGTGTGTAGGGTCATTGAAAAGCCCGTGAAAAATGGAATCTAAAACATACCTTTTTTTTTTATTTTTCTCATGTTGTTATTTGGAAATAAGCAAAAATTTCTTTTAAAAACAAAAAAGTTACAAATACCTTTTTAGTGCTATCGATGTAGCAATGTTGAAAATGCCCTTCACCATCTATTTGACAGGCTCCCAGGCATTGGTAAAACGTAATATCGATAGCATATCTTTAATTCTGAATGACTTTTTAATAAAAACAGGCGAACCTTTGGTAAAAAAAAAACTTGTACAAAAATGCAACACCTGTTTTCCTTTTTGAAGTTCACTGATCAACAATGGCTTAGATTTAAACCCATTTTATGTTTTTGTTTTTCTTAAAACATAAATTTCAACGAATGTTGATGCTAAATTGCCTTATCAATTTTAAACGGTAAATCAATAAAATTTGGTGTGCTGCCTGACCAGGCTCGCCTGCTTTTAATAAAAGTTCATTCAGAATTAAAGATAGGCTACCGATATTAGGTTTTACCATTGCCTTGGAGCCTGTTAAGTAGAGTAAGCCTTAATTCACACGTCGATACCACTAAAAAAGTATTTGTAACATATTTGTTTTTAAAAGAATTTTTTGCTCATTTCCAAATAACATGAGAAAAATAAAAAAAAGGTATGTTTTAGATTCCATTTTTCACGGGCTTTTCAATGACCCTACACACGACATACCTTTGCATTTGAAAAAATAAAGTTGGGTAGGGTTGCAACTAAGGGGTTGAAGAAAAAAAATTCATTTTATTGGCAACAAATCCGTCCAATATAAAATCAATTTACGTGTTTCAGCGTTTTTTGTTTAAATTACTGGTTTAACAGATAATAATTTTATTCCGGACTTTTGCCCAACCCTGTATATGCATAAAGTGTAAGTAAACATGACTAATAAGTACAAAAATATCCCATTATTTAGGTAATATTTCGAATGATGTTCGTTAGGATATTTTTTTGTTATAATTTTTATCTTCTTTGCTCCGCCAATTCGCCGGTATATGCCCTTCGGCTCCGCTCTATCCCGCTCTCGTCGACCTTCTATTTTCTCTACTTTATGACTGTTTGAAGATGCTTATTCCACATCAGGTTTTATGGCGGAGAATTTCGAGGAAATTTCCCATATTATCTAAATTAGATTCGCAGGATGGTCTTCTCGAATTTTTGCAGTCTCCGTTCAACCGAAAATTACTCATTCTTCCCGTTGTATCGTCTCGTAAAAAAACCACGAGTACATAAATCGACTCTTAATACGTGTTTACCCGCTTTTTCAGCTCCGAATTCACTTCATACATAGTAAAATTCCTATTCTCTTTATCTACCTTTTACTTTATCGCCTCGGCGCCCCGCCAGAATCCGCAATAAAAGAAAATTGCACTCACCTGTTTGTCGTTAAGGAACCACGTGATGTTTGGAGAAAGGTGGGCCCCCCCGGGCCCCGGGGCAGAGCACTCGGCTCTCAGGGTCTTTCCAATCTCGATTTTTATCGCCGATTCGAGGGGCTCGATATCCAGGGTCGGATTCGTCCTCGGCGCATCTGGAATATAATTCGCTGTAGCACAACTGCTAGTCGGTGACAAAATCGAGCTTTTTATTGACGTGCAAATGACCTATTCTGTCGTGCATTTGTGGACTAATGACGAATGAAAGAGGATGGATCATCGGAAATGAATATAATCTGAATAATATAAAGTAGGAGAATCGATATAAAAATTATATGGCTCCTTAAATGCGAATTCCACAAAGGAAGGAAGTTCGGGAATTGTAAAGTCGAGATTACAACTGAGAAACGGCGTAAAAGATTTATTGTTTCGGCATTATTTCAGTTGGGTTGTAAAAATTTTATGTCCCGGATTTGATGATTTAAAAATTGCGCCGGAATTTTATGTACTTACAAATCATAACCTGGCAGTCTACCTGGCAGGGTATCGGGGAAGTTTACCTTTATGGGGTTGATATTTCGAGTATTAGATATGTTAATATTACCTATAACTATCATGTGGGCGCTCTGGATGTCGGTGTGAAAGCGGGGCGCGTCGGCTGATACTTCGCATTTGTAGTCTCCAGTCATTTCCCTGCTGATGTTCCTGAGAGTAACTCTCGTCGATCCCGAATTCGATATCTGCAATAAACCGGTTTTTTTTAATAACGTTACATCATCACCAACGAAATCCGATCGTTCGGTAATGAAGAAAACTTCCCTTTTTGTACCTATTACGCGCGGTTTCTTCGCCGGAGTTGGTTGTAACTTGTAACGCGATCCGGTTTAAATTAATAAAGCGAATCCTCCGCTAAATCATCGGTAATGAAAAACGAAAAATCCGTTTTGGGCGATGTTGCTTTATTATGCGCGACAAACAACTGTTTTAAATAAAAATCCAATAAGTGGATGATTTAGGGAAAATATTTCCGTGGAGTTTATTCCTCGAGCGCGGTCCGCTAAGAATGACTGATGTGACATATTGAATTTTCCAAATAAACGTACAGTAAACAAGTTCTTTTATTCTTGAGGCGGTACGGCGAATATTCCGGAGGCTTATGCATTATGGAAAACTTCGATGCACGAACATGAAAATTTCACGACGTATTTGCCGCATTCTGTCGCCTTCTTTACCCACCTCTAACATATCGAATCACTTTATCTATTTTTCGATCGTTTAAATTCTCGTTTGCCTCCGATTTTACTTATTGTAGTTTCCCAGAGAAACATCCAAATACCCAGAAATTGACTCTCATAACTCACACTTAGACTCGAAACGCTATTACAACGTGCACAAATTGTTTGTAGTTACAAAAAATCGAATTTTTCCTCTTGGCGTAAAAAATGTAAACTTATTCGATGCCTGAAATTTTCGGGCGTGCTTGAAAAAGTCAATATTTGCCTAGCGATAATTCAAGCACCAAATAACGGGGAAACGGGCGACAAAAACCTTGTTACCTCGAGCCGAAAGGTGATTCAATAAGTGAAATGAAAATTGGATTTTCCTGCAGGACAACGAGCGGCATTTAGGAAACGTCAACTGTGTATCAACTCGAGGCTCTTTTGTCGCGAAAAATATGGCCAGAAGAAAATTCATTCGCGAAAAAAACCGATTAAATTGATTTATGTAACCGCCGAAGTGATTTAGCATCAACCCACCTGAATTTATCCCCGTAATTTTTCGAGTTTAACGATAAAAATTAGCCGGTGTTTCCCCGTTTCAACGCAGGGCGCAAAACTTGTAGTATAAGTGCTAAACAGAGTTCTCTAAACCCGCATATAATAAGATTACGAATGCGATAGAGAACATTAGACAGTAGACTCGGGCGATTCGGATTCAGATATTCAGCTCGAAATGTTTTCAGGAGCGAAAGCTGATTCGGCAGAAATGTTATTCGAGTTATGATGGGCCTTTATTTTTGTTAAATATGCACCCTTCGCATTTCTGAACATCAACGTTTGTACCTGCATGCGGAGAAAGGGGATTTTCTCGGCTCGATTGAAGTATTTGCAATAAATTTTCACGCTTGGAGAATGCAATGTTTTGATGTACATCTATGTAATTTGTTTCATTAAAAAATATACAGCAGATGCCTCGTCGAGCGAAAAAGTATCAAAAGCCAGTAAACAAGAGGGCCCCGATGAAAAATTACCATCAAAGAAGGAATACAGATTTTTTTTTTCGGAGGTTAGATAGCGAATTACGGAGAAAGCGTCGTAATTAAAACGGGAGATAAACGAATCTTTTCACGAACTCGCGAATTCGAAAAATATTAAAAACTCCAGATGATGCTGTAATACAGGGTGTCCCAATGAAAAGTAGCCCCTTTAGTGAGTTGATCATTTTTAAACGCCTAATCATAAAAACATATTTTATTTTCCTAAAACTTTTTGTTACAGTGACACACAAATTTTGTATCGCCTGTACAGGGTGTATCATAAAAATCCCCTCTTTTAAATTCACATTAACCAAATTTTATGAAATAGAACATCTTCTTTTGTAAAATAACATGTACAAATAACACAATTTCGTAAAGTAGAAGAGCATAACTTTCAAAATACCTCTGTATATACGGGGTGTTCCATTTAAAAAAATTGAATAATGTGAAGTTAAAAGAGGAGATTTTAATACACCACCCTGTATTGATAATGCATAATTTCTGTTTTCTAAGAGTTTCTAACAAAACTAATAAAATAAAGCATATTTAAGAAAACCGAATGTTTTTATGATTATACGTTTAAAAATTATAAGCTCATTAAAGGGGCTACTTTTCATTGGGACACCCCGTATTTAAAAGCCTGCATACAGGGTAGGTACTAAATTTCAACGCGATAATTTAGTGCATAATTTACGAGGATAGCGCGAGAACAAAACTACCCCTTACTAAATATAAGTACAAATAAATACCCGACGTCAAAACGCGCCGTCGGAAATAAATTTCCCCAGTAATAATAATTCATCGTGAGCGAAAGCACTAAATCAAGTTCGCATCCGATTCGCGACTTTATATCTCGCGTATAGGGAAACTAACAACAAACTCGATATCGGCCATCCGAGCCTTTTTGCTCCACGACTAGCACGAAATCTGGAATATCTTGGAGACCGCCAACTCCTCGGGGAGCAGCGACATTGATGTGAGTATTTCCCCCGGAGCGCTCCCCATCTCGCGAGGATTTTATCTCCATTGATAACCACCTCCCCGAGGCCGAGTTTGATAAGTTCGCGGCGTTATTGATTTCGTTAAATAGTTTTATTTGCCTCCAACGAATGTTAGTACGAATGGTAAAGTTTACTAAGTCGGAGCGGGTTAACGCGCATGCGCAAATAACGTCGAATTCTGTGTTCTGACAGCGTCAAAAATTGTGTATTTAATTTCAGTAGATGGACAAAAATGTTTGTTTTAGATAGAAAATGATTATTATTAGACGGGAGTAAAAGAGGGTGCAGGAGAAGGTAAGGAAGAGTAGAATAGGAAGGGTAGTGTAGAAGAAGGGATGTGGAGGTAGAGGATGGTTAGATGGGGGTAGGGAAGGGTGGGTGCAGGGTAGGTTAATATACTTTAAATTTTTCATAAAATAACAATTTACGGAATCTGGCAACGATGCATAGTTTTTGACGCTGTCAGAACACAGAATTTGACGTTTGACACTCCGACTTAGTAAACTTTACCCACGGTCGTATATTTCTAAGGACTGGCATCTCCCTATGCTTATGCCATAGACAAAATAAAATCTTTCTTTCTCTATGGCTTATGCATTAGAAAATGTGTCTCGTTATTTGAGGACTTTTTGAGCTTCATTTTTGATCCGCAAGGTGGCGAACGATCGGAGGACCAACTTATCTCAGCCAATCAGCGTCGCGCTAGATTATAAATCGCGGTTGTGTGAAACGACAGTTCGAGCTGTCAAAAGTACAAAAAATTATTTTTTGACATTTCGATGAGAAAATGGAGAAATATATTAACCGAAGATACGTGAGGCATGATGTTTGGAACAAAATTATCGCTGATTTAAGTATATTTTTATATTTTGTATCTATTTTTAGTTTGAATAAAACCTATCTTAATGCTAATTCTGCATAATTCGTACGCAAAAAACCGCGGTCCTTTACAACATCGCCTTCTAGCGATCGTTTTAGGAACCCTCTGTTTTATCCTCAAATAACGGGACACTTTTTCGACCCATGATTCCAGACCTTATAGAAATATAGGACTATGACTTTACCAAACAATATAAGGAATCGGTTGTGGGATTTTCTGTACTCACATCGACGTTAAAATCGGCGAACGTGACGGTGAAGGCTCGAAACGGGGGCGACTCCTTGGGAACGAATCTGTAAAACTCCTCGTCGTTCCAATACCATTTGATCGAATACAAAGCCACTTCCTCGAGATTGTAGTCGCAAGCCAGCGTTACAGTGTCGCCCGATAGAGCGGCTTCCGGTACGTTGATTTTCATCTCTTTCAAGGCCCCGCATCCTGGAAAATAACAAAAATTCTTTAGGTTTGTAGATAGTTTCGTCGGAACAGCGGCCCGTCAATCAGGCACATCGGCTGGAATTGGATTCGCAAAAGACAAAACCGGTTAATTCGGGGATTAGGGTCGACGCGGATCGGTTCGTGACTTTCGGAATATCTTTCTCCATTTCAAATGAATCGGAGAACTAATTTTTCGCGTTAGACAATTCCTCCTCTATCGGACTGATTAGCATGGCGGAAATGTAATCTATTTCCGGTTTATGGAGATGCGGAAATTAAATTTGAAATTCATCATCGGCTCGGAGGTGGCGGGATCCTTGCCGGGCCTCTCGAGGCGCATTCGAATTTCGCCAGGCGAATATTATACAGAACGGTTTGGTATAATAGGTTTATCCGAAAAATATTACACCTACATAAACTTTACCCCATTTCCGATTGCAACATGGTCATTTCTATGAGTGGAACAAAGAAAGACTATTAAAATGACAGTTGTCCGAGTGAAAAGTTGCAATGACACAAATGTCACTTTTTCCTTTTTCTTCATAAGTGTCTAATGAAAGTTGTCTTTATCGCACCTATGGCCTATATAACCTATGTTGCGATCAAAAATGGAGCAACCTGTATGGTCATTTCTATGAGTGGAACAAAGAAAGATTATTAAAATGACAGTTGTCAGAGTGAAAAGTTGAAATGACACAAATGTCACTCTTTCCTTTTCCTTTATAAGTGTCTAATGGAAGTTATCTTTATCGCACCCATGGCCTATATAACCTATGTTGCGATCAAAAATGGAGCAACCTGTATGGTCATTTCTATGAGTGGAACAAAGAAAGATTATTAAAATGACAGCTGTCAGAGTGAAAAGTTGAAATGACACAAAGTCACTCTTTCCTTTTCTTGTCTTTATCGCACCTATGTTGCAATCAAAAATGGAGCAACCTGTATACTAGATGTCCGGAAGCAATGAAATTATAACAGTGAAAATATTTGAAAAAATTCCCACCTCTAGTATAGTACACCCTGTGTGCTTGCATAATACATTTTAATCAGTTTCTGGGATTGACTTTCGTAGTAAAAACTCATTGAAGTTTACTTGCACTAAGGTTATATAGATATATAATCCATTTGATCCCTTTGTGATAACGGAAGTCCATTTGGGAAAGTGGGTAATATCGTAAAATTAAGAGGAACTATCGCATAGAACAAGAAATAGCAAATTCGCGTCCAAAAAGACATTTCCATTTAAAGCGGAGAATTGTTGGTGGGCGTCTGGAGCACATTCGCCAGTCGGAAAGAGGAGAAGGAGGATCGGTAAATAAATTCCATACGATAAATTACATTTCAAAGGTAATTGCCATGTCATCTACAGAGAGAGAGTTACATTCAAGTCAAAGATTAACGCAGGAAATGATACATTTTCCATTATCAATATGTCATTTCATTGTATAATGGCCTCTTTTATAACTTCGTTTTCTATAAATTTTCATTTCCGCTTCGAAAGGAGTTAGACTGCGTACAATTTCTCATTGCGTCGTTTGTATTTTAGTTTCGCATCGAACATCGAAGAAGAAGAAAAACACCCATGCAGAAATGAAATAATATCCTCTAGCGCAATAAAAAGAAAATTTTATTGCCATCCTCGCGAGCAAGTACACTTCTAACAAAGCGACGAAGTTTCACTTTAAGCAGCGCGAACGACATAAATAGTCTTCCGAGTGAAATGCCGAAAACAAAATATCTCGTTTTCTAATGCGAATCAGGAAGCAACCATCGCCCCCCTTCGGGCTATTAATAGCAGGTGGAGACGTTTCGCGACATTGGAAACTTTCCATGTCTCGGATGCGGAATGGAGCATCGAGCATTCTAAATCATAAATATGTATCGAGTGGAGAACAAAACGAAGTCAAAACGCCGAGAAGGGGACGTTTCACTATCAATCCGCGATGGAATTTAGTCGGACGAAATTTCCACAACACCCTAAATTAATCGATCAGAGTGCCAGGAATTCCTGGTGTGGCAGAACGCAGAAAGAACAACGGAAAATTCGATGACAAACAACAGCAGCATTGGATGGATTTTTGCTGGAGAACTGGGAGTGGATTCCTGGGTTTCGGTCCACGTGGATTATCCGCGATCCACGTGCATTGGCATGCCAATGTTGGCGCGATATCGACGCGTTGCGGTCCCAGCCACAGCCATAAAATATACCACGCACTGAACTTGGCAAATGAGTTATGACTAGTCGAGGAGAGAGGAAAAAACCGCCCGGGGGAATTCGAGATTCGGGTGAGTGGTTCTTATGTTTAAGTCGAGAGCGTCAGATTTTCCTTTCGCCTTTCCTTTAAACCAGCAGATTTTACGAGGGTGTCACCGGCGATACCGAATATTGTGCATTTTAGGCCCATCGCTCACGGAACAACTGTTTTGAAATAAAGATTTCAATTTAGTTTAGTCTGTAACCAGTTTACAACTAATATTAAACTTATGTACACACACGGATGCGACTATTATAAAATAGTTTCAATCAATTGCCGTAGTAATTTATCGAATGTCGAATAAATCACACCAGAAATTGGCAAGAATTTAAAGCAACTTGAAACTGCAAAGCGACTGCGACCGCGGGAAATGGTCGGGTACAACTGGTTTATGATTCATTGCAAACTAGTTTCATTTGAATCGACTTGTGTGCGGTTCCACACTACTGTACATTGCGCGAGGTTGCAAAATAGTTGCAAGATCAACTGGTTTACAATTTTTATTTCAAAACAGTTGCTTAAGTGAGCGTTGGGCCTTACTATACATTGCCGATGTTGCAAAATAGTTGCAAGATCAACTGGTTTACAATTTTTATTTCAAAACAGTTGCTTAAGTGAGCGTTGGGCCTTACTATACATTGCCGATGTTGCAAAATAGTTGCAAGATCAACTGGTTTACAATTTTTATTTCAAAACAGTTGCTTAAGTGAGCGTTGGGCCTTACTATACATTGCCGAGGTTGCAAAATAGTTGCAAGATCAACTGGTTTACAATTTTTATTTCAAAACAGTTGCTTAAGTGAGCGTTGGGCCTTACTATACATTGCCGAGGTTGCAAAATAGTTGCAAGATCAACTGGTTTGCAATTTTTATTTCAAAACAGTTGCTCCGTTAGCGGCCGGCCTTGCGAAATTAAAACTGGGTAGCAAAAATCGTTCATATTTTCCCACGTACAATAAATTCCGAAACTTGTTTAAACTTGTACATATACACAAAAGAATTTGGGCATAACGCGAGTTAAATTCGTTCTATTCTTCGGCGTTCCTCGTAAACATCCTCCGAGTTATCGCCTCCTAATTTTCATTATTTTATTATCCTTTCGGCTCGCGTTCGAAATGAAAAAGCGAAAACGCTATACGAAGTACAAGGAAATCGGCAAATTAACCATCTTCTATTCATTTATTATCCGAATTTACGAGAGCAATTAAACGGCCTCTCTCCCGGATTATGAGCTGTATTATTCATTCGATGGCCGCTTCGTTTCGAATGCTCGAGTGCTGAGTAAAACTTTCAACGAATGTCTACTACAATTGAAGCCGGAATGCGAATAGAGTGTACTCACAAATTGTGTTTTTTTTACGACATTTTAATTATACCTCAACGATTTTTTTATTTCCATATAAACCATTGAACATAACCCGGCTAATTTACAGATATACTGTTAATTCCGTCGGTGATTTAGCGGCTAGAGGGTAAAGATAAATCGAGGGAATGTAACAAGCGGCTCTCTTCAAAGTGTGAAACTTTTTCAATATTTCCCCAGTTGGCGGGGCAAGAACAAGCGGCACAATGAAGTAGGGCAATTTACATTAAAATTCGAAGTGAAACGAGAGGGAAGAAAAGAAAAACACATTTCGCCGAACGGTCTAAAAAATTAATAACGTATTTTATATGCGAGAGCGAAGAGGAGAGAGAACCAACGAGCGCCTCTATCAGGGAGACTTTCGGGGAGCCATAAAAAATGTAGTTCGAGCCCAGATAGTTGGGGTAGATAAAACTAAAAAGCCCCTCCGCGAAAAAACAACTTTTGATCCACCGGCGAAGACAGTCAAATTCGAACGAAATTTTATACAAAACTTCCTCGAATTAATCACCGCCGTACTAAATTAAAGGGAATATAATGCTAGCGAATGGAGGAATTTAATTAGAGCGAGGAAGCTCTACATACTTTCTTAGAGCCTTTCGAACTACCTTATACAAGTATATACATTGCAAAAAGTTGCGCGAAAGTTCGCCCAACTAATTTCGCTGTATCTACAGCGAAATAACCGAAACGGGTTAATATAAATCTGAAAAATTGCGGTCGTATTTCACAATACTTGTAAAAAAAATCTCTACTCTAAGCGCGATGGATGCTCGGATATTTCTCCATATATTCCCAAGAAGGTAGAGGTAAGTAAGCCATTTCTAAGCGCATAACACAAGTTATTAGAGCCCGTCAGAGAGTCCTGGAACTGAAGAGACGTTCGGTGGATCTTTTATTCAATAGCCAGAGCCTCGCTCTGGATTAGATGATTAGCTTTTTTTCTGCATTTCATCCCACAAAGCGAAGCGAAGCCCTAGGATATTACATTTCGTTTCGGAGCCCAGGTATGACCTCGGTCCAGGAATTTCGCCGCTAATTTAAATGATAACGCGCCATTTCTGGATTGAATGCGAATGCTGGAAACGCTATCGGATGGCGCGAGCCTCAAACGCCCCGACAGGAATCGAAATGGATGGAAAAAACTGGATAGTAGAGAAGGTTTTTAGGAAAAAGTTGTTTGTGTCGAAACCTGTGAAGATTTCGGAAGCGAGGAAATAATTCGAAGAAGCGCGCTCGAAAAATGAATAAATGAATAGAATTAAATCAACTTAAAATTATAGTTTGCAGTAAATCACGGGAGTTTTCTATTAAGCGGAGCTTTTATGTGTCGCGTTGGTTCTTGACCGATAAATATGAGCTGTAATTTCAGTGCTTTGTGATTTTAGTTCGCCCAGGTAAGAATGGCGAGCCGGGGGAATGGAAAGTTCTTTGTGAAAAATTTAATTAAGCGAAGTCGGAGGGAGGCGAAACGTCGGATCCGGAAAATATAGTTTCCTTTCACGGCCGGAAATTCGGAAGTGCGTCGGAGGAAAATCGGGAAAATCGCGGCGATCGTAAAAAGTGACGGAAAATCCTTGAGTTACGACTTGTTACGCGATTGTAGAACACTCGTAAACTGTCCGATGGAATTTTCCCTTCGACCCGGACGCAATAAAATTCATAAAACTTCCTGACTAAGTAAAAGAAATGATCGAGAAGAAATATTATATTGTCCGTTACCTTCGATTCTATTCGCATGAAGAAAAAATACAACCGTTCGATATCGCCGATAAAAATAAAGAGCAGTAAATGTCTATTTGTAACGATATTTATCGACTGCCGGCTAAATTGGTTTCCTTCTCCGGTATATCTTATTTGTAAATATTTTCGAAAGGGAATAAGCAAGCCATAAAATCTTCTTCAACTTCTGTAAAAGTACATTTCTCGATCTCATTATTATTACGCGGGAATACCTACATTTACATCCGCATCGAACGAAACAATATATTTTTAAGAATGCCTATTATAGAGTCCATAAATAAAACGAACTTTCGGAGTTTCACCAGATAAGACCGCTGGAACTTAAAGGGCCTTTATCTCGCTAGGTACATAAGCCTTTCTCGGACTTTTATTTACCAAAAGTTCGACTTATACCTAAGTCTCGCAAACAAAAAAATTACCCAAGTTTATGTACATATAAATCAGCCTATAGGGTCTAAATCTCTTCAATGGGACACTATTCATTATTAAATAAACAATTATCCCAAGTTCTATAACAATTTATTACAAATTATCTCGAAATCATCTCATAGGTATAATAACACCATCATCAGAAAGTTTCAACAAGCTCTATAAACTATTCCGCAAAGATACTCGAAACAAAATGACTCTAATGTAGCCTCTTTGATGGTGTATATTCGGTAAATATTTAGAGTATACGTACGGAACATTATTAGCCTATTAAAGCCGATGGAAATTATTGAGACGCCTCTAAAATAACAAAGGAATAACTTCGTAACCCTCTCGGGCAGCATTGTAAATATTCTTCGTATTGTTACGCGAATCGATCAACCCTTGAATACATTAATTACGCAAATATTGGATGCTTAAATTGGAAACTTCTGGATAAAATAACAGCGGGCTCGATGTCGGTGCAAATTAGCGATGTATTGCTACTAGAGGAAATTTTATTGTACCTATTTTTCGGATAATTCACAGAATTGTCACATTTTTCAATTATTTGGAAAACTGCCCGGTTTGCGGGAAGGGCAATTCTTTAGAGCGAAAGCTCCACTCTCGAGGAATTTTTGATATATCGCCGGGATATGTAGATAATTGTTTCTAGATAAGCCCGTAAATTCACCTGATCTGAGCCCCGTCGAGAATTGTCTGCGCCGCAAAACAAAAGCTCCACTTCACATATCCAAGCTATATACTTCACATATCCTGCAACCTAATATTTACAAAAGATTCGCGCGAAAATACCTTAAATAAGGATATATTCCTTAAGGATATATAGCCGACGAGATAGTTCCTATACCCCACTGATATCGGATTTCGGAGATTCGAGCGGCCAGTGTTTTATCCTGCAAGGCAGATAATTTAAGTTCCGGGGAGACTTACGAGTTCGAGAATCCTCGAAAATCATCCAATCAAATTCCTCTTCAACCGGGGATTCATTATATCTGGAGCATTCTGGACGTTTGTAAAGTATATATGGAATATTCCGGTGGTTCACCGCCAGTTTCGCCATTATTTTGTGATGATGCATTTAGTGTACATTATTGAGGAATCAAACCCGACTACAAATATTTAGAAGCGGTAATTATCTATTATTATAATCTTCATCGTTTATGCATTTTCCCTTCGTCCTGTTTTTCCTTAAGCTGATCATACACTACGAATATTTCAAACACACGATATGCAAGGCTTTTCGGTCAAAGAGGATTTAGTGTTGGTACTTTTCTTGTATTAAAAGTCATTTTGTTACAGACTCTTAAGAGAGTAGATTTTTATCGGAATATCCTTTATTGAACAACGAGTAATTTCCCCATATTGGTTATAAACCGAGAGCGAGCTACCGACGATGATTCCTCGTAAGTAATGAGACGAGCAACGTCGTTTCGCTTTACGAATAGCTCGGAGAGGACCGCATGAAAGTTTTTCCCATTTCTTTCGGCGATAAATAATTCATATCTAAATGAAATCGTTTCTGTTGCGGCGCCGGAACGGACCCCGCCCGGTTATTAGTCAAACTCCTGCGGGTCGCATTTATCTCGGACCTATTAATAATTACTTGAGAATGGATTTCGGACCATCAGAAAAGATCAAGAGGTGTTGAGACGTCTCAATTTGTCGGGCCCCCTACCCGGACGGAGAATTATAAGGGTTAGATTCCATTGTTGGGGCGCTGAGAGAGGACTCCCCCGAATCAGGCTCTGTTGATTTAATGGAGCACAACGTTTATTTCGCTGTTGTTCCTCTTAATATGTTCACTCTATAATATTATGGAAGTTTGTATAGATTTCCTTTCGGTGGGTTTAATTATCGCGCAAAGCCAATTAAACTTATTTAATTAAGTGTTTTATCTAAAAAGGGGAGTTTTCCACGTCTATGATAGACGTTGAGGGTTTCCGTCGGAGCGGCGGCGAAACGGGAGAATATTTGAAGGCTGGCTCTCGCCCGGAGCCGTAAAAGGCCAGATTTACATAGTATAAGTGTGATTTACATGTTTAGTGTCCCTGACGTTTCGTTATTATTACGTAATCCCTGTTTCTTTGTTACATCGACCGGGAATGATTACCATAATAACCCGTCGATTAATCTCAGCAACCGGGGGTCCTCTATTATTTAAGGGTAGGTGACTCGAAGGGCTTACATCAAAATTCGACAAAGCGACTAGAACAAAAAAATAATATAACATAGTCGTTTAGCCAAATAGTCAAAGACCAGCCCTAGACATTCTGTCAATAGGCAGGTGACAGTTGACAGTTGTAAGTTGTAAAAGAGAACCGCTGAGGTTTGAACAAAAAGTCGTCGTTATGAAGTTCTGTTTGGAAAATAAAGTGCAATCGGGGGAGGATTAGATTTTTAAGTAAACCCTCTACAATAATATCGCATTTACGCCTGCGAATCGGTCCCGTCGAGGCATTATTTTTCCGAAGGGAGAGCGACGCTGTACGAAAATAAACTGCCGCGATTGATAGTATGTTCAGTCGATTTGCTATATTTGTAAATTTACTACGTTTTTGGGTAAACGTCGCATTCGGAAAGTGGATACATCCGATAGTCCGTTTCGTTTTTATTTGTTTTCCTCGTGTGTTCATAAAGAGGAGCGCATAAAATAAATAAGGATCGACCTCGCGAATTTCCCCGGTTATGATTCAACAGGGAAGAGCCGTTTCCAATGCCAAAGATTGGATTAGAAATGGGGAAGTTATCTGGAATTTTTCGGGGGAATCCCAGCTCCAAAACCAAACCATTCGCAGATACTAATTTAATTGAATTTACACCTATTCTTAAAGTCTTATAAAATTCTTATAGTCTTTTATTATGTATTAAAGACAACTTCCATTAGACACTTGTAAAGGAAAAGGAAAGAGTGACATTTATGTCATTGCAACTTTTCACTTTGACAACTGTCATTTTAATAATCTTTCTTTGTTCCACTCATAGAAATGACCATACAGGTTGCTCCCTTTTTTGATCGCAACATAGGTTATATAGGCCATGGGTGCGATAAAGACAACTTTCATTAGACACTTACAAAGGAAAAGGAAAGAGTGACATTTGTGTCATTGCAACTTTACACTTTGACAACTGTCATTTTAATAATCTTTCTTTGTTCCACTCATAGAAATGACCATGTTGCAATCGGAAATGGAGAAAGGTGTATAAAAAAACTCTGATTCGAAGCTGACAGAAGGTATTATTTTTAATTGTATAATCAGACCACCCTGTAGAGTGTGTGAAGCGATCGGAATGAAATTGAAACCGACAAAGCCGCAGCAAAGCAGGGATTTATTTTTTGCGTCTGCGAAAACAATTTAAACGTTCCCTCTGTAGTATATATTCAATTTAATTTTTTTTACTTATTCCGCGTCCGCACGATAGGCAATAAGGAGCTTTCATAAACTACAATCAGGACGTTTTTCGTTTGTCATAACGAGCTTGTAAAAAAACCTAAACCTAAAGGTAACAGATGGAAGGCAATAATAGCTTCCGTGTCCGTATTTTACAAAAGACTTTTCGTTAACGTCGAATGCGAAGCGGCAACGAAATAATTACGAGCGGAAAAGTGCAATTAAAACCCAATTTTGCACCGGGAAATTTATCGTCGACGATTTGTGTATCGGGCGCAAATGTTTCTATTGTGCAAAAGTAACTCTTGATTGCGAAAAAAATGGTCGAGCTTAAAACAACGATTGTCGGAATTCCAAGGGAAAATAAAATCGTTAACCAATTGGATTGCCGTTTTTATAATAAGCTTATCGGTAATTTAATCCGAGCAGACGTGTACATGGAATTCCTCGTGGAAAAATAGCAGGAAAACGCGCTTTGTAAACGAAATTTCGTTTGTAATCTCTCCGATTACGTTGCTAATCCATTTTTAAAGACAATATCGTACTCACCGTCGCAAAGAGAGCAAATTACAACGAAGAGTGTGAAGTAGAAATACCTAACAATCTCTTCTGAAGTCATTTCCATCTTCTTGCACATCTTAAATGCGTTGCAAAGTCGGGCTCGTCGGGCACAGGACAGGAGTCGGCTCCTAAACAATAATTATTCGCATGTAAAAAAAATTAATCCCAACTTAAAAAAAATAGTACAATTTTCGATGAAATCTTTCGTTTAGAATCCAATCGAAACGCCATGTTATTTCACTTAAACACAGCCAGATTAATTATGCCAGATAAGTATAAATTAACGAAATTATTCCGAGTGAATTAATAGGGCGATTTGATAATGAATGGAAATGAAATTGCCTTTTAAACGGCCTTAATGCCTCCGAAGCTCTAACGCCTGCCCTGGGACAGTCTGAATCTGGTTGTCTCCTATCTCTTTGGAATTCACTAGCAGCTATGGCAAATGGACCGAACCCCTTAATCTGCCATTACTCCAATTGTAAACACTTTTAATGGACCCTAAATGGCTTAATAAAATTTTATTTCTTATTATACGGGATTTATGGGGTTTATACTAGCTTCATTAACATATGCTATTTATCGCCGGCGATTCGGTTAGATGGTAATTAGATGTGCGCTTGTGGAAAAAAAATCTATCAATTTTCATAAATCACTCAATTACAATGGAGGCATTTCGTCGGCTCGTTCAGCCATCAATGAAACGTCAAACTTCGAATATTAAAAATTTGTCGACGAAAATATATTCGAGCTAAGAAATATTGGGGGTTTTGATGGGAGGTTGACGTCGACAATGACGACGAGTGAACGACATTGAAAAACGCTTTTGTAACGACAGCAACTCCGATAAAAAAAAACACCTATTAAAATCTCAACGGAAATCGATATTTAGCGGAGAAATGTGCCGGAAAATTTCGAGAAAATGCATAAGGTAGCACTACAATATTCCCTATTTCATAGGATAATGATCCACTAAAATATATCTACACTCATGAGCAGGAAAAATATAGGCTGCTGTGGAAGGTATTAACTAATTTCAAAGTAATGAAAGTGTACTAGAGAGTACTTGTAGTCAGGAGGCAGCAAGTCCTGCAATTAACGAAAAAGTAATGTCTCCAGCAGGAAAATACCAGCTATAGAAAACCAAGACTAATTAGGTAAAATATAGGATTAATAAACTTTAGCAGGAAACTAACTGGAAAACTGAAAAAGGAGGAAAAACTTGAGAGTACTTGTAAAAAGGAGACTCTCAATCCTGTAATCAATGAGAATGTTAAGTTTTCAAATATAAATTAGGTAAATGAAAAATGGAATAATTGGGTATAATGAAGGATGACACAAATTGGAGAAATAAAAAACTTAAATTAACTAGTAGAGAGTACTTTTAAACAGGAGACAGCAAGTCTTGCAAAGTAATGTCTCAAAACCTAAATATTTCTATGTAAGCAGGAATATACAAGCTATAGAGAACGTGGTCTAATTGGGCAAAATATAGGATTATTTAAGTTTAGCAGGAAACAAACTGGAAAACTCAAAAAAAAAGAAAAAAAAAGCTAGAGAGTACTTGCAAACAGGAGACTGTTACTCCTGTAATCAATGAGAAAGTCGAGTCTTCAAAACTGAATTATATAAAGATAAGTGGAAAAATATAAACTGCGGAAAATACGAACTGTAATTGGGTAAAATAAAGGAATAATGAAGTTTAAAAGAAGACGCAGATTGGAGAAATCAAAAAGGAAATAAACTAGAGAGCACTTACGAACTGGAAACAGTAAATCATGCAATTAACGAGAACGAATAAATCAATATTCGCATCTAAAAGAAAGTAAAATTTATTACATTTTATTGCTTCATATTTAAAAAAAAATACTACAAATTTCAATAGATTTCATCTCGACATGGAAGTTATTTCTGCATCGTTATACATAAATCCCAATTCCCTACAAAGCTCGCAAAACACAAACAGAAATCCTAATTACAAAATAAACACCCAGAGAAGACGTAATAAAATTTGAAAAGCATCAAACTAAGAGCCCCTCCGAACTTCCAACATCTTTAATAATTCAAAACTACATAAAGCAACGAGCGCACATCCAAATCCGCCCGTCGCAACCCATCCAGTTTCCACGTAAATAAAACCCTCCAGAAGAAAAAAAAAATCAAATTCAATCGAACAAAAACCTTCTATTAAGCCATCATCGGGATCGTCGAAGAGATCGACAACGAGAACGCACTCGTCGATGTCGTGGCCCGGCGAAAAAGCGACGGCGGCGGCGGCGGCGGCGGCGGCGGCGCCGAGAGAGCGATGCCGGCAATTTGGACGGTAACACGGAACTGGAGAGATTGAACAGACGTCGCGACGTCTTTCGCGTGCCTCGTCGACGACACGCTGCGTCGACTCGCGACAAAACTACGGGGCGAAAAAAACCGGGGCCACTTCATATGCTGGGCTCTCCTCGTTCGCTTTATTTTACATCGCATTCCTTCACCTATTTACACGCCGGAATTAGACCAGACATCTACTGATGATAAAATGATAAATGCAATTAATGAAATTGTTATAAAAAAATTAACAGGTTGGTGAAGAATTGGTTAAAGGAGTAGTAGATGATGAAGGGAGAGGTTGAATGTTTTTCGTCGTCGAAAGCTCGAAAATGCAATTAATGAAATTGTTATAAAAAAATTAGCAGGTTGGTTGAAGAATTGGTTAAAGGAGTAGTAGATGATGAAGGGAGAGGTGGAATGTTTTTCGTCGTCGAGAACTCGAAAATGCAATGAATGAAATTGTTTTAAAAAAATTAACAGGTCGGTTGAAGAATTGGTTAAAGGAGTAATAGATGATGAAGGAGAGGTGGAATGTTTTTCGTCGTCGAGAGCTCGAAAATGCAATTAATGAAATTGTTATAAAAAAATTAGCAGGTTGGTTGAAGAATTGGTTAAAGGAGTAGTAGATGATGAAGGGAGAGGTGGAATGTTTTTCGTCGTCGAGAGCTCGAAAATGCAATTAATGATATTGTTATAAAAAAATTAACAGGTTTGTCGGTTGAAGGATTGGTTAAAGGAGTAGTAGAAGATGAAGGGAGAGGTGGAATGTTCTTCGTCGTCGAGAGCTCGAAAATGCAATTAATGAAATTGTTATAAATAAATTAACAGGTCGGTTGAAGAATTGGTTAAAGAAGTAGAAGATGATGAAGGGAGAGGTGCAAAACAGCTCGGTATAGAATAATGCGAATCGGGAACAAACTGGGGGGGTAAATGCGGATAATTGCGCGATTTATCGCAAACAAATAGCGAATGTTTTTCGACCGTCGAGAACTCGAAAGGCGGCAAAAAGCGGACGTGGTGCACAAGTCGCCCGTCGGCTGCTCGCCGAACGCCGAGACAGACGTAAAAGTTTTTCCATAAAACGAAATGTAGTTAGTGAAGCGTTCAAATTCTCGTCAACGATACAGTTTTTGCACAGCTCGCGCACCAGAATTCCATCGTTAGAAGTTTCCTCGTCGAGACCCTGACGAAAAAACAGAAAAAAAACCAGTAACAACGGCCATTAGATCAAACGAAATTATCAATCTCTTTTCGAATTCGCGCATTCCGCCGGAGAAACAACGTTAATAACGTCGTTAATTATACGATTATTACGCCGTAACCGTTCTACCGAATATGGTTCAAGGAATTCGTTTCGTTCCAAAATATCGCTCTTTTATACTACTGCTTGTTTTCAGTACTGCAAAAATAGCCTTTGTGTATACAATTTTAACGATTCAATTATTAACCATCTTGATCTCGATGCTCTTGCGGGTCTCTGGTGTCTTTCATCTGAAAACTTAAGATCTGTGCATGGTAAAATCGCAATTTCGAAATAATTCCCGATCGGTGAATTGCACCTTCCACCGCAGTCTTTCGAAGCCGCTCTAAACCCAATAATATGGGATAAATTCTGAAGACGAATAAGTTGGCAAAGAAAGCGACCAAATAGTAGAAGAGATCCAATTAACCAGCAGAATAATACAAGAACAATCCAATTAAGCAAGAACACGTTTTTAACAATTTTTAATTAACATTGCAGTACACCAGTAGATTACATTTGTTCGTTAAACCTCTAAAAATAACTAAAACGAGAAACATCATTCATCATTATCATCATCAGCGTTTTGTATGGATAATAAACATTTATTTGGCTATAATAACAGTTAACTAATGTTTCTTAAAAAGGATATATTAATGTGGAAATATTTTTCATACCTCCAGGCCCAACGGAGGCGGCGGAACGGCACTATTTTATTATTTTGGCGGCCGCAGGAAAGGAGGCGGGCGAGACAACAGCAGCGGTCTTAAACTAAAATGAATAGCTCGCATGCAAATTGAATTGTTTCTCGATTTATTGTGTTATGTGTAAATTGATATTTTCCTTTTTCCCCCTTTTTCCCTCAGAATTTTTCTCCGACATCGCGAGCTCCTAGATTTATCTTATTGCTTTCGGAGGGAGTATTTATGGCTGCCGATCCTTGATGCACTATCTAGTTAGAAACGTTATTTCCTTCTAGTGTGTCCTCATTCACCATTCGTTCTTTTAATAAGACACTCTCTTGGAGTTTCAAGTCAGATTTAGAGGAGCAACTCCGCGAGATATGCCCCCATAAATTGTGATATTTTAATATACAGGATATAGGTCGATCGGAATCGTCGAGATTTCATATGATGCTGTAGAAATTATTGGATTAGATGTAGCTATTTCGATTTTTTTAATGAAGAGCTTTTGATTTTAACAACCGTTTCAACAAATCACCTAAATCAGTCTGAACTATTCTAGCCATAGAAATCGTCAAAAAATCTTATCCTATACAACTAAACCATTTCTACCAACACAACAATTATTATATTATTATTATAGAATAGACATTATTAGTACGAAAAATTTAGCCGGTTTTATAAATTATTTTCCACCCCGTTGGTCGCTTTGGGACTGGGCGCTCTGATGGTAGCTTTGGGAGTTTGGAAGGTTATTTGCGGAACAGCAAGCACAGCTTTCTTGTTATCTCCTCCTGATGCTTTCCCCAAGTCTTCTGCCACATGATCCTGCAACAATTACCAAGATAAACATCAAACGCCCAACAACAAACACGCAAGAATGGTTCAATAACTTCATTTAGCTAGGTAGACTACATTAGTATCCTCTTTAGCACATGCCACTTACCAAATATTCACTTAAGTGATCATTCATAGACTTTAACCCGAGTACCAACAAATATCCTTGGCTTTTCAGAACCGAAGTGATTCTCTTCTGCGCCTCCTCCATATGTATTGTCTAGGAAAGTAAAGAAATTAACAGGACTTTTCGGATATGAACAGGACGTTTTGTAATCTACCTAGTACTAATCATATAAAACAAACATCTAAATTTCCTTCATACTTACTTTAACTGCAGAATCCGTTGCATTCCAGAAAGCTCGCACCAGACAGTTAATGGAAACCGACAGTTTCTTCGGCACTTTGCTCACCACAGCGCTGGTGAAATTAATCAAATGAACGATCCTCCTGGCAGACTCTCTGGTCAACAGCACGATCAGCTGCTCCAAATTCTCCGGTCGAGCCTGGTTCTCCGGCTCGTCCTTGCTCAAACTACCCCAAAGCTCCTTGCCTTTCTGATACGCCAGTACAGGATCAGTAGCAACCTGTAATTAATATCTAGTAATTGTGGTAAGAGGTTAGATGAATGATTCTCACCAATTCGATAACGTAGATCAAAACGTGCACGGCTTCGGCGCTTTGGTGCTTCAGAGCTTTGACTTCCGCGATGGTCCTTTGGGTCAACCGGCGCTTCAGCTTCCTGGAGAACCGATCGGCGTGGTGCATCGTGTGGTAGGCTTTCCCCGTGGGGTCGTTCGCCACGATGACTTTGCTCTCTGGAACAAGGAATGAGTAGAATCTTATAATCTTATAGCTTTCGTTTGTACCTTCGAAGCTTTTATCGTTATCGTCTGGTAGATATTTATCGACGTATTTCTCGGCCACGTTCAGCGCCCCGTCGAGCTTATCGGCTGCGAAGGCTGTGTATTTGCTGGCTAAAACAGTGTTGCCGATTTGCTTCACTGAATCGGCTCGTTTCAACACCGGCTGGGCGATCTTGGTGCCCACCTCCGTCACGTATTGTCTGGTATTCCAGTAAATCTGAAAGGCATATTATTCAATTTAGTAGTTATAGCTATACCAGTTCTAGACCACTTTCGAGAGAATGGTCTAGAATCGGTACAGAGTTTTTAAATCGCTCGATGCTTTACCATTTCTGGTGGAAGTTGTATGGACGGAACGGTTTGCTCTACGATATCCAGACTCCTGCAAACTATCTGATCGATGGAAGTGATGGGACCTTTGAGCATGAGAAGAGCCGGAGAAGCGGCCTGGATGACGGAGTGAGCCGACGATTCGGCCGATTCGAGTGTCCAGTGCACCAGCACGTTGGAGTTCTGCAAAGACAGTTTGGTTAGAAAATGGGAATTCGTGGGCTTTGAATGGTTTACTTTGATTTTCTTGTAGACTCCTTCGGCGTAATTCCATCCCGATTCGACGATGGGCAGGTTCGTTATTCGAGCGACGGATTCCAGCTCCTTGAAGTCGAAGGCCTTCCTTCTCGATGACTTCGGCACTGGAATGGAAACGTTGAGGTTATTTTTTTGGGAGATCTGTGGCGAGAAAATGCAATAAAACTCGTAATGGTGTAATAAAGGCGTTTAATTATGGTGGAAAATGTGTTTTATTTGTTCCTACATTCTGCGTCCGTTTGTACTGAGCTGGAGACGAATTTTTTCTCCACTGGTTTAGGAATGTGCGATTTTTCTGATGCATGTTTGCCTGCTGATGGTTTCCATAATTTGTTTCTTCTTTTCCTATGAGCCATCATCGGATCTGTAAAGGAGTTGGTTGATTAGAAATCTGGAAATTTTAGAGGTCATTTGGTAGACAATTTTGTTTAAATAGTTAATGAAGAAGAATTTATTTATTTTAACTTTCTATTTATTTTAATTATAATTCGTGAATGAGACTTTTTGAATTTCGTGAAAAAGATAAATTTAAAATAATTCTCTTACCTTTTATCGCCGGCACTTTTCGTTCATTAAATATACTGGTCACTGCACAACTAAATTAAAATTAAAATCACTCAAAAATACCGAACTTTTATCTGTTTATAAATAATATATACGGATTATCCATTACTTTAATTAGAACGTTACCTCATCGTATTTGTTTAATAAAAATAATATAGATAAAATGCAATGGACCGAACCAGTTAATATGTTTCGAATTTCGGTTATTTAATTATTATAAATGGACCAAAATGATTTGAATCAACTTCGATATATGATGCTAAAAAATATGAAAACAAGAAAAATAATGTCACTAGAATTTCCGGAAATGTCTATTTTCTTGAACCAGACATGTTTAAAAAGTGTCATGGTTTCGATCCATGTTAGATTAATTGTGTTTGATTCCACTGAAAATAGTCATAACAAATTAAAGAGTTATGTAAACAGAAGCCTCATTTTATATAATAATGTTTCACATGAATTTATTGGTTCTAGTTTTGTTCCGTTTGAATGATTGTTTATAATTCTTAACGATGCGTTTGCCGGACTTTGGACGTCTATTAGAATTTTTACTAACCAAGCGGAGTTCAATTTCAGAGGTATCTCCACAAATTTGATGAAATAGTTTTTCATTATCGTTCACGGGCTTAGTGAATGATAATGCACGGGCGTTAATTAAAACATTGATTAAAACATTCTCATCATCACGCGTAGGAATGGGTAAAATTATTTGAAAATGAAGCTTATGAATTAGTAATTCGCTTTTTGTACTAACGCTAAGAATTAAGAGAAAAATAAATAAACAATTAAAATATATAGAAAATTAAAGTATTGATTTAAATAAATGGAAACTCCACCGGAAAATATTAAAATGCTTGAGTAAATACACTTAGAAACAATTAATTTTAAAGATGATAAAGTAAAGATTATTTTTTATTTATAATATAGATATACCTGCTTATCACATTATCTTATTTTGAAAAGTACCTTTTTAAATCAAAACATTATCTATTATAATCCCTAATTTTGCAAATTATGTCTAATAAAACAACGCACATTAAAAAAGTATTAGATAATTTAATATCCTAAACAATAAAACAACTATTGTACATACAAATAAATAACCGGCGTAATCATTTGATTCGAAACAAATTGCACCGGTCGAATAAATTTTTATTTACTTTATAAAAACGATCTTCGTTTTGATTTGATGTATAACAATAATTTTAAAAACATTTCAACTTACTTTTGCCGCTTTGCCTAACACTATACAGATTATTATTCAACGCGAGGATCGTTCTTAGCGACTGATTGCAAGAAGGGACCTCTGACATTCAGATTAAAATAACCCCCTTAACCTTTCTTATCGGCACGACAATAATCCGTAACGATTCTACATTCGGTGGAAAAACTATTTCCCGAACGCGAAGCCGGTTTTTCGGTTTTTCTGCGCTAAAATGGTACTCGACGCTGTAGGTATAGGCAATTAAAAACTTGGACTTGCACCCTGATAAACCGAACATAAAACGGCTATTAAAGCTATACAATACATCGCGAGGAAATGTAATTATTTACAATCTTCCGAGTTGTTGAATTAACAAGAGTTAAGTCCATTTGAATTTTAAATCGCGGAAAATTTTAATGCAGTCCTCATGCATAATTCTGCGACTGACTCTTAGAAGGAATCAGAAATGAGATGAGAAATTTTTATATTTCTTTTTTTTTTGATTGTCACGAACATCATCATCCACTTCTATTTCCATTCCTGGCGATTTTGTTACGCATATTTTACTGCCAATTTAGCGGTGATAATGTTCCATTCCTCAGTGATTTTTCTTTATTCAAATAATAGATATTCATTAATCATTATCCACGTTTTTTTAATCTTCAATTCTAAGTGGATGATTGATCTGTTGTGTTACGGGCCTCATCAACATGTATAATTTTAAGGATCTATAAAGTTGGAGACAATGCGCGAAAATAATCAAGAAATCTAACGCAATTTCGCTTATCTAAAATTTTATCACTAATAATCGATAAAAGATTTAATTATTTGAGTTACTTTGGCGAAATTGTATCATTTTTATCGATGAGCTGAGTTTATCCAGTGGGTGTAGAACGTTGTTCGCGAAAATTTTTATTGCCAGTTCTTTAATTTGTTTGAATTTATTGGAAAATCGATGAATTTCAGGTAATAGTAAATACCATTTAGTTGTTGTAGTAATTTGATTACAACTACGAAAAATCTATCAACTTTTTTAAAGCAATTACGAGTTATTTTCTGGATTTTCTATTAGAAGTTTTTTTTTGGATTTATTTTGTGTAAAAGCTTATCGTACATATTAAAAAATATTCTGTATTAATTATCACAAACTTTAATTAATCAATGATAATCCTTTTAAGTACACTTATCAGATTTATTTATTATTAGTTATTTATTAGCGAGTTGAAGAATCTGCGTATTTTTTTTAGCAATGGATAATACCAAAATATTTTTCATCTTGGTATGGATAAACGCATTCACCAGTAAGCATTGTTAAATATCCTTTAATTTATAATTCCTACAAAAAAAAATGATTTTCAGATATTCACTGTGGTTCCGATGTAATTACCATTAAATCACCAGATGCTACTAAAATAGATATAACTCCTATCAGCAATAGGGGATGGAATTTAACCATGGACGAAAACAATCATAATTTCGAGACCCGTAAAGAATTATTTATAATAAATGACCCCAGATGCAACGGTACATTATTTTTACAATTATTGCGATGATTCAATATCAACGAAACCATTCTTTTAGAAAACACTTTTCAAAAATTTTCAACGGGATTCGATGTTAACAGTTTCATGTACGAACTGGACTCGGATTGCAAGTTCTATTCCGACGAATCGTTCGACTACGAAAATCAAAACCAAAGACATTTCCAATTTCATTTAACCTACGACGGTCAACCTTCTAGTCTCACCACGATTATTCTAAACATTCGCAACATCGACGACGAGAGTCCCGTTTTGACTTGCCCCAAATGCAGTTTAGAAGTAAGTCGATAGATTTAATAACTCGAAAAACTAATTCGCAACATCGTTTTTTGGTTCTAAGGAAAGAAAAATATACACGGAGGAAAATAGCACTTGTGCTTACACCTTGTACGATCCCGATGGCTTTTTGGAATACATGCATTTCGACATTACCGGCTTGGTAAGTGCCGAAAGTACCAAAAAAACCGCTCGAATTAACTTTAGATAATGATTTAGGATGCCCAAAACGCTGGTTTGTTTAAGATCGATCCGCCTGATGTCGATAACTTCACCTACACCAAACCGGTGAAGTTAACGAATACCGAAATGTTGGATTACGACGCCACTAATTTGTATTCCTTCAGCATAACTGTAATAGTAAGTAGATTATTTAACAACGAAATATGGAGATTAACCAAATGTGGTGAAATTACAGGATAGCGGATCGAACAAAGTTACTCAAAACGCGATTGTTAAAGTGAACGATACCCGACATACGCCACCGAAATGGGTCAGTATGACGAATTTTCAGGAAATCACCGAAAAAACGATCCAGGTAAAGCTCAATGAATGATAATAAACACATAATAAACGTTCCTTTAACAGACCATACAAGTTAAAGCGATAGACGGGGACACTGGATTGAACAAGACAATTTGCTACTACAAAAAAAATGAATCCGACGCCGAAGGTAATCGCGAAATTAAACTCACTAGTAAGAAAATTCATTTGTTACGAACCATTTCAGCTAATTACATCACGGTGGATAAAGACAAGGGTATTATCACTATAAATAAAATAGACAGAGACAAAAACGACATAAGCGAATATTACTTGTACATCGAAGCGTGCGTTTGCGATGAACCAAGCTGGTGTCAAATCCAAAAAATGACCTTCTCTATAATAGATGTAGACGATCACAACGCGGAAATATTAAAGGATAACTACAAAAACGGCACCATAATCGACATCACCAATCCTAAAATAGTCCAAGTGTCTTTCCTCGAAAACGCCGTGGGAAGCTTCAACTTTACATCGTTCATTGAAGACAGAGACACTGTAATTCTCCACTAAAAACATCATCTGTAAATGCATCAATTCCAAACTGTTTCAGGGCGATAACGCAAATTTCCAAGTCGAATTGACCGAAAGCGGCACATTCGATTACACCGTCGCTTACACAATGGTCCCATCGTCCGGTTATAAGAAAGGAAATTTCGCAATTAACATCAAAAATAGCACTTACTTGGATTTCGAAGACAAACAGTGGTACATACATAGCTTCAATGTAAGCATATCGCTACACACAATCCCTTTAAACCCAACAATGCATCGTTTTTAGGTAGAAACCGTAGGCACCCGCAATTCTTCTCACATCGATAAATTGTTTGTAAACGTATCGTTAATAGACTACAACGACGAGATACCCAAGTTCGATGAAGCTAATTACGCTGCGACCATCAACGAAACAGCGAAAACCGGCGATTTCGTGTTGATAGCCCACGCTACAGACCGCGACGCCGAAGACAAGATATTGCAGTAAGTCTTTCGATCCCGATCGAATTAACAAATTTAACGTCTTCTCTTCAGCATGGAAATATCCGGCGAGTACGCGAAAGATCGATTGCAAATCGTCCCGGACGGTACCATAACGGTGAATTTAACGAACCCCAACGGCGACGATTTCGGCTTCGATTACGACGAGCTCAATTCGGTTTTCTTCCAAGTCAAAGCCATCGATAGAGTCGGTCATACCACAGTCGTTCCTGTTACACTCACTATTGCAGATGTGAATAACAAGAAGCCTATCATCGAGCCTGTTGTGAGTACTTTACTCGCCTTATTTTCTACAGTTCTTCTAACTCGTGTATTACATCAGGAAGATTCGATTAGCGTCGAAGAGAACCAAGTGGATGGGATTTTTCTCAATGCAACGATCACCGCCAGCGATCCGGACACCACGGGAAATCTAACGGCTAGCATCGATTGGAGCCACACTAGAGCGGTTAAGAACTCCCTGCAGTTGAATTTAACCGATCCTGCTAATATGACGGCGATACAGTAAGATCGTTAACATCCGAAATTCTCTAAAAATTCATTTGTACGGTAGGTTTTTAGAGCCAGTGGTAACGCCGAGAGACGGCGAAGTGAGAAACATTAACATCAAACTGAAAGTGGTGCATTCCGAGATAGACGGCAAGCAAACGAAGCCGGATTTCGAAACGTTCGATTCGCTCTACCTTAAATTAGTCGTTACAGATTTGAACACCGATCCGGAGTTTTTGTCGAAGCAAAACTCAACAGGTGAAACGAAAGCGAACTCGCTCACAATTCGATTATATCACCATTTACCTTTTAGTGGACGTTTTGATAACTATTATCGATATCAACGACAACCCGCCGGTTTTCCCCGCAGACGATACGAACAGAACCGTCATAGAAAACGCCAATAAGGACGTTTCTGTCGGGAGTATACAAGCGACTGATAAAGATGCCGGGACGATCTTGCACTACAACTGCACGTAAGTTCGAGGAAATGCATCATCGGTACATTGTCGAGTAGTTTCGAAATATACAAACGACCAGTCGTTTATGTGACTGTAATATTCCAGGGCCGATGATCCCGATGCCGACTGGATAGTAATCGATGAATTGAAGGGAACTTTCAGCGTTAAAGAAACTGGGAAAATTAACGCCGACGTGCCGAAAAGATACACTTTTTCGTACACCTGCGGAGCAACTGACGGGCTGTTTTACACTGAAACAGTCAAACCGGTAAATTTATTTACCTAATCGTTAACAAAGTCTATCGTTAATTCCATCACTTGCAATTGTAGTTATCTAATCGTTAATTCCATCGCTTGCATAGTGACTTTTAGTTAAAGCTAATTTAAGGAGTTAATTTTTTTGCCATTTTATTACTGCCTATTTTGTAGGTTGTGTTTTACATAATTGACACCAACAGCAGGGATCCGGTAATTACACCGAACGACACGTTTTCAGTTAAAGAAAAATCTAGGAAAGGCCAATTGGTCTCACCAATAGAAACATCAGACTTGGACAGAGATCGTATGTAATTTTAAAATATCCTTTTAAAAACATGTACATTATACATTATAATGTTTCAGCGCCTTTTCATGCGTTATCGTGCCATATAGATCCGAAATCGGATAATGGCGATTGCTCGAAGCAATTCGAAATACAGGACGACACTAAGCATTTAGTCGTTAAAAATGACAAAACGCTCGATAGGGATAAAGGAAAAGGAGTTTACAAGTGTACTGTTATATGCACAGACAATCCGAACTGTAAGCAAACACTTCTATTAGTCGAAATTTAACTAAAACATTTACTTCCAGACGAAAGATCCCAAAGTCCCAGGACCAGTTCGAGCGATTTCGTTATAACTTTGATAGATATTAACGATCATGCTCCGACGTTGCACACTTTAAATGCCGAGACCAGCGAAAACTTGAAACTGGTAGTTATAATATACAACTAACTCTCTTAATTTTTAATGTTTGTAATAATTTAGGGCGCAGAAGTTTGCAGTATTTACGGCGAAGACATCGACGAAGGCGACAACGCTCGAATAGTTTTCGGAATACAAAGCGTCAAAGACGCGACCGGTCGCGATTTCACGTCCTATTTCGAATTGAAAAACACCACCGAAGTCAACGCTACATGGTCGACAGTGCATTTATTTGCCACTAAAAACTTGAAATCTTTATACGGCAATTACATCGTCCAATTGAAGGTACTTCAACGAAACATTCCATCCAACAATCCCAGTAAATCGAAACGGTATAAATTCCAGATTCACGACAAGGGCACCCCTCAACAAACCACCCCTAGCGACCAATCGATTTTAAAACTTCAAATCGACAAATACAATTATGCTTCGCCAACGATCGCCTATCCCGATACGGAAACGTTGGATCTCCTAACGGTGAGCTCATCAGTTAATTTACCGGCAACGCTTAATTTTTTTGATTCAAAGGACCAAACAATCGGAAAACCCTTGATGATGTTCGGCAAGAAAAACCAGCAACAGCTACCGGACTTCATAGCGACTGATGGTCAAACGAAGGACTGCTCGAAATGGAACGTTACCTTCGGCATCGAGTACCTGAACCCTGGTAAATATATCACAGAATGTATTAATATTAAACTTATAATAATTTGTCTAGGCGATCCAGATATATTCAAGCTAGTAAAAATCAAACCGTGCGAATCGCAGCTCCAAGTGACTAACCAATTCAATCCAGAAACAGGCGCTAACGCCAAAACATACCAAGTATGTATAAGATGTTGAATAATACGAAAAACTCTTGGAGTTTCCTGCTTAATCTTAGGTGAAATTCACGGCTTGGTTAAACTCCACCGCAAGCGAAACAATCAAAGGCGACGCGCCCTGGTTCGCTTCAACAACAGTTAAAATAATGTTCATCAGTAAAAACGAGGAGCCCTATTTCAAAGACGACACTCCTTGGGTGGTTACCTTCGACGAAAAAAACACCACTCAATTAGCCGTATTGGGACCCAACCGGCAGGCTTCGTACGACATCGGCGATTTTTCCCTCTACTACGAATTCCTCGGCGACGCCAAAATCGCCCAATTCTTCACCGTCGACAAAAACTCCGGAGATGTTCACGTCAAAAGTGAATTCCTCTACGACGACCACAAGCGGTTTGATTTCAAAATCGTCGCCTCGAACGATTCCACGTCGGCTTACAACACCAATCCGATGGGTTATTTGAACGTTACAGTGCTTGTAAGATACATTCCTCTTCAGCGATTGCTCTGTTGTTACTAGCAATTCGTTTGCAGGTTAAAAGCGTCAATTGGAGACCTCCGAGTTTCATCAACGAGCCTTTCTTCGGAGCCATCATGCCCACGTACAAAGCCGGAGTCGAAGCGGTTAGCATCAAAGTGGGTTGCATAACAACTATTTTATTCGTTTGTACTACTTTGAGGGTTTTTTCCAGGCGATGGATCCGGATGAGGTGGATAAAAATAAACTGGTTTTCACTATTAAAGATATAACTAGACACGGTAAAGGGCTCGATTTTATAAACGATCCGGCTTTCAGTATCAGCTCGAGCAAGGATGTGGGTAGCGTTGTAACTTCCTTTCCAGTGGATTCTTCAATGAGCGGTTACTTTGAATTGACTATCGTGTGTAGCGATCAAGCAATAAATGATGGTAAGTTTGTGGTTCCACCGCGATATGTCTCAATAAATTTCATTGTACAATTACAGGACCTCACCACATTACCACCAAAGCCGCCATATTCATAATAACCACAGATAATACCATACGCATGGAGTTTTTGAATTCGGTAGAAGAAATCAAGAAGAAGCAAGATGAAGTAAGTTGTGTACGAATTAATCGCGCGTTTTGAGGAGTTTCGAAATTTTTAGATGCTGAAAATCGTTTCGACGGTTCTGAAGTACAACGCGTTCATTCAAAATGTCAACGAAACGATGGAGAGCGGCGGGAAGGAAATTACAACAGTTACTGTTTATTTTATTGATGTGAAAAAAACCGCTTTGATTCCAGCGAAGACCATCATGAGGTAAGCCAGTTTTATTGATCGCTTTTCTAGTTAACTGATCGATGAATTTTTATTTTTAGCGAAGTATCCGATCCGAGTACATACGCTACTTTATACCAGCAACTGAGAAACGAAACGCTTTATTTAAACTCCATACCGGGGCTACCCAGTGTCGATAACTCCGAGGAGAAAACGAGGAAATTGCTACTCGGGATTTCGATCGCTTTGGGCTTATTGTGCATAATACTGCTCGCTGTGCTTGTATGGAAAACGAGACAGTAAGTTAGATAGTTTAAATGCATTAGTTGAAAAATATAGAATAAATAAGGAGCTAATTGGTATCCTCTTTCAGGCTCACGAGGAGGATTTCTAAATTGACGAAGTACAAGTTCAGTTCGCAGGATTCGGGATTGAATCGAATCGGAGCTCCCACTACGAATATGCACGCGTTGGAAGGGACGAATCCGATTTACAAAAACGATATTAATCAGAATAATGAAATGAAGGATTTCGACAAGCACAGGTAACGTTGTTTCGAAAAGATCGTTTAATTTGCTAATTAAATTCTTTGATTGATTATTTTATTATTTTTCGTTAGTATAAGAAGCGGCGATTCGGATTTGATTGGAGTCGAAGACAATCCGGAGTTCGATCTTAATTTTAATTCTCCTAACGATACAACGACTTATTTATAACGAAGTTTTCGTACATTTAGGTGTTTTGTTTGTATTTATTTTATTGAGTAATTTATGTAGCATTAAATTAAGTGTAAAAATGAATATTTAAACACATCTATCTTACCTTCTTATCCTAAAATTTCCTTACAATTCATTATTATGTCAGGATTTTAATTCGATCAAATTTTCTGGTAAGTTTCTGGTTTCAAGAAAGTTGAACATATTAGTGCCATATTAAAGTATTTATAGAGAAAATATTTATTAATATACCTACATTAATAACTGATAAGATTAAATTGTTTGAACTAGATTAAAAAAAAGTTTGTAGGTGTTCAAAATCCTATTTAGTTTGGTTTACTATGATGTACGTTCTCTTGTTATTCGTTTTACTATCAAATATAATACAAGTTCGATCAAAATGTACCGACGAAAATTATCTAAAAATCGAGAAAGACATAATATCCGAGAAGGGTACGTACAAATTTTATTTTCTTATCCAATTACAAACTTTACGACGAAATAACAATACCATTGTTGTTTCTAACGTAGATAACTCTTGCAATGATAGTGATATTTCAATCCGAAATCGTTGATTAAATAGTGAAACATTCCACCGAAATAAAATCGTTTAAACCAATCAATCGCAAATCAATCTCTAGCCGCCCTCGAAACCTTGTCGTACACCTCCGGAAAAGCGTCCTCGCAACGCAATTCACTCCTCAATTTATCGTACAAACCGTGATCGAACATCGTCCTGAATTCCTCCCTCGTCATGTAAATATCAGCGTACAACATTTGAAACCTGCAACACACACCACAATCCAAACACCACTCCACAACATCCTCAAAGATCATACCCATTGGAATCGATCACGTGCTGTTCGATCTTCCGCGCCGTCTCCTTCGGATCGAACCCGTCGACGCGCGGCGTCCCGTACAGCCCGATGTCCACGAACATCTCCGATCGATTCTCCCTCGGCCGGACCATCCCCGGTCGATCGGGCAGCAGGAACGGGCACAGCCACACCGGGTAGACGTCCACCAGCTCGTGGAACCTTCGCAGGCTCTTCTCCATCTCCCCGACGGGCACCAGCACGTCCTGGAACACGTGGCTGCGCTCGTACAGCTCCTTGATCGCCTTCGTCTGCGTCAGCTTCAACAGCGATATCTTCGGCGGGATCAGCCAGCCCAGCAGCGCCCTGAACACCGCGTTGTTGCCGAACGGGATGATATCCTGGATTAACCACAACAACTACACATACAACAGATATATAAGAGGATGATTAGTACCTGCAGCTCCCAGAATATGGACCTGGTGTGTCGATGATAGTAAGCTCTTAACGGTATGTATTCCTCAGTGATGGTGTTGTTTCGAAGTTTCTCTTGGACGTATTTGAAGAACCAAGGTTTGTACCATCTGTCTATCGAGTTGATCTGAAATGGGGAATGGCAGGAGTTGGATGGTTGATGGATAGAAGCTCGCTTACTTTGCTATGTTCGGGCGAATTCGTCTGCACTCCGGTCATCATTACGGCTTCGTGTTGGCTGAAGAGTATCATCTCGACGAATTCGTTGCTGGCATCGCCGCTGCATTCGGTGAATTTCTGCACGATGTTGTCCAATCCCCAGACGGGCTCGTAGGACAGTTTCACGTACTTCTTCGCCGGGACGATTCGAATTTCGACGGCCGTTAGAATGCCCAAAGTGCCGTAGGACCAAGGGATCGAGTAGAACAAATCGGGCTCGTTCTTCGCCGAACACCTGACGATGGCGCCGTCGCTGAGGACCAGTTCGTAGGATACGCAGGTGTTCTGGAACAGTCCGTGGACGTGCGAAGAGGACTCGATTCCTTGGCCCATCACCAGCCCGCCTACTGTTAGATCGTCGATCTCGGGTAGCACGGGGATGGTCCAACCCAAGGGGTTCAAAGTGGCTGTGAGTTGGCCCATCGACACCAGAGGTTCTAATCTCACGACCTGGAAATGCCAGAGTTCAATTTCTGGAATAAATACAGTGGGTTCCTTCAACCGGAGGTCGTTGAATTGCAGTAGGTGCATCGAACGTTGAAAGAGTGTTTGTTTGTGAAACATTTCTTGATAATTTCGCGTTGTAAATGCGTTTGTTGTTGCGAAAACATCAATTTACTCTTTGTGCTTATCGTTTAATTGTGTTCGCTTATCACTCTGTTGATATTTGTCGTGGATCTCGGACTCAAATTTGATGAACTTACCCCTTTTTCGGTGTCTATTTCCAAAATATCTACCAAATTCACATCGATGTTGGTCATGTGTTGTTTGTAAACGGGTCTTCTGAATGAGACTGTTTGCCAGCCGGGCCGGGCTGAGCACATTTTGGTTTTTCTGCCCTTGTTGTTCCATTCTACGATCTACAAATGTCTTGCACAATTTAAATAACCTATACCTGGACGGGGAATAAATTTAGTTTTAATTCTGGTTTATGAATTTTCGAATCGATCGGGCGGTTAATGTCGCCGTTCGGTGCATGTAAAGTGGGGAATATACAATTTGTATAATTTTAATCTGCGCCTCTATAAATATTTAGATTTTTTTTTGAATTTAAGCGTTTTGAATTTTAAATGTGTTGTAATTATAAAATCGAATTTAACCGGTGTTAATTGATGGTTGTGTGGCGAAGATCGATTTAATGATTCGGTATTTTTAATGGATTTTTTTCCAAATTAGCGTCCCCGCGGCCTTCATTTTTACAACACTCTGTAATAACAGTCGCTGAAATTAAAATAGCGAAGCATATACGGTAAATATTTGTTATTACTAATTCCATTACTATTCGCTAGAATTTTCGTTAATGAGCAATTACTTCAGAATTCGCTCTATGAATTTTTTAAATTTTTATCGATTGATTGGGGAGATTTGTACGAGGTTAAACGGTCAATTCTAAGGGATTTAATCACAAAATAACTTCCATCGCAATTACTGGTTCTTTTAAGTAAATTAAACTTGTTTGGTATGTTAATAAACCGCATAAAATTTCAATTCAACCCTATAAACTTTAAGTAGCAATGAAAACTAAGTATCAAATTAAACGAACTCATAACGTACAATCTAAACAACGTCAAACTATTCAAAAGATAATGTACAATACACAAAGGCAATTACCAACAACAATGAGTGAAATTTATAAAATAATTTAGTATTTCTACCTATATTATACCGCTTATAATAAGATTTCCAGTCGAGCATAAAAATGAGTAAATTTGTTTACCTGTTCCTGTACATATTTCACTTTTTTGTAATGCTTGGAGGGCGCGCTGCTCAACCTAAACACCACCCAATTCCTGAAGTACATCCACAGATCGTAAAAGAGGGAAATCGGCAGAAGGAAGAAACACACGAAGAGCCACCGGTAATTAACAAGAACATATTCCATGCAACCCATCGCTCCTCCTTGTTGTAAACTCTAAATTCCCAGCCGCAGTGAAACTGTCGCCTCGCGCCGGTTGTGTACACCGTATATAAAATTTTGAACACGTTATTTCGTACCGACAATGAATTAATGTATAGTTACGTTCGGCCGTAATCGTCTTAATAGCGTATGAATGATACATTGGAGGAATCAGTGACCTCTTAACCTTGCAATTTATTGTGCTTGGATATCCGGCGAATATTCAATCAAAAGATCTAAACTCTATAAAGCGCCTTTCGTCGAGTTTTATCATTTCATCGGCTACTTAAACAATTTAGTCATCGGATAATATCTGAAATTTTAGCACGGGTAATTCGAAACGTAAAAGTTAATTGCGAAATTGCAACATAAGCGTTACCTACAATCAACGCTAAATAACGTTTCAAGGTTTGCACGCGACGATGTACAATGTAAAGTAATGGACCTGATTATTTTTTTTTGTTCAGAAAAAATCGGAGATGAGCTGCTGTTGAAATATGGGGATGTCCCGGGCGAGCTGGGAGATTTATTGCAACAACTTCGGCGGGTTATCGGCGGTGGTTATGAAACTTTAAAAATTCAAAAAGGAGTCAATGGATTGCTGAAGGATAGGGAAAATGGGTTAAATAATAGAACGGATGGTTTGTATGGAGAGTTGGAGGTTTTAAGAAGAATCATGGCGGGTCTAAATGTTGATTCTATTAATTTTAATGATACTATTGCTAAGAATATAGTGAGCGATAATTTCCTATATAAGTTTCTATATAACAAACGTTCTGTATTTTTTCAGGATGATTCAATTTTGAAGAAAATTAAAGATATGGAGGATCAGCTAAAACTTATCGATGTACTTTATAATAATTACAGTAATTTGAATATTTTTGAGAAAAATATGAACATACCAAACAGAGTTTCTAACGATCTTTCTATAATCGAAAATTTGTTAACAGAAGTAAGTGTACTTATACAAAGTATTGCCTAACGAAACAGTTCCGGGAAGTTTGTAGAAATAATTGATATTTCCAGAAAGAAGATCCTCATTGTTCTGAAAAATTAGAAGAAAAACTGAACAAACTGTTTAGGGAACTATTAAGTTTACTGGATTTCAAAGAACTTGCTGAAGAAGTTCTAGAATTGAAGGAAATCGCTCAAAAGAAAAAGTAAACTTTAACTGTACATATTACAGAAACAAATCTAATGGAATATTCCTTTTTAAAATATCTACTCAATCAAATTAGTTCGAAAGTACCATTAACACGCTCGTATTTTTTAGCGAGGCATCAAAAAACCTACTAAACCTTGTGAAGGAGTACATAAAAATCGAAGCAAAATTCCATGAGTTGCAAGATATAATTAATAAAGTAGAGGAAATTCTAAAGTCTTTGGGTCTAAATAAATTGTCAGATATACCGGATTTTATACGTAAAAATGAAGATGAAATCGACGATTACATTAACGAAATAAATTGTTACAGAAATTATATAATCAATTGCCATATTAAGCACCCTTCGGATTCAACGAATGTACCTATATGCATGAAAAGTTGTGAAGGTGATAATAAGATTGTTTAAATGTAAGATGAGTGTTTAAATTTTCCTTTTTTTCCTTTAATTTTTATTACCAGATATAATACAAAAGGCTGAAGATTAGTGATTTTAAAATTTGGCGCTGAATTTTAATCAATAAATAAATGTCAAAAATGTCAATTTAGAATTTTATCAAAAAAAGAAGAGTAGAAATAATCCAGCCAAGTAGCTTCAAACGATTTTAATAAGAGACAACTATTTCACTACAGGGAGAAGAAGATAACCTTACTATTATCTGTCAGTTACGGTAAATAAAAAGATGGATTAGATTTTAACTAATAAACTTTCGTAATAATGTTTAATTCAGCTATATTAACAAACCACAATTGTAAAAAATGTATATGCATAGATCCCTGTTCACCTGGGTCATACTTCTAGTGTTTTTAATATTGTTGTGCCTTAAATTAGAATCGAGAATACAGTGGAACTGGTTTCTGATATTTCTGCCATTATGGACTTTCGACGTCGTTCTATTCACCGAAGCTTTATTTTACATATTAATTTCCTGCAAGGAGGACCCCATAAGGAAGCTCTTTAAAAACAGACATTTAATCATCGTAGCCGCGGTCGTACTCAAACTTACCTTTCAAATTATGCTCTGTTTGAAATTAGAACACGATTATTTGAATTTACAATTGTACAATATTCTCCTGCCGCTCTGGATCCTGCTAATTATATTAATTACGGACGTTTCTGTCACACTCTTCAAGACTGCTTTTTAACTAAGTAAGTGTAACCGACTGTAAGTTTAAAGTAAGAAATTAATGTATGTTTTTATTTTAGCAAATAATCTAAGAGGGATTCGTTTGAATTAAATTTTATTTCTTCTATTAGATTTGACTGTAAAATGTAAAGGACTTGGAGCATTCCTGATTGTACTTTAAAATACTATTTGCATGTCATTTAAGGCCATATTATACTGCAGTGTAAGAATGAATTCAAAGTATAAGATGTTTTCTGCTCAATATTTGTGTTTTATTTCGCTTCTTTGCGTTCAGAAAATGCCCCTTTATATTTGTAGATTTTCATGGGAACTTGTTAACTCGTTAAAGAAGGGTAGGGTAGAGCGGGGTAACGGTTCCTGAACTTGTTAACTAGTTAAAGAAGGGTAGAGTGGGGTAACATTTGCTGAACTTGTTAACTAGTTAAAGAAAGGTGAAATGAAATGCCAGAAAGTCAGCTAATGTTTATTTGACACTTTAGGTCATCCAATCACTAACATAGAAGGATACAAAAATCGTTTCTATCACACAATATGACTAGATGATAACTGGTTGATGTCAAATGCCTTTTTACAAATCTGTAAAGAAGTCAGTACAAAAAAATATCCACACGTCAGGTACTCCAAAATAAGTACCAAGAAAATTAGTACGTTTTTTTTAAATAATTACCTACAATTAAAAATACTTTTTTATATAAAAATACAAATATACTTTAGTACAATAGTTGCTAGACCGCCGTCTATTCAGCACCGTAAAAAAACTATATAACGCTATAACTGAATTTAATCGAAATTTGGCATGTTCAGTCTATAGCAATGCGAATCAAATCAATTCGAATATTATATAGTGAGATCCTCCCAGTCTTCTTTTACTCGCGGCGAGAGAGTTATTCGCAAATGGGTAATTTTCGATAGTTGTTCGTGTATTCTCGGCGCTATGGGGTTGTTACTGAGATCTATCGTTTCTAAAGACGGTGCTTCCTTCAAACAGTCTACATCTATATCTAAAATAAAATAATTAATAAAGAGTTAAAGAGTTGTAGACACTCTTAGAAGCAATTACTCACCGACTATACTATTATTGCTGGCATCGAGATGCCTCAGTTTGGGTATCTTAAACACGCAATTGGGCAATTGTATGAAGGTGTTGTGGGAGATGTTCAGCCGTTGCAAGGAGCCCAAATCGACGCACTCGTCGGGCAACTTGGACATTTGGTTGTGCGACAAATTCAGATCGGTGATCAGGTTGAATTTGGCCGCGAACTTGGGCGGGATCTTCGTGATGTCGTTGTCGCTGAGATCGCAGGTTTTCAGTTCGGTGTGCCTCATCAGGTGGTAGACGGCGTCGGGTACTTGCATCAGCTGACAATTCGACAGGTCTGGAATCGAGGCGAGAGTTTGGATTTATTCGAGGACGATTTTTGTTGAATTGCGAATGCAACGGATTCGATTGCTTTGGTTTTAATTGTGTTGTAGAACGAGGAAACGAACGCGATGTTCCTCGTTAACCATACGGACGCAACTTTCTCAACGATTTAATTAGTTACATCAGTTTAGCGCAAAAGTATAATAGTTTTGTTGGGCAAGAAATGCTGGTTTATGTAATAGGTAATTCGGAAATATTCTTCACTGTTGGAAAACGCGAAATTTTTACTACAAATTCGTGAGAATATGAGTCTACAAATCTACCTTAATCCGGACCTATATCATTTCTGTCACATATCATTCTCTATCACAAACCTTATCCTGCATGAATTTTAACGCAACTGATAGTTAAAATACTATTTTAAATCACTGTTTATTACCTAGTTTTTCGTTCTCTTGGGCACTTTCACATCTGTGAATCACTTTCGTTACAGCTGAAGCCATTGTGTGATTCGCTCAAAACGTACTCAACTAATTCTATCGTGAATATTTCCACCACATATTATGAACGTGTGCCTATTTAAAATCTATTTTAAGATGAACTATCCGTGTATAATTGTATACCTATTTGATTTATCAGGGGTGTACTAAATGTGTAACTGTAATTTTAGAAAATAGTTGAAATAAATTGAACAAAGAGAACCTTGTAATTAACACACCTGCGCACGTGTGAGTAGGTATTTTAATCTGAACAGGTTAATGCGCTCGATGAGAAATAATCTATTCCTAAAATTTGTAAAATCCACATAACGAATTTGTTTATATATTTTTATTATCTTATCTTTATATCAACTAATGCCTTAGATCAAAGTAATGTGTACAAATATTTTATTCAAGCGAACTTTTGAAATCATAACATCCAAACGTTTGACAACATTTTATCTTACTTAAGATTTGTTTTTGATAAAACAAAAAGTTGCGAACTAAAGATGAGAATCGAGGAAGGAAGTAGAAATACAGCTCGAAAAAAATTCATTGCCCCGAGACGTCACAAGTACTCAAACTCTTCCTGCTTTTACCATAAACAGCATTAAAATAGAACCATTCTTGTACCAACCTCAACCTCCTTATTAGTACCATTAAGGTTGTCGAGACTCTGCACAAATATAGCAGAAGTAATTAATTTTTCAAAGAAACTTTTATCGAACTGTTTAATAATAATCGAAACGCAGTTCTTTCCCATCGTTTTTGTACTTCAACTAGACTAAAAATAGCCGCTCTTTCCATTCGAACGCTCCCGTTCGTTCACGAAAATTCCAAAATCCGAATAATTTGAACCTTTAGAATCGAAATACACGAAGCATTTTCATTTAAAAATAGTGCGTCGGGTTTTACTTGGCATGAACAACAGCTGTTTCGCGACGCACAACCGAATTGCGTTTCGAAATAACTCATTTAATTATAGGTATCTAGTTGGAACCGCGGAATCGTTCACTTCCGCGATTCGCAAAGCAATTGAACTGCACTTGAAAAATACAGAAAATGCGCTCAATGAATATACCAATTAAACCAGCGATTTGTCATTTAGTTTGGAATTTTATGCAGATTTTTAGCGGATTAAATTCAATACAAATTGTTGTAGAAGCTACTCGATGTAAGGTCGACTGGGGCAAATGTAAAAATGGGGTAAATGTAATATTTTTACCTATTATGTACCTTATTCAGAAATTTATTATGAAAATGTGTTAGAAATTTCACGTCTGGTGCAATCGTAAACTAGTCGTTTAGATTGTCTACTACATTCAAAATAAGATTGTAAAACAATATTTTTCATTGTTTTAATTTTAATCGAGGCAATTACGAAACGAAAAATATTTTTGTTGGTTCAAAATAAAAGTTCCGCCAACAAAGAACAGATTATTTACAACTAGAAATCGATCTTATATAAGGTAGACTGGCGCAAATGGGTTGTAAAATTTGAATAGTTCAAATTAAATCCTAAAATGTGGCTTTATTTTTTCTCTTATTAGAAATGCTGATACCACATTAAATTCACAACTTCCTTAATTAAAGAATCGAGGTATTAAAAAGTTTTTTTTTAAGGAAGAAAACGATTTTACATATTTTTTAAAATGTTGACATTTACCCCATGGTACGGGGTGTTCTAAAGAGACAAAATAATTATATAGAAAAAGATATGGGGCAATTGTAAATACATATTTGGTTCCTTTAAAATTTGATATGCTGTTTATTTATTTATTTCAAAAAATAACAGAGCTACAAAATAATGAAGAAAAAATAAGAAACAAACCCTGTCTAATGCACAAAAGAACTATAAAAATAATAAAAACATTAACATAATAGGTAAAAATATTACATTTACCCCATTTTTACATTTGCCCCAGTCTACCTTATGCAAGCCTATTTAAATCCTCAAATCACCGAAAGTAGCGCAATTAACAACTTCAAAATCGAAGCTACCAAGCGTTATATACAAAGCAGCTTCGAGTTATACCGATTGCTTCGATTCAGACCGCAACATGGTCGTTTCTATGAGTTGAACAAAGAAAGATTAATAAAATGACAGTTATCAGAGTAAAAAGTACCAATGACACAAATGTCAATCTTTCTCTTTCTTTTATACATTTATAAGTGTCTAATGGAAGTTGTCTCTATCGCACCTATATAGCCTATATAACCTATGTTGCGATCTGGAATGAAGCACAGTGTATACAAAAGCAGCTTCAACATCACAAAAACCATCAATCACTCGACCGAATCACTAGAATGCATCACCGAATCACCGGCACTCACCGAGATTTTCGTTCTCCTTGGCGTCGTTACATCGCCCGATCACCCGGATGACCGCCCTGCCGGCCAATTTCGTGCAGATCATCATCGCCCCGAACCGCGGATCGGGCTCCCGATCCCCGGCCTCCTGGCCGATCTCCTGCGGATACTGCGAGGGCGGGCGCATCTTCGCGGATGGGTTTCTCTTCGACAAACTGGATTACCAACGAGCTCGAGCACTTTCGGTACCACTTTTGCTTCGCTGCCGCTGTAGAGAAATGTTCGGCGGGCTCTCCGACGCCTGCGATTTATATATCCTCCTGCTGGCGCTTTGTTTGCGGGTCGCCCCGCCGCGCCGCTGCGTCTCAGCCGACGCGACGCTGCCAGATAACAGGAAATGAAATTCGTAATGCGGAGATTATTTTTTGTTTATCGATTCGTAGGGATTTAGCTGTACTGATTCGATTAGTAAGGTAGACTGTGGCAAATGTAAAAATGTAATATTTTTACCTGTTATGTTAATGTTTTTTATTATTTTTATAGTTCTTTTGTGCATTAGACAGGGTTTGTTTCTTATTTTTTCTTTATTATTTTGTAGCTCTGTTATTTTTTGAAATAAATAAATAATCAGCATATCGAATTTTAGAGGAACCAAATAAGTATTTACAATTTGCCCCATATGTTTTTTTATATGTTTTTTTACCCCGTACCATGGGGTAAATGTAACATATTGTCAAGATTTTAAAAAATATGTAAAATCGTTTTCTTCCTTTTTCAAAAAAACTTTTTAATACCTCGAATCTTTAGTTTAGGAAGTTGTGAATTTAATGTGGTATCAGCATTTCTAATAAGAGAAAAAATAAAGCCACATTTTAGGATTTAATTTGAACTAGTCAAATTTTACAACCGATTTGCCCCAATCTACCTTATTTGTACCGGTGTGGGTGTTTGTATCCTTCGAAATGGATTACTTTTGGTTTCTTTTGAGATTGCGGTGTATTAACTCGACTATTATATGAGCTAAATTCCATTTGGGATTAATCGATTTTTGATCCTATTTTTGGCTTAAGTACATTTACATTGATTAAAGCTCTTTTAAAGTAAATGTAAGTACTTAAGGTCTTGTACTATCTGTGTACAATTTATCTTTATAAATTGCATAAGGTAGACTGGGGCAAATGTAAGAATGGGGTAAATGTAATATTTTTACCTATTATGTTAATGTTTTTATTATTTTTATAGTTCTTTTGTGCATTAGACAGGGTTTGTTTCTTATTTTTTCTTTATTATTTTGTAGCTCTGTTATGTTTTGAAATAAATAAATAAACAGCATATCAAATTTTAGAGGAACCAAATATTATTTTACAATTGCCCCATATGTTTTTCTATATAATTGTATTGTCTCTTTAGAACCCCATGGTACGGGGTAAATGTAACATATTGTCAACATTTTAAAAAATATGTAAAATCGTTTTCTTCCTTTTTCAAAAAAACTTTTTAATACCTCGATTCTTTAGTTTAGGAAGTTGTGAATTTAATGCGGTATCAGCATTTCTAATAAGAGAAAAAATAAAGCCACATTTTAGGATTTAATTTGAACCATTCCAATTTTACAACCGATTTGCCCCAGTCTACCTTACTGTTTGAACTTTAGTTTTAAATATAGTATGGCCAAAAAAAAACTGGGAATCCCCCAGATGTTTGCATATATCGAATCATCTGCATAGTTATCGGATGCTAATAATACAAACCAAATAAACAATGCATATTAGCTGCATTAACCTAGATAGAGAAGAACAATTCAGCTGCACACAAACGTTGCAGGAAGTAAATATTTAAGAAACCATCCGCAACAGAACCTCCACTCCGCCTATACCTCCTGGTGCTGGTGTTTGTTTGGACTTGGAGCGAAGTCAGACGTAAATAAACAGGTTTTCCTGGAACGGGAGATTGGCCGATGGCCAAAACATGCTCTGCAAAATTTTATATCGAGGTCGACCAACCGCCTAGAACGCCTTTTAATACCAAAATGCGCAGTTCGGCGCTCCGGTAATTCCCTTGATACACCAAAATAATGTTCTTTGTTCTATTTTCGGGCGCTTTTCCCGAGGAATCGGCGCAAAACGCGTGGCGATGACGCGAAAATTGCTCGGAAAAACTTTGTATTATTATTATTATTATTGCGCGTTGTTAGATCAGAAATAGAAAGAATTCATAAACAAGCGCATATTTCAAAAATGGGGTTTTTTATATGCGTAAAGATTTTTGTTTTGATTCGGTTAAAAAAATATTTACGGAGTTAAAAATGTAGATTTTTAGGTAATACAATTTGGGAATTGTTGATCCAATTATGCAACGAATTAAGTTAAATTATTTAAGTAAGTTACGAACGCGGTAATTTGTTAAACAGAGCTTCTCGTTTCGCAATGCGTGTTTTATTCGTTAAATCGATTCCATGTGTAAATCATTATTAAATAATTTGCGAAATAAGGAACCGATTTCACGCGGTTAACAAGAATATTCGAAGATTCTCATTGCATTTACAATTTACAGGAGTTAACAAACTTTTCCAAACGTTTGGCTTCGAACACTATCCAGCCACTGCCAAAATAATTTTTATGGGTGTATTTTTAAAATCTATATTTAAACGCTTTGAAAGTCAAATTATTCCGAAAAGTGCGTTTTTAACAGCGCCGAAAATCGACTAATAAAACACCATTTTTTCCTCAACATACCCTTGGCGTATTAATAGCGCTGCATTGTTTTTTCGAAAAAAACAGCAAAAATGCTTTCGAAACGTCCAAGTCAATATAAAGGACATTCGCGCTTGCTAGGCAATGACGTCACAATCCAACATGTTGCAACGTTGCCGGGTTGAAATGAAAATCTTGATGTGACAGATATATTTAAATTAAGGCTATGTTAACTTTCATTATTTGGAAATTAAAAAGAAGAAATGCATTGGGCTGCAATCCGATTGACGGGAGAGGTGTTTATTTGCAACGCTATATACATTTAAAAAACTATTCGTTTAACATAACCTATAAATTTCAATGTGCTGAACTATCGAAAATATCGATCTGTATTTATTGATCCCCGTTTCCTCTCAAAATAGGTCGAAAAAAAACCGAAAATCTCGGGAGAAACTGTCGATAAATGTACATAAACCGCATGAAAAACACAAAACCTACTCGTAAACTTGAAAAAATACAGGAAAATCGCGTAAAAACAACAAATTGTAGTCATAACCTGTCAAAGTGTCAACTACCAAGTGCCACTAAAAATTGCGAATGTTGATACTAAATGCATGACAACATCGCTTTCGACTTTCAACTACGCGTCGTAAAATTCCCCTAGTCAAATGGGAGAATTAACATTGACACTAGGGAAATGTTGAACTGCGTGGAATTTAATGACATCGTCTAAAAATGACGTCATTGCCTAGCGAGCGCGAATGTCCTTTACAATTAAATCATGTACCGCCTTTTCAATGTGACAAAGTGTCACAGTGACGCGTCCAGAATCATGGAAGAATTCATCGAAAAGCACTGTTACAATTTCAACAATTTCCTGCGGAAGGCCAAGTACGATTTCGAGGCGCGCCTCTCATCCCCCATCCAAGCGGCGGACTTCGAGGATTTCAAACTGGTCAGGCTAATAGGCTCTGGATCGTTCGGCAAGGTCGTCATGTGTCGATATAAGGACAACGATCGCCTCTACGCCATGAAGATTATGGAAAAAGTTAATGTGGTTAAGACGAAGCAAGTGTACCATACTATTTCTGAAATTCGACTTTTAGACGCTCTTAGATTTCCGTTTATTATTAGTAAGCCAATCACCGTTCACTTTCGTTTTATTTAGCGCATCTTTGGTACATTTTAAACTCCGCCTGTGTCCTATTGAATGAGCTCAACAGGATTCTGCCGGTCCCAAGCCCGGATAAAGGAGGAGGGTTGATAGGCCAGCCTAACCACCTGCCTATCGTAAAAAACCAACTTAGGTTCACGAGAAGCCTAAGCACAATCTCTTATAACTAGCCACAAACACAAATTTTACCACATCTATCCAGAGTATTGGATTTCCCTGTATTGGATGAATAACTAGGACAAGAAGTAAATAAATAATTGGAGAATACATCAGCTCAATTTACTATTAACGAAACGTACAGAAGGGTAAACAAATCGAGTGAAATATATCCAGCGCGGGAGGATCGGAAAATAAGATGAAATTTATTTTCATTTCAAGATTTGCGCAGCCGAAACGTTAAATTAAACATAATATTTACCCTATCTACGGCACTATTTACCTCTTACGTATTACGTTAGTGTTCACGTTGATTAATAACGAATCCTCGATTTTTATTTGCAGATTTGGAGTACTTTTTTAAAAATAACGTTTACTTATTTATCGTGATGCCTTTCATAAACGGCGGGGAGATGTTCTTCCACCTGCGGGCGGCCAAGAAGTTCGAGGAGAGCCTCTCGAAATTCTACGCGGTACAAGTACTGCTCGCCCTCGAGTACTGCCACAACATGGGCGTCGTCTACAGGGACCTCAAGCCGGAGAATATCCTCATCGAATCCAGCGGGTACCTAAAAATCACCGATTTGGGATTCTGCAAGAGGATAGACAGTCAGAGAACGTACACTCTTTGCGGTAAGTCTAGTACAGGGTCGTATATTTGTAAGTGTATTTGGAATTTGAAGATGAAACGGGGTTCATAAAACGGCCGCTAGGAGGCGGTGTTGTAAAGGACCGCGGTTTTTTGCGTACGAATTGTATAGAATTAGCGTTAAGAAAGGTTTTAGGGTTGAAAATATTAAAATATACTTAAATCAGCGATGATTTTGTTGTTAACATTATGCTTTGTGTATCTTCGGTTAATGTATTTCTCCATTTTCTCTTCGAAATGTCAAATTAATATTTTTTGAAGTTTTGACAGCTTGAACTGTCATCTCACGCAACCGCGATTTATACGTAGCGAGACGCTGATTGGCTGAGATAAGTCGATCGTTCGCCACAGTGCGGCGGAAAAGTGAAGCTCAAAAAGTCTTTTCAAATACCATTCTCTAATGCATATGCATATAGGCTGTTTCCAGACCTTAGAAACCTACGATCTAGTATAATAAAACGTGTCGAATAATAACAAATCTCTTGCAGGTACTCCGGAGTATTTGGCGCCGGAGATAATCCTGAGCCAAGGCTACAACTACTCGGTTGACTGGTGGTCGTACGGGATACTGTTGTTCGAGATGAGCGCGGGTTTTCCCCCGTTCAACGCGCGCGACCACCTGCGACTCTACGAGAAAATCGTGTCGGGGAAGTACGTGCACCCGCCGCACTTTTCCCGCGCCCTCAAGGACCTCACGACGCACTTCCTGCAACTGGACAGGAGCAAAAGGTCTCCCTCTTAGATCATATACACTAACGTGGATAAGTCGACAGCGGTAAACTCTGTTGCCAACATATTCACGACGTACTTTTATAACCCGTCCTTGTTTGACACTCGTTGGTTTCTAACGGTGTGTCTTTGTCTTGGAGCCTTTGACAATTTTGACGTATATAGTTAGCGCCAAATTTAAATATTCATGCTTCAAAACTATTTTAAGATGCTTGTTGTTTACCTCAGTGTTATGTATAAACCGCAAACACTAAACACAAACCAATTCAATAATCAAAAATCCAAATATAATAATAATACGACGCCATGACAGTTATGAAGCAGATGTCAAATGTCATAGTGTCAATGCAAAAGGACGCATCAACATGTCTAATAGCTATTTCTTATTTCTACTTTTCTTTTACTACAAATAAGTAATCGAGCAGCTGTTTTGTACAATAATTAGTTAATTAAAATGTATACGCATTTAAATAGTATTACTGCATTTCAAAACAATTATTTTAGATAGTAAATAAAAATATTTTTATCGTACATCGTACATAATAAAAGAGTGAAAAATTACAACAAATGTGTGAACCTGGCAACAAGGGCGAGTTTCCTAATGTATCTGTTGTATACTAATACATACGTTCAGATTTTTAAAGCGCATGATCAATTGGCAGACCAAAACAAAGATAAATCTATGCTGAATTCCATAGAGCAAAAAAGAGAGTACAATTTAGGCATGTTGTAGATGTTGGCAACAGGAACGTAAATGTAATTTTTATGGCATTGATGCATCCACGTTAGTATACAGATTGCTCCATTTTTCATTGCAACATAGACTATGGGTGCAACAAAGACAACTTCAATTAGACACTTATAAAGAAAAAGGAAAGAGTAACATTTATGTCATTGCAACTTTTCACTTTGACAACTGTCATTTTAATAATCCTTCTTTGTTCCACTCATAGAAACGACCATGTTGCAATCGGAAATGGAGCACAGTGTATATGACCTAAGGTCTCCCTCGAAAAAGGGTTGTCGGTCGAAAAATCGGTGCGAAAATGGACCGTTTGGTTGCAGGTACGGCGTGATCCGCGGCGGTACCAAAGAGATCAAAAGCCACGATTGGTTCAAGAGCGTCGATTTCGAAATGATTTTGGAGAGACGAATGAGACCGCCGTTCATTCCGCAGGTGCAGAGCATCGGCGATACGAAGTACTTCGATAATTACGGGAGGATCGTCCTGAGGCACGGTTCGTACAACGAGTACGAAGAGGAGTTTAGCGATTTAACTCTTAGGAGGTAATAGGTTCGATCTTGTTGTTAGGATATCAAAAAACGATAATAAAGCTGTGTATATGCAAAAGTGGTCTCTGAGTAAATGTGAAGATGCAGACGGGGCGAGACGTATCGAAATGTAAAATGGCTTGTTTTATGTTTTATTGCAGATCTGCACTACAGAAAATACATAATATCACTAATTTACCCGTTTTTGTCGAGTCTATAAATCCCACACGTTCTTCTATATATACAGCGTGATGAAATTGGCAAACTAACTCCATTGATTTGGATTATTTGGAGTTGATGTCAGAACTCGGGCAAGTCATTACTTTGATGTACATTTACTTTAAGTAATGATACTGCGAAATCTATTTAAAAACTGGGCTGAATTTTGTTAATTCATCGACTTTGGTGGGATGTTTCTTTTTGTTACAATAAAAGTAAAATTTCCAAAGGCTTCATAGGGTTTTCTTTCCTGCAGGGAAACTTGTTTCGCTTCATTAAAAGGTGCTTGTATGTAAAGGGCAATATTTAATTCGTGTAACTGAATCACTCTGTATATTTCTTCTCTTCTATCTCTATTTTAAAATTGCACAGTTTCTTTACCATGATAAAAATATTACCCTTTACCTATACAGCACTACATAGACTTATAAATAGAATAATTATTGAGAGGCGGAAAATAGAAAATTAATTTTGGAAGATTCTATTATAAATATAACTTGCGGAAGAACAGAAGGGGTTCCGAGTCTAAATGAGATATTTCTACGACCTTGTTTATTTCTAAATATAATATCATTAAGGTACAAAATGTACAAACGTTGAAACATTAATGAGATGTTTGTTTACTGTAGATTCTCATTTATATGGTTTTAGGGCAAATTTATTTTATATCATTTTTTAACCATTTATTGGAGTTAAAAATCCACCTATAACATAATGCGAATTTATCGATTCCTTGCAGAGGTGATAAGTCGTCATAGCTTGCACAAAAAAAATCAATTTCCAGGATTAACGTAATCCTTCCAGAAAATCAAAGCCCGACATCCACGATATGTGCGTGAAAATAACACTACGGTATTCTAATTAATCATAAAATAAAATACCACTGCGCAAGTAAAATTTACGATATTTTATGCAAACAATTTACTTTACTTTGCATGTAACCTTATGCTAGAATCACCTTGAGTAGCAATACGTTTGATAGTATAGTTATTAAGCGACTGGTTTTCGATGTGCCAAAGTTTGGAGTTTCTTGGGAAAATTCTGTGAATAAGAAAATTGGATAAAATGGCGTGGTTTTTGGAAATTAAGAAGATCAAATTCAAGAATCCGATGACTACGATTAAGGTAAGAAACGCGCATTTTTATGTATAAATAAAGTGTGTCAGAAACTTATCGAGTGGGTTATTAAATTTAGAATATTAATGAAAATATTTTGTATTTTTTAAATTTCATGAGCTGTTGTTAGAATTCGAATTAAATTCCGAAATCAATTCGAGTAGCTAATTAGCGATTACTTTATTTGCATTTTTGTTTATTACGAGAATTTTTACGTAATAGAAATAACGTCATATCAACTTTCAATATATTTCTTTTTCGTTAATTAATTATTTATCATTGACTCATTCCGATTATCCGGCCATTCGTGATAAATAAACTGCACTATTATCTTTCAGATCGTCCTTATTCTACACTATTTACTGACTGTAATGGGTGCCATAGGAACATTCAATCCGTTCGTCTATCTCTTTTACAATTTCGTTATAATACTTTTGCTAATTTGGAGTATATACTCGAAAACCGACGAGCCTCTAAAGCTGGTATTAAACTCGTTATTTCCAAAAATATGCACTATAAAATAAATGTCGTTTTAGGCGATTATTCTAAACATGTGCGCTGTAATTTTGGACGCCCTGTATATTGTGGCTTTAGTGGAGGATACAAAAAGTAAATAATGAATTCAGTGGGTAGATATAATTGGTTTTAAACGGTATTTTTTAGGTCGAAAAGTGGTGTTGTCAATAGTAGCGTCCTCTATTCACCTGATATTCAGGCCCTTCAGTATATTGGTGCTGATAAAGAAGGACGAGAAACTGTCAGAAGGGAATAGCGAAGGTAAAAACGACGAGATACCGGAAATTAACGATAATTTACCGCCGAGTACCATTTCGTAATCGAAACCGATCGGTATTATAAATTAATATAAATCATATCTATTTTTATGGCTGTTTCGTTAAAATCGTTACTCTATAAATTAATTTTAAGAAGTATTTTATTATCTATCGCGACCGCAAAATGCTTCGCAAGGTAAAGATTCCATTAGGCAATTATATTCCAGGTGAGCGAGTTACTTGCTTTAATTAAATATGTGAATGTGTTCATAACTCACTAGAAGGTATTATTATAGAGCGTGGCCCTTCAAAATAGACTGAATAAAACAGTTCCAAGACAATTTTTCATTCTGTTCTATTTTATTGAATGCGATAACAAACTTTTAGTTGCATTATTAATAGAGATGTCATTGATTAAACATTCGAACATTCCGAAAAGTATTGAAAAAAATTAAATAATTCCCGTATGTTAGAATCTATCGGCCTGTATATGGTTTTTATATACAGGTTGCTCCATTTTTGATCGTAACATAGGTTATATAGGCCATGGGTGCGATAAATACAACTTTCATTAGACACTTATAAAGGAAAAGGAAAGACTGACATTTGTGTCATTGCAACTTTTCACTCTGACAGCTATCATTTTAATAATCTTTCTTTGTTCCACTCATACAAATGACCATGTTACAATCGGAAATGGAGGAAGGTGTATACAGATTGTCCTAAAAATGATTCGACCTATTCATGATTTGTGATAATTATTGTAGGTACTGTGATATGTTATTTCTCCTAAGCTATTTTGACTGGACACCTTTACAGAGTAATACTATTGCTTATTTAGAAATTAGAATAAAAAAGTGGGATTATAGAATTAGTTGCTCGATTTAGACTAGTTGTAGGAAATTTATTCGTTGTTAACGAAAGTATTAAACTCGGTAGAATTAATTTAATCTGTCTATGTAGATGTTGTTTAGTCGTATTTTTCTTTTGCAGAAAATCCTAATGATAAATCAATTCAAACTGTAGACAATTACGATTTTCCGACTTTTAAGAAAAACAAAATTACCATTTTGTGATTCTTAACAGCGCAAAAAAACGCCTCATACATTTCCGCCAGTACGATCGTCTTTATTGAGATTTAGGAAGACTGAATATTTGTTATTAATTCATATTTTACCGTATTATATTTAAAACAACAATAAATAGCCTTATATTATTTATTATATTACGAATAAATCGAATAAAAAAATCAAACGAAAACTGTTAATATCCTTAATCTACAATTACTATCAGCAAAAGCGCTTAAAACTCCATCGATTTATTGCTTGTTTTCCTCCTCTTCGGGCTTCCTAATCTTCCTGGGCCGCCCCCGTTGTCGTTTAACCTTCTTTGTTTTGTCCTCCTCCTTCTCGGTATCCGAATCAGGCGAAGTTTCGATCTTCTCCCGAGCGCTCGTGAACACCTGATGAAGAACGATGCTGTCTTCGTAGATAGCCGAAGCTTCCTCGTTGTATTCCTGCGCGTTCTGGCACAGCAGCGTGAAATCCCGTTCCAGATCGTTGAAGCTGAAGTACTGGAAACGATTTTCGCAATTATTTCGATTACTTGTTGAAGGTAATTGGCAGTACTCTTACCTTGCCTTCTTCGATATGAGTCAATATTTTGGATATGTCGATGGGTCTTCGGATCAAAACGTAATACTCCGGCAATTCTTTCTTCGACGGGAGCTTCATGAAGGGATCGCTGAGTTGTTTGTCATCTCTGTAAATATATAGTAATTGTATCGAAATAGAAGATGGAGATGGCGAATTTACCTGTCTTTGTAATTGATTACAACGTCCATTAGTTTCTTCATTTTCCTCTTAATTTTCAACTCGGTTTGGCTCGGATTCGGGATTAATTTCTTCCTCTTGGACGATCCCGCTTCTTCGTCCGAATCGTCGCGTTTCTTCCTCTTCCTTCCGCGCTTCTTCTTCACCACTTCCTTTTCTTCCTCCTCTTCGTCGTCGTAATCGCCATCTTCATCGATAGCCTTACAAAACAGCATCATTAAACTCCCTATATAGTATAAAACAAATAATATAATATACCTTTAACCATTCCTTTTCCGTCAAACTATCAGCATAATCCACCTCTTTGCGTTGCCTTTTCGTCAACACCGATTCGGGATCTTCGAAATTCCAAGTATCTATTTCGTCGTCTTGCTTCAGCAACCATTCGGGCAGCTCGTCCTCTTGCAACAGGCGAGGTTTCTTATCTTCAGCGTCCTTTCTCTCGGCGTCCATCTTCTGGAACAACTGGAATTCCTCCTCGTTTCTGGCCAGCATCTGGTTGACAGTCTCGTCGTCGGGCACCTCGTTTTCCTCTTCTTCATCGCTGCCGTCGTGATGCAGGATACTCTGGAGGAACTGGTGTCGCTCCGAGCCGGTGGATTTCTGATCGAACATACCGGCTTGGATGACTTTTTCGTCCATTATAAGTTTGTATTTAGCTGCCGCTAATATTCGTTCTTCTACGGAGTTTACTGTCATCAAACGCAGGACTCTTACTTCGTTTTGTTGGCCGATTCGGTGAGCTCTATCTTGAGCTTGAAGATCCTAGTAAAAAATATAGAAGTTGTTGATGAATTGTATTGTAAATCGGAGAGTTTTTGAAGCTTACCTGATGTGGATTCCAATCGGAATCGAAGATAATAACAGTATCTGCACTTTGGAGATTCAATCCCAACCCGCCGGCTCTTGTCGATAGCAAAAATATGAAATACTCGCTGTCTTTGTTGTTGAATTTCTTGAGCAGCTCGGCCCTGTCTTCGGATTTGACCATGCCGTCGAGCCGCAGGTATTTGTAGCCCCTCCACATGAAGTAATCCTCCATGATGTTCATGAGCGTGGTCATTTGGCAGAAGAGCAACACCCTGTGATTGGTGATCTTGAACTTCGGCAGCACCCTGTCCAGTAATTCGAATTTTCCGGAGGCTCTAAAATACACTAGATTAGTATTAATCGTTGGTATAGATACTTCGGAATTCACCTGTATATGTCCGGTCCGGATAGTATTCCACCGGCTACTCCTACGAAATCGCAATACTTTTCCTCGATGTTCTGGAACATGAAGGGATGATTGCAGAGCTTCCTGAGTTGCATGATGGTGTTCATGATGGCTTTGGCGCCGCCTCGACCGCCTCTACCCCCTTTTTCCGAACCATCGGTTAGCAACACGCCTTTGCTTTGCATGTGTTGGTAGAGCACTTTTTGCAAACCGGACATGTCACATTTAATTATATATTCCACTTTATCTGGCAACTGAGATTCGACCTCTTTCTTCAACCGCCTCAGAAGAAAAGGACGCAACACCTTGTGCAGACGTCGAATGATCAGGATGGTTTCTTCTTCGTTCAATTCCACCTGAGACAACAAATCGATTAATACGAGTTATACAGGGCGTGAGGTTTTTTCGTACCTTTTCTCCTGTGGTAGCGAACGGGGCGTTGAACCACTGTTCGAATGTAGAACAACTCTTGAATATCGAAGGTAGTAGAAAGTTGAGTAGAGCCCAGAGTTCCGGAAGTTTATTTTGTAACGGGGTACCGGTTAGAAGTAACCGGTACGGGGCCATATAATGAGTGTTTAACGTTTGGGTTAATTTACAGTGATGGTTTTTCATGCGATGACCCTCATCGACTATCATGTACTTGAAAGGTACCTATAAAAAAAATCGATAAAGAGACTAACTATTATTATATTAGATAATTTACCTTCGAAAGGACACCTTTGTCTTTAATAATGTACTCGTATGTTGTTAGTAAGACGTTGAACTTTGTATTTTTCATTCGATTTTGAATCACCCTTCTGGTGGCTGGAGAGCCTTTGTATGATACAACGATTACAGTAGGCGCCCATTTTTCGAATTCCAGCATCCAATTCGATATAGTTCTATAACAATCACATTCAAACACATTATACTCCAAAAATATAAAAAAAAAACATACGATAATGGAACAATGATCAGGAAAGGTCCGTTCACTTTCTTCTCCTCCATCAGATAAGTTATCAATCCGATCGTTTGAATGGTTTTACCCAAACCCATCTCATCTGCTAGGATTCCATTGAGATTGTTGTTGTACAACGAAACCATCCATTCCAAACCTTTCACTTGGTACTCCTTCAATTGACCGTTCACCATAATCGAAGCTTGCTTGGTTACAGTTTCGCTAACGGTGTGAGCGATACTGTAGTAAGTTTGTTCCGATGTGTTCTTATTGTACTCATCATCTTCAACCTGAAATAATTGCGAATGTAGAATCTTCCAACAGCTTTTAACAATATACATACTTTAGCTTTCTTAATCACTTCTCTCGCATCGAATTCTTTGATATCGTCGTAATATTCCTCTTCTTTCTCATCCTCGCGTTCGTCTTCTTCGTCCGAATCGATCAATTCCCAACCCGGATGGTTCTGCAGCCACTCCCCCAGTTCTTTAACCGTTGGGGCATTATCTCCGAATATTTTATTACCGGTAGCCATTTCCATGACGGTGACTCTTCTATCGGGGTTTTGCAGCTTCTCTTGGCGCCTCTTGCGCTTTTCCTCGTCCCGCTTTTTAATCGTTTGCTCCACTTTGTGCTGTTTAACCATCTCCGTTAGATTACTGATGTATTCGTCGGTTTGCGAGAGCAAGAACGCTAAACGTTTGTCTTTCTTCTGGTCGATTAGTTTCCTATAACCTTCTTCATCTTCCGCCATAAGCCTTAAAAAATAAATATAATGTTACGAGCGTCTTGTGTTAGAATTTATATTAACTTACTTCTTCATACGCTCCTTTTCTCTTCGTTCTTGTTCCTTCTTCTGCTCCCTCTCGGCGTTGGCGTGGTAAGTAATGATAGCCTTGTTGATTTTGGCCAGCTTGGTTTGGTTCTGCCGGTGGAACTCTTTGAATTCCTTGGCCTGGGCGAGGACGTTGTTCAAAAACTCCTGGTTCTTCTGGCGTTTCTTGCGTTCCGCTTCGAGTTTCTGTTGTTTCTCCAGCTTCTCCGTGGCCCTGGCCTCGCGCAGGCTGTGGCGCTTCGTGCGCTTGAAGGCTTTCACGTTGACGGCCGTTTCCAACGTGGTGTCCTTGCGGATGCAGCTCAGGACTTCGTTGCGCAGTTGCCTTTGAAGGTTGAGGCATCTCAGCGCTCGCAGTTCGATTTGGGCTTGTAGACGGAGCTTCTCGGACATGTTTGTGGGTAGATTGCTGACTTGCTCGATTCTGGCTGCTATTCTGGCGGCGACGCGGTACTCTCTTTCTTGGAGGAGCACTACGGGGTCGACTCCGGATGGTTTGTTGTTTAGAAGGCAGAGTTCTTTGTTGGAAGTGTCTGTAAAGAAGGTACGATTGATAACAATGAATGGAATATTATGTAAAATCTAACCGTGTGATTTGAGGCCAGTAGAGGCGATTTCGTTTGAAATTCTTCCGTTCTCGATGGAACCTTTAATAGGTAGTTTATCGGATTTTTTACCAAGTAAACCAAGTACAACCGAAGCGGGTAAAGGCTGGTTTCTCGCCAAGTATCTAGAAACAATCATAGAGTAATAGAATAATTTAGAATCGTGCGATTGTTACCTATAAGCCATTATTTGACTTCGCAGTTGCTTCATTTGGAGGCTCGAAATGGAACCGTTTTCTTCGCTCAAAGTCATCGTTCTAGCGCGTAGGGCTAGTAGCTGGGCGTACCGAGGATCGTCTTTTAAACCTTTCGCTTCCATTGCATCGATTGCTTTTTGCAATGCTGCCAGTACGTTCGAATTCTGTTGTTTGGCCGAGCCATTTTGCGTGACCCCGTCTAAAAGGTAAACGAATTTCGTAAATTTTCTGTAAAAACGATATAATTGAGTTGTACTTACTCGAGGTAATTGGCTCGGCGGTTGTACTTGTGGATGTTGTAGTTGCCATGTTGTTTCTATTAAGGCGATAATTTTAATGGTGCCTCATTATTATTATGAGTTCTTTTATTCTATATACACACTCCGTAGAATCGTCTGTTAACTCAAAACTTAGATCGCTTTTAAAAGCCACAAACTGTAAACAAAAATATTTTTGGACATTTTGTTTTTTAGAATATACCGTTTTTGACAAGTATAACAAGAAGAATCTTCTTCTTTTCCAAACTTATTCTTTCATCTGTCAAATTATTCGGTTTCAAAATCTCTGTACGGGAAAAAGAAGAACGGTAGTTAATTTAACTGACATATGACATACGTCATCTGTCAATGTCAAATATTGATGCCAACTTGCTTGGCTATTTTTTATTATATTATTGTAATTCTTGTTCGTATAAAAAGAAATGTGCGATAAAATAGTAATTAGTGACGATTAGTGGATACGTTATTTGTTCTTCCAGGTATTATTAGCATACATTATACTTTTAGGATAATACTATCATTAAATTCGCTTCTGATAGAATGCAACTTGTACACATAACTTACGCATAATAGGTGTTTTCATCTGCTAGTAAATTTGATTGTTTATCTAAAGTAATATACACTCATATCTGACGGAAAAATTAATCTGTGAGATATGCGTATGTTTGTGTTTATTTATTTTTCACGCTAGTATAAACTACAGTTTGATTTACACCTTTAAATGGCTATGGTTGAATGGTTATCTCATTGTATACATTCAAATTGAAGATATGTCTGTAATAACTAATACATTTTAAAATTACAGAAACAAACCTTCAAGGAAAATGGCAAGTCCATCTCCCCAAAACAGCCCGATGCCCCCTCCTCAGGCGCCCAGTCCGATGGGCCCTCCTCCATCCCAAAGCCCCGCTCCCCCTTCCCCCGTACCGCAACCCCAATACCAAAACGCACCGCCCCAACAAACCTCCTACCCCAACCCGTACCCAGGCCATCCCCAACTGCCCCCCGGACAAGACCACCCGCCCGTACACGGCCCGCCCCACCACCAATACCCCCAAGCCAACATGGGCTACCCCCCGCAAGGCCCTCCTCCCGGACACCTGCCCCCCCAGGGCCACGTTTTATCCCAAGGACACGTGCCCCCTCAGGGGCACCTTCCCCCACAAGGACATGTACCACCACAAGGTCACGTTCCCCCACAAGGACACGTTCCCCCACAAGGGCACGTCCCCCCACAAGGACATGTACCACCACAAGGGCATGTACCACCACAAGGACACGTTCCCCCACAAGGACACGTTCCCCCACAAGGACACGTTCCCCCTCAAGGGCATGTTCCCCCGCAAGGGCATCCACCGCACGGACACGTCCCCCCGCAAGGGCACATGCCTCCGCAGGGCCATCAGCTACCTCAAGGGCATCCGGGGAACGCTCAAAACCTCGGCCCGCCGCCGCTCGGTCACCAAGGGCCCCCGCAGGGCCATCCGCATCCGCCTCAACCGGCCGGCCATCCGGGGCACTATCCGGGTAATTTATCTGAATGAATTGCTGAGTCGTTTCGTTGAATTGGCTTGTTTTAGGTCATCCGATGAATCAAAATCCTTCGGCTCCGGGCGGGCAGCCGCTTCCGGGACGACCGGCAGATAATTTACACGCCCTTCAGAAAGCCATCGATACAATGGAGGAAAAGGGCCTGCAGGACGATCAGAGATATTCGCAGTTGTTGGCCCTTCGGGCCAGATCAAATGCGGTCGCTGGCAATGGCGTTTTGTCGCCTTTGCAAATGAACCAGCTCAGAAATCAAATTATGGCTTACAGGTATTTCGAACAGGTTTCTATTCGATTGCAAATTACTTATACGATTCGGTTTTTAGATGTCTGTCGAGGAACCAGCCGATTCCGCATTCTATTTTACTGGGATTGCAAGGTAAAAGGGCGGACGGGTCGCCGCAGTTCCCAACGCCTCCGTCTAGCCCTTTTCAACCGCAGGGAGCCGGTCCGAATCCGGTCGGTGAGCAACCTCCACCGGTCGAAGCTGTTCCGGTGGATCCAGCCGCTGGAAATCCTGTACAAGGTTTACTAATACAAGCTTTATTATATCCACATATTTAAAATATTCGTTTAGGTCCTCAAAATGCTCCGAATCAACAGCGAGGACCGGGCGGTCAATTGGTCCCCGGCAAACAGACCCGGTTCACCACCATGCCGAAACCCTGCGGGATCGATCCTCTGGTGTTGCTGCAGGAACGCGAGAACCGAGTCGCTGCTAGAATAGCCGCTCGAATCGAACAAGTCAGCAATCTGCCGCCCAACGTTCCGGAGAAGTTGAGAATCCAGGCTCAGATCGAGCTGAGGGCGCTGCGATGCCTCAATTTCCAACGGCAGCTCAGAAGCGAAATATTGAACTGTATCAGGAAGGATAGCGCGTTGGAGACCACGGTGAACGTTAAGGCTTATAAAAGGACCAAAAGGCAGGGTTTGAGAGAAGCCAGAGCGACGGAGAAAATCGAGAAGCAACAGAAATTGGAAGCGGAACGGAAACGAAGGCAGAAGAATCAAGAATTTTTGAACGCCATATTGAACAACGGTAAGGAGTTCAAGGAATTCCACAAACAAAACCAAGCGAAATTGGCCAAAATCAACAAAGCCATTATCAATTACCACGCCAACGCCGAAAGAGAGCAGAAAAAGGAGCAAGAACGAAGAGAAAAGGAACGTATGATAAGGTAAGTCGTACAATATCCCTCGAACACGCGATGAATTCATTAAACAATTTCCAGATTGATGGCGGAAGACGAAGAAGGTTACAGGAAACTAATCGATCAGAAAAAAGACAAGCGTTTGGCGTTCTTGCTCTCGCAAACCGACGAATACATCAGCAATCTAACGGAGATGGTGAAGCAGCACAAATTGGAGCAAACGAACAAGAAGCGCGAGGAGGAGAAGCGGAAGAAGAAGCAACAGAGGATGCTACAACCCGATAGAAAAGTTACTGTGTTAGAAACGGCGACGGGCAAGAAACTCCAAGGCGAAGGCGCTCCGACTTACAGACACCTGCAGGAGTGGCTGATGCAACATCCCGGTTGGGAAATGGTCGATACCGACGACGAGGAAGAAACCGAGAAGAAAGAGGAAACCGAGGAGAATAAAGATGTCGATGATGCTAAAGATGTTATTAAAAAAGCTAAGGTAATGTGTATTACAATTAAAATGCGCGTATTAACGTTTAAATATTGCAGCTCGAAGATGATGAATATCACAAAAACGAAGAACAAACTTATTATAGTATAGCGCATACGGTGCACGAGGTTGTAACGGAGCAAGCTTCGATTATGGTGAACGGGTTGCTGAAGGAGTACCAAGTCAAAGGACTGGAATGGATGGTTTCGTTGTACAACAACAATCTCAACGGTATACTAGCAGACGAGATGGGTTTGGGTAAAACCATTCAAACCATCGGTCTCATTACGTACTTGATGGAGAAGAAGAAACTGAACGGACCGTTTTTAATTATCGTGCCTTTATCGTAAGTTGAATGGATGAAGAAAAATTTGTAAATATTTACTATGTGTTGTACTACAGGACGATTTCGAACTGGATGTTGGAATTCGAAAAATGGGCACCTACGGTTGTTGTAATATCGTACAAAGGCTCGCCCGGGGTGAGACGGGTGATCCAAAGTCAAATGAGAGCGGCCAAATTCAACGTGCTGTTAACAACTTACGAGTACATCATTAAAGACAAAGGGGTTTTATCTAAGGTGAGATTGAATCGAATTGATTGACTCGGAATTAACGAAAACTTCTGGTCTAGATTCCGTTCAAATACATGATAATCGACGAAGGTCATCGTATGAAGAACCACCATTGCAAACTGACGCAAGTACTGAATTCGCATTACCTAGCCCCGTACCGGTTACTTCTAACCGGTACCCCGTTACAAAATAAACTTCCGGAACTCTGGGCTCTACTCAACTTTCTACTACCTTCGATATTCAAGAGTTGTTCTACATTCGAACAGTGGTTCAACGCTCCGTTCGCTACCACAGGAGAAAAGGTACGGAAGAATCTCACGCCCTGTATAACTCGTATTAATCGATTTTGTTGTCTCAGGTGGAATTGAACGAAGAAGAAACCATCCTGATCATTCGACGTCTGCACAAGGTGTTGCGTCCTTTTCTTCTGAGGCGGTTGAAGAAAGAGGTCGAATCTCAGTTGCCAGATAAAGTGGAATATATAATTAAATGCGACATGTCCGGTTTGCAAAAAGTGCTCTACCAACACATGCAGAGCAAAGGTGTTTTGTTAACCGATGGTTCGGAAAAGGGCACCAAAGGTAGAGGCGGAGCGAAGGCTCTGATGAATACAATTATGCAATTGAGGAAACTCTGCAACCATCCGTTTATGTTTCAAAACATCGAAGAGAAATATTGCGATCACGTCGGAATCGCCGGTGGAATTGTTTCGGGACCTGATACATATAGGTAGAGCTCGATTTATAATCTAATTGTACAAAAGAAGTCCTGAGTTTGAATTGTTTGTAGGGTATCCGGAAAGTTTGAATTATTAGACCGAATTTTGCCTAAACTCAAAGCCACCAACCATCGAGTGTTGCTCTTCTGTCAAATGACCCAATTGATGACCATCATGGAGGATTATTTCAACTGGAGGGGTTTCAAATATTTGCGTTTGGACGGTACAGTGAAATCCGAAGACAGAGGGGACCTTCTAAAGAAGTTCAACGACAAAGGCAGCGATTATTTCCTGTTTTTGCTATCGACAAGAGCCGGTGGTTTGGGATTGAATCTCCAAAGTGCCGATACCGTTATTATATTCGATTCGGATTGGAATCCACATCAGGTAAGCTTCAAAAACTCTCCGATTTACAAGACAATTCATCAACAACTTCTATATTTTTACTAGGATCTTCAAGCTCAAGATAGAGCTCACCGAATCGGCCAGCAAAACGAAGTAAGAGTCCTGCGTTTGATGACAGTAAACTCAGTAGAAGAACGAATATTAGCAGCAGCTAAATACAAACTCACCATGGACGAAAAAGTCATCCAAGCCGGCATGTTCGATCAGAAATCCACCGGCTCGGAGCGCCAGCAGTTCCTGCAGAGCATCCTGCACAACGACGGCAGCGACGAAGAGGAGGAAAACGAGGTGCCCGACGACGAGTGCGTGAACCAGATGATCGCCCGAAGCGAGGACGAGTTCCAGCTGTTCCAAAAAATGGACGCCGAGCGAAAGGAGGAGGAAGAGAAGCTCGGTCAAGTGAAGAAGTCTCGATTGATACAGGAGTGCGAATTGCCCGATTGGCTGACGAAGCAAGTGGACGAGGTCGATGCGTGGGGTTACGACGATGCCGACGCCTTCCTCGGAAGGGGTTCCAGGCAGAGGAAGGAGGTCGATTATGCTGATAGTTTGACTGAAAAGGAGTGGTTGAAGGTGCTTAAATGTTAAAATATTAGTAATTGAAATGTTAAAATGTATATTTTATGTTGTAGGCTATCGATGAGGATGGCGATTACGACGACGACGAGGAAGAGGAGAAGGAGATAAAGAAGAAGAAGGGGAGAAAGCGGAAGAAACGCGACGATTCCGACGATGAAATGGCCGCTTTTACGAGGAAACGTAAATTGCCGCAGAGCCAAATCGAAGCGCAACTGAAGAGGAAAATGAGGAAACTCATGGCTATTATTATAAACTACAAAGACAAGTAAGTTTCTTACAAAACATTCTTTTCGAACCAATTTTATGCACAACATTTTGTAGAGATGGCCACCAACTTAGCGATCAATTCATCAAACTCCCTCCGAGGAAAGAGTATCCGGACTATTACACGATTATCAAAAAACCAATTGATATAACCAAGATACTGAACTACATAGACGACGGCAAGGTAACTTAATAACAATCCAATAAGTTCTTCGCTATAGATAACCTCTTAATTCTTCCAGTATTCGGACTTCACGGATCTAGAGCGGGATTTCATGTTGATGTGCCAGAACGCGCAGATCTACAACGAAGAGGCTTCGATGATACACGAGGACAGTATCGTTCTTCAATCGGTTTTCTCGAGCGCTAAACAGAAGATCGAAAGTACTCCAGATTCCGAGGAGGAAAAGGAAGAGAATAATTCAGACGGGGAGCTGAGCAAGAGTAAAATCAAGCCGAAGGTGAAACGGAGCCGAGGACGGCCGAGGAGATCGGCCAAAAAATATATATCTGATGATGATGACGACGATTGAGAGGATTAAATTGCGATTAGTCGTCGAAAGGAGAGAGAGTAGTAATTAATTAAGCGAGTTTGTTTGTTGGATTGATCTGATTAAGTTCAATAATTGTATTATTTTTTTCGAAAAAGCAAGATAGGTGAAATTAGAAAGGTTGTAATTAAGCGTGCATGTGTTCTAAAGATTTTGAGGTTTTGAGATCTGCAGGTATCATGTCTTGACCTAAAAATTACCTTCGTAATTCTCTTATTTAGCGCTTCGTTTAGCAATTAAAAATACATAATGTATTTTGATTTGAATGAGTAATTTCTTTTTATCTTAATATTCGTAATTTCTTAGAACACATAACTACAAGAAGATAAATAGCTCAGAAAATTATATAACAGTTATTTAATTTTTAGTTCGCTTGGGGTTTTATGATATTTGTAATATTATTTTGTAAACATTTTTAAAGGCGAGGGTTAGATACACGAATGTAATATTTGTTCGTTATTATTACATTTTAATTATTGTACTAAGCGTGCGTCGAATTTACTATATTTTAGAAAGTTATGCTTACTTTAGGTGCACTGTAATGTAGTTCGAACTGTATCAAAGTGCCTCTTTCACCCAATAACAACATATAATTCATCGGTATGAAATTTAATCACACCTAAATAATTATATTATCTATGTATACGCGTAAACTGTGAACGATAAACGCCTATTTTCTACAGAAATCGTCGATTTCATACACACTGACTTCACGTAAAAATTTAGTCTATTTTATGTGGATGAAGGATATTGGTAATTAGATTTTCCGCTTGTCTGTAAAATACAGGAGTGTAATTTTGTATTAGAGAACTCTTAGACATTAAAATATTTGTCGAATTAATTCCTCGTTTCATTGAAGAATTCTAGTATATCGGTTTAACACATTTATTGCACTATACATGTTAGACATGCAGGAAGTAATAGAAAAAATTAAATATATTGCACTTACAAGTATATGGGCACCATAAAAGCCAAGTCAATGTTTTATTCTGAGTAATTTTGAAATCGAAAAACAATTCTCATAGAATTCCATTGATAAATCATCAGAATAAAATGTGACTACAACACGAGATCAATGATTACATGTAGGAGTTCCGTAAAATATTCCATATTAAATTTTAGTTATATTAAATACAACTAATTTCTATTAACCGGAAGGAAGAGTTTAAAATAGCTATATATTTTATACCATTAAAATGGAATATGATAACACACAGAAGCTTTGAGCCATAAATTTCGAAAATACTACATTTATACAGACCTGAATAACTATGTGGTAAAATATCAATTTCCAATTAACCACAAGGAATAAACAGCAAAAATATTTTTCAATTCAATATAAAAAGTAAACGAAACTAAATTATCACAGCATCACAACCAAGTTTCCTCAATTATTGACGTAACCGCATAAAAATTGAGCCAACAAATACTTCCTCCAATAGATCATCAGGTCTGTTTGTCTTACAAAACGGAATTTACTCCTTAAAATACTGATTACACTATCGAGAATGAATTAAATCGGACAACTACCGGGGTAAATTCATCATATTACACTTCACCATCTTCCACATCATCATCAGTCTTCATCATCCTCCTCTTCCTCGGAAATGTATTTCTTCTGGATACGTTTCCGCCTGCTGCCCGCCCCACTCGTGTTACTGGGCTTCTTATTCTTCAGCTTTATCTTCATTTTAACCGCCGATTCGTTGTCGGAGGCTTCCTTGTCCTCTTCAGGTTCCGACTCCCCGTTGTCGGTTTCGATTCTTTGCTTGGCATTCGAGAATACCGATTGTAAAACGATGCTGTCTTCGTGGATTAGAGAGGCTTCTTCATTGTAGATCTGGGCGTTTTGGCACAGCAACATGAAGTCCCGTTCGAGATCGGCGAAATCGGTGTACTGAAAATTGTATTTATGCATAATGTGCAAAATTAGTGGACGTGTTAGCTGTACCTTTGCGTCTTCGATTCTGCTCAAGATTTTGATAATATCTATTGGTTTTTTGATAATTTCGTAATAGTCTGGGTAGTCCTTTTTAGGGGGTAGTTTTAGGAATGGTTCGCTTAACAATCTGCCGTCGCTGGAATTAAATATATTATAATTAATTATAAATTGTGCAGAGTATTAGTACCTGTCGGTGTATTTAGTTACGATTGCCATTAATTTCCTCATCTGCTTTTTTAATTTCGTATCACCAACTTGGCTCCTGCATCTCCTTTTGCTGTTTATCCCCACTTCACTATCGGAATCGTCCCGTTTCCGTTTCTTTCGACTCTTTTTCTTCTTCGATTTCTCCTCTTCTTCGTCATCTTCCTCTTCGTATTCGCCTGTATCAATAGCCTAAAAAGTACCTCGCTAGTAATGTACACTTCGTAATTTTGTAATTATTACTTTCAACCATTCCTTTTCGGTTAAACTATCCGTGTAATCAACCTCTTTTCTCTGCCTCGTTCCTCTTCCGAGCGGACTTTCGTTGTCCTCGTAATTCCAGGGATCGACTTCATCGTCCTCTTTAACCAACCAGTCGGGAAGTTCGCTTATCTCTAACAACCTCGGTTTCCTCGCCGCTCCCAATTTGGCCTCTTCCCTCCTCCGCTCCAGGTCCATTTTTTGGAACAGTTCAAACTCCCCCTCGGATCTCGCGACCATTTGGTTCACCGTCTCGTCGTCGGGCACCTCGTTTTCCTCCTAAAATCCACCAAAAATCCACCAACAGATCAGTACAAGTTAGAGTGCGATGGTTAGAGCGGAGTCACCTCTTCATCGTCGCCATCTTGGTGCAAAATGTGCTGGAGGAACTGCTGTCGCTCGGTGCCCGTTGATTTTTGATCGAACATGCCGGCTTGGATGACTTTCTCGTCCATGTTCAATTTGTATCTCGCTGCCGCTAATATTCGTTCTTCTACTGAGTTTACTGTCATCAAACGCAGGACTCTTACTTCGTTTTGTTGGCCGATTCGGTGAGCTCTATCTTGAGCTTGAAGATCCTAGTAAAAAATATAGAAGTTGTTGATGAATTGTATTGTAAATCGGAGAGTTTTTGAAGCTTACCTGATGTGGATTCCAATCGGAATCGAAGATAATAACGGTATCGGCGCTTTGGAGATTCAATCCCAACCCACCGGCTCTTGTCGATAGCAAAAATATGAAATACTCGCTGCGCTTGTCGTTGAATTTCTTCAGCAAATCCCCGCGGTCTTCCGCTTTGGTCGTTCCATCCAATCGAAGATAACCGAATCCTCTCCAGCTCAAATAATCCTCCATGATGGTCATGAGCTGGGTCATTTGGCAGAACAGCAGCACCCTGTGATTGGTCGCGTTCAACTTCGGCAGTATCCTGTCGAGCAACTCGAATTTCCCGGAGGCTCGGTAGATGTCGGGTCTGCGAGAAGATTTGTATTTGCTTCGATAATGCACGATTAAATTGTAGTAATTACCCGGATATTACACCACCGGCGATTCCGACGTGATCGCAATACTTCTCCTCGATGTTCTGGAACATGAAGGGATGGTTGCAGAGCTTTCTCAATTGCACGATGGTGTTCATTAGAGCTTTAGCGCCGCCTTTGCCTTTGTTACCTTTCTCAGAGCCGTCGGTTAGCAACACGCCTTTGCTCTGCATGTGCCTAAGAGAAAGAATCTTAAATTGATACTTTATTAATATTAATATAGCGCGAGTACTTACTTGTATAAAACTTTCTGTAAACTGGACATGTCGCATTTGATGATGTACTCCACTTTGTCCGGTAGTTGGGACTCGACTTCCTTTTTGAGTCTTCTGAGCAGGAACGGCCTGAGGACTTTGTGGAGGCGCCGGATGATGAGGATTGTTTCCTCTTCGTTTAATTCCACCTGGAAGAACTCGTTGTTACTAAACTTATACTTTTGCTTGGATGGAAGTAACCTTTTCTCCCGTTGTGGCGAACGGAGCGTTGAACCACTGCTCGAAGGTGGAACAACTTTTGAAAATCGAAGGTAGCAGAAAGTTGAGTAGAGCCCAGAGCTCCGGAAGTTTATTTTGTAACGGTGTACCGGTCAAAAGTAATCGGTGAGGAGCTAAATAATGAGTGTTCAACACCTGGGTTAGTTTGCAATGGTGGTTCTTCATACGATGACCTTCGTCGATTATCATGTATTTCCAAGGTAACTGAAAGATTCGAAAATTGATTTATCGACTTTATTGTGATGAAGTTAAGTTACTTTCGCCAATACTCCTTTGTCTTTGATGACGTATTCGTATGTTGTTAGTAGAACGTTAAATTTGGTAGATCGCATCTGGCTCTGGATTTGTCTTCTGCCTGCCGGTGAGCCTTTGTAAGATACCACTACTACAGATGGGGACCATTTTTCGAATTCCAACACCCAGTTCGATAATGTCCTGCAACGTTTATTTTATCAATACTTACAAACAATAAACTTCTCCGATACTTACGACAAAGGAACGATTATCAAATAAGGTCCATTCACTTTTTTCTTCTCCATCAGATAAGTTATCAACGCTATAGTTTGAATGGTTTTACCCAAACCCATTTCGTCTGCTAGGATTCCATTGAGATTGTTGTTGTAGAGCGAAACCAACCATTCGAGACCTTTGATTTGGTATTCTTTGAGCATACCGTTTATCAATATGCTGGATTGTTCTGTTACTATCTCGTGAACGGTATGCGCTATGCTGTAATAGGTTTGTTCTTCGTTGGAATTTTTGTGGTACTCGTCGTCCGCTTCCACTCTGGCTTTTTTGATCACGTCTTTGGCCTTGTCCGCTTCTGTTTTAGGTTCTGGAAGTGTAACGAACGATATTCGCCTCTTTGAATGATGTAATAAAACTCACTCTCGTCCTCCTCCACGTAATCCTCGTCGTCTTCGTCGTCCTCTTCCTCGCTGTCGATCTCCCATCCGGGATTCTGGGCCAGCCATTCCTTCAAATGGCTCAACATCGGCGCTTCTTCGCCCGACAGTTTCTTGCCCGTTGTCGTTTCGATTACAGTTATCGGCTTGTCGTTTAACTCGGACATTTCGTCGTCTTCTTCGGCGTTTAACAATCCCTCGATCCTAAGTTTCTTCTTCTTTTGCTACACGCGTGAATATTAGTTAATTGTTTTAGTGGAATACTGCGTGAAATTTACCTTTTTCTTCTTCTCTTCTTCTTGCTGTTTGCGTTTTTGTTCGAGTTTGTGTTGTTTTACCATTTCCGTTAAGTTACCAATGTATTCGTCAGTTTGAGATAGCAGAAACGCCAAACGTTTGTCTTTTTTCTGGTCGATTAACTTCCTATAACCTTCCTCATCCTCGGCCATAAGCCTGGAAATCATTAAATAAACCTCCTACAAAAAACCGCGATTAAATCCATACCTTCTCATACGCTCCTTCTCGATCCTCTCCTGCTCCTTCTTCTGCTCCCTCTCGGCGTTCGCGTGGTAACTCATAACGCCTTTGTTCACCCTGCCCAACCTACCCTGCGCGTTGCGATGGAACTCCTTGAAGTCCTTCCCGTGCTGCAGCACCGAATTCAGGAACTCCTGGTACTTCTGTTTCTTCTTCCGATCCGCTTCGAGTTTCTGTTGCTTCTCCAGCTTCTCGGTGGCCCTGGCCTCTTTCAAACCCTGCCGCTTGGTGCGCTTGTACTGCTTGGCGTTGATGATCGATTCCAGCGCGGTGTCCCGCCTGGTGCAGGCCAGGATCTCGCTGCGCAGCTGCCGTTGGAAGTTCAAGCAGCGCAGCGCCCGCAGCTCGATTTGCACCTTCATTCGCACGTCGTCCGATAGATTCGGGGGTAGATTGGCCAGCTGCTCCATGCGAGAGGCTATCCTGGCGGCTACTCGGTTTTCTCTTTCTTGTAGTAGCACGATGGGGTCCAGTCCGCAGGGTTTCGGCAACGAGGTGATCCTGTTCTGCTTGGTGGTTTGGTGGTGGTGCGGTTGCGGTTGGTGATGCTGCTGGTGGTGGAGCTGGCGCTGGTTGGGGTTCATCATCTGGGGCGTCGGGGGCGGTGGAGGACCGTGGAGCTTGTAGCCTTGGGGGTGGTGGGGCATCGGATGACCCGGGGGTTGGGATATTGGCGGCGGTCGCATCGGTTGCGGTTGCAGCGGTTGGGGGTGCATGGGGTTATTGTCTGGGGGGGCGCTTTCGGGTGGTTCGCAGGGATGCTATATATGATAAACGATTATTAATAAAAGCGTTTGTGGTAAATAATTTTGTTACCTGGTGTCCCGCGATGGTCCCGTGGGGAAAAGGAGCGTTGGGAGGCGGTGTGGGAGATTGCGGAATCCCGTCCGATCGCTTCCCTTGGAGCACCAGGTTGATTTGCGACGGGATCGGTTGGTTTCTTGCGATGTATCGATAGGCCATTATTTGGTTTCTTAATTGCGCCATTTGGGCCGGACTGAAGACGTTCTGCGGACCGTTGGATCGGGCCCTCAACGCCAGCAGTTGGGAGTACCTCGGATCCTCCTGCATGCCCTTCTCCTCCATGCTGTCGATGGCTCTTTGAAGGGCGTTTAGGTTTTCCTGGCCCTGGGGCGGGCCCGGACCTGGGGCGTTGCCGGGCACGTTCGAAGGTCCGGGGGGTCCTGGAGATGGGCCCATCGGCCCTGGTGAGGGCAAGTTCTGAAAAATCGTTGCATTTATTGCTCGTACTATGAAAATTGTTTAAAATATTATAGTGTGTTAGGTTATAGGTCAATATTATTTGTATATACTTGACCTCAAATATTTTGTTATATAATTTGAGCAAATTAACGGTTTGATACATTTAAATTAGTAGATGCTGTTGGGATAATTAAAGCAACAATGTTGTATATTAGGAGTTCTGTATTTTTTTGTTTTTCTATATGGGTATGTGTATTTTTTTATGTTTTATTAAATATAATAGTTGACTAGAATTTGTTGACTCTTAATTCAATTTTAATTCATTTACAAGCATTAAACACGTTATCTATAGAGAAAAAAATTGTTAATATGTTCAATCATTATTCAAATATTGTTTTACAATTAAATTATTATAGAAAAAACCTTCAGAACAAGTGTTAGGAAAGGAATTAAACCAAGGTTATTTATTAACAATTATTTCTGGTGCATGTCGGTACCATTTCTGTTTCAGATCTCGCTAGCGATGGGTACTACAACGCAAGAATACCTAGATTTCGTGTTGCCTTTAGTAAAAAACGCGGGACAAGTACGTTTTAATTTTTATCTTTCGTGATATTTCAATTTTTTCACCGCATTCCAGGAACTTTTATCCGTTAAAAACGTCGAAGTGGAAGAGAAAGGGGAATTCTACGATGTAGTGACCGTTTACGACAGGAAAATCGAGCAAATTTTATTCAAAAAAATTAAAGAACGATGGCCCGACCACAAGTAAGATACATGTTAAATAAATTAACAAATGTGGAACATGTAATTAATCTAACATTGCGTAATTACCTTGATAAATTCCATTTATCTCATTAACTACATCTCATGGTCAATTTTTAACACAAAAAAACTAGATTACACCGCCAGCCATTTCCTTCTTTCTCGTTAAATTTTTCTATTTTATCACTCGGTTGATAACTCACCAAGCTCATATCTTAACATTCAGCCAAAAAAAAAACATTAAATAATGATTTTTAAGGTTTATAGGCGAAGAAGAATCTTACACGAAAGGCATATCGCAATTATCGAACGAATCGACATGGATAATAGACCCTATAGACGGCACCGCGAATTTCGTCAGAAACTTAAAAGACGCCTGCATATCCGTAGGTCTCGTGATAAACAAAGAACAAGTCATGGGGGTCGTTTACAACCCTTTCATGGATGAATTATACACGGCCATTAAAGGACAAGGAGCCTATCTCAACGGAGTTAAAATACAAACAAACGGCGCAACAGGTACTATATAAAAATATCTATTAAAACTCAAACATTATTGCTTCATTTATTTCTAGATATCAGCAAATCGGTGTTCAATTACGAGCTGTCTTTAGGGGTGAACACTAAATATTACGACCTGTACATGTACCGTTTGAAGCATCTGTTGAAACACATCGGCGGGTGAGTACCTACGCGTTTTATAGTGTATTGTTTATTTGGGGTATATTTCGTATATTTTATTTTGTGTTTGTTTTGTTTATCGGTTAGAATTCGATCGATGGGATCGGCTGTGATGGGTCTTTGCTATGTAGCAACCGGTCGAATGGAGGCCTATCAATGCGATGGGTTATTCCCCTGGGACGCGGCCGCTGGAGTACTCATAGTACGAGAGGCCGGAGGATATGTTCGTGACTCGAATGGTACCAAATTATCTCGTTTAAATACTAAATATTGCACTATAAATGTATTTTTTATGCAGGTGGAGAGTTTGACCTAATGGATCCCAATTACATAGCCACCGCGACGAAAGAACTATCCGATAAATTCATGGAAATCGAACGAAGGGCCGATCAAGAACGAGAAAGCGATGCGCAAAACCACAAACAACTAAAATTTTAAATAAATTACATTTCTTATAAATTTGTATAGTACATTCGCAAACGTTGTTTGTTTACCTGCCTATGTTGCGGGTGCCCCATCGGCCCAGGGGTGGGCGGATGCCCCGGGTAACCCTGCTGCTGCATGCCGCCCCCGTGGGGCATTTCGTGCGGCGGACCCACGGGGTGCATGGGCGGGCCGGCGTGGTGGCCGTGCGGCGGGCCCGGGTGCATCTGCGGGGGCGGCGGGCCGTGGGGGTGCGGGTGCGGGGGCAGGTGGGGCGACGGGGGCATGTGGGGCGGGCCGTTCATGTGGCCCATGGGCGGCTGGTAGGGGCTGTGCGGCGAGTGCGGGGGCGGCGGGTGCTGAGGCGGCGGGCCCATGGGGCTCGGGGCTTGCGGAGGCGGCATCGGGCTGGTTTGGGGCGAGGAACTCATGGTTGTTGGTGCCTGAAAGTAAATCCCGATTAAATAGAAGAAAATCGCTTGAAAATGGTCAATTTTGCTTTAATTTTTTAGTAAATTATGTTGTAAACACTTAGTATAATAGAATTATTAATGAATCAATTGTGGTTCATATGCATATTCGAACATGGCAGAACAAAAAGTGTACTGACAGATAGGCAACCATTTTAACATCGTCTGTTAAAAAAACTATACAATTTTGATTTATGGTCGGTTTATTCTTTTGCCTATAGGCTAGGCATTTATGCGGCAACTGTGCAACTGTCAACAACGTTCAAAATCGAACAGCAGTCGTTAGAGTACGATTTTAAACGGTAATCAATTTCATTTATAAATTAATTTGCTAATAAAAAAAGTGCACTAAATTATTCACTGGATTTCTTTGGACGCGATTAAAATAACAAATAACTCACCTGGTCCGCGGATTAAACGTTCAACGACGATTCGAAATTCACTGAAACACCGACGGCGATTTGCATTTTCATCGGGCCTTTTTTCGTCTATTTTCCAATTAAAATTCGACGAACGCCATTTTCCGATCGGGCCCTAGTTTCGCTCGCCATCCCTGCACCCCGATTCACTTGTTTTGATTAAAACACCATCTCTGTCGGTGCCGCGCGATTAGAAAGAGACGGCGCGCGAATTTGCACGACGACTACTGCGATTGGTTTTATTTTTTATTTCAATTTTTTTTAGACAAACCGTTGGAAATATGGACGAGGATAATACGAATTGGTTCCAGAAATTGTATAGATATCTCGCCGAGTTCGGGTACCCCGCGGTGGAAAACATGACCATCGAGGAGCTGGGTAACGTATTTTCGCCGAAGAATCGGTGCGATTTCGTTTGTTGGTTACTCCGGTTTCTCGATTACGATGTCTCCGAGGAACGGAAAACGCCGGAATGTCTGCAGAAAATCGTCTGTAATCTCGGATTTTGTTCCTGCAAAGACGCCTTGCCGTTCCTGAACGGCACTTTGGATTTATCCCAACAAGTAAGTTTGTAAAAGTGAGGTTAACTTTTAATCCAAATGTTGCTAATTAAATCTAGCAAGCTACTGTTTTCGTGGTAGATTATAAAAAAGCTGATTAACAACACTGTTAAAGGCCGTTTACTGTCAATGCCATTATTATTAAATCTAGCAAACCACGAAAATAGTAAAAGCTGATTAACAACACTGTTAAAGGCCACTTAAAAATTGTTTTTAGATGATAATTTTCCAAAGAATATTCGAATTCCTGCAACCGATAGTAAATAGTGATATTAACATGCAGGAGGAAAGTTCTGTTAGTTTAGAGGATGTAGAAAACCTGATAGCAGGAAGTTATTTACCTAAATTCGTTAAAGATGCTGGTACAAAAAAGGTGCCTGTAACCAACAGTACTACCGAGAAGACTCGGAAAGATGAGAGAAATATTGAAAATTCCTCCGATACTATTACTAGCGATTATGTATTTGATGCTGCTCGAATTCCTGAAGATATCGAATCAGATTTACGGCAATTCGAAGAAATATCATCGAGACTTGAAAAATTGGACCCCGTCGATAGGATTTCTATAAGTACCCAAATTTTCGAAGATCTCCAGAATTGTAAAGAAAACATCAAGAAAATTAATCAAGTACGTTGATGCAAAAGTCGACTCATTGACTCTATTCCAAATAAATTGTACTTACCCTTATACGATACTACTAGCATATTTTTTTAGTACAATAACGACTTGAAAACTATAAATGAATTCAACACGAAAGCAAATAATATTCTAAGCCGGTTACCTCAATGTTCCTCAGCCTCCACGGATTTGTTGAGGGGACTTTGCTCCACAGTGGAACTAATAGATGATATGAATAAAGATATAAACTCTGTTCGCAAGATTTAGGTAAGTACTTACATTAACTTTATAGCTAAAATTCTCATATATTTACTTTTACAGCCCTTCGCTTCCTCGAACACCTTTATTAATAATTACACCTAAGATTACAGTTTATTTTTTTATTAAACAAGTGTTGATGATACGCTTCAAGAGTTCATTCTCCGAGTCGTACAATCCCTCGATAATCTCGTAATGATCGGAATTTTCCTGGAAAACATACTCACAACGAAGTCCTAAGCTCTTGATATGCTCGTACATCTCCTGACCCTGTTCTACGAATTTAGGACTATCGTATTCGGCGACAATAACTACTAATTCACAGTTGGTTCGCTTTAAGTTCCTGCGTAACGGGCTGGCTCTCACCGCAGAATCCCCATCGAGCCCCAACAAGTCGTTGTACGTCGTACCTAGTAAAGGCTCCAAGTCGTACAAACCGGTAATCAAAAACGCTGACTTGAATAGAAGTTGCTGGTGCTCCGGTAGAGTATCGATGAAGTCTTCGAATAGAGCAGCTACTATTTGAGCGCCGGCCGAGTGACCGGATAGATAAATACCGCTGAAAATGTTTATTAGTATTCAAATTGTTTGGATGTTTGGAAAGTGTGTTACCTAATTTCGGAGGTGTTTATTAAAGTTAGGCACTTTATTAGAGCCTTTTGGGTGTTTTCGAGTAATTCGAGTAATGTTACGTTAGGGCAGAGTTCGTATCCGATGAAAATCGATTTGATGCCGCTCGCGTGTAAATTTTTCGCGATAAACGAGTTGTTATCGTGTCTAATAGAAGGAACTTGCCAGTAACCTCCGTGAAAATGAACAAACACCGGACAATCTACGATATAATTACTAATAAATAATTAATCGATTATAAAATGGTGTGTACCTTCCGGTAAATCCGTTCCGAATACATCTATTAACTCTCTTTTACCCGGACCATATGGGATATTTAGCTTGCAAGGGATCGTTTCTCTTACTGTTTCACTATCTAAAATACAACTATGTAATAACAAAAGTAAGTATGAATTAATTGCATACATTGTTCAATGCACTTAACATGCTGTTCACTTCGTTGACTCCCTCGAGTACCTTTACACCATTGACTCGGGGAAAATAGAACATCCAATTCCGATTTACTCGACATTTTCACCGGATCGCTGCTAGATTTGTACTGGCGTAATCGATACGAGCATGTAATGAGAATTGAGAAGCCAGTGAAGTGATTGTATTATGTTTCGAAAATAAGCTCTTTGATAAATAATACTTTATCTCGTATTATCTTCTCGATTCTCTTTTCTTTTGGGAACTTATTTAAATAGTATACAGGATGATAATAAACTGGAAGTGTATTTCTTAGAGTTTTATTAAATTACAAGTAGATTAAAAGATTTACAATTGTGTCCATTAACCCGTTTTGCCGAACTTAATGGCTTCCCTGGAAAGACAGCAGGTATAGAGAATTATGCGGAATTATTCAAAATAGTCGAGATAGATAAATAAAAAACATCTACTTACGTATCCTAACTAGTTAACTTATGAACTATTATCTAAATTTAACTGTAGATTTGAAGTTCTCGACGATTTGGAAAACGTTTCCATTGAAATTATGACTATGCACATATTTACATTATAAAATGATAAAGTTTTTAACAGTACATATACTTCTAATCTAGAATTCTTATTCGGTATAATTAGCTGATGAAAATACGATATTTTTAAATTGATATTGCTATGAGTGAAGTTATTGTTGATTGGAAAATTTGAATATAAAGAAAAAACTTTTGAAGAATACCAATTTGTGAGTATTGCGTTAAAGTTTTGAAAGTACATTGTTTTGTTGTACGTTAACTTTAAATTATTCCATAAAAGTTTCCTTGTGAATAATATTGAAGAGAGTAGTATATCGATTTAGAATATATGAAATATTTTAAATAAACTCAACATTTGATAGAATATATGTAGCTTTAACAAATATATTTCTAGTTATTTACAGTCTATTGAAAAGGAATGTCAGGTGCCTTTTTTAGGCTATGTTGAAGTGTTTTATACAATATTTCGCCAAACACACATAAAAAAATCATTATCACCAAAATGTAATTGCGCTCATTTAGCAAGTTTTCTTGTTACTTTCATTTTCTACCTATTTTCCATCTTACTCAAAAAAATAGTTCATTATTTCAAATTTCACCAAACAAAACCTCTTTTTTATCTTACACCCTATTCGCACATTCGATGAATACATTATTGCTAATATTCTCAAAAAATACTTATCTTAAATACATCATTAGTGAATATAAAAATTACGATTTAAGTTGTATCAATGCAAATCAAGCTAATAAAAATCGCTACTATTTAATCGCGCCTTGGATTAACTTCCCCTTGGGCGGCACGGGCGAACTTGTGGCGCTTCTGGACACTCTCGGCTGATCAGGCACACTCAATTTAGCTTCAGTCGATTTCCACGTCGGCGGCGAGCAGGTATTTATGCAGTGATCGTTCCGGCTCAGCGTGTGAATCGGTATCCGATAAATACGCAACGGTTTCACCTCAGGAGACGCTGAAAACCAAACCGTTAACTCGACGAAAAAAATCTCGAATTCCGAAGTTACCGTTAGGACTCGGAGGAGGCGAGTGCTTCTGCACGTCCTGCTGCTTCATTTCAACGAACAACCTGTCGGTTTTGTTCGGGAAGAATTCCGGCGCGGTGGTGGCGAAGAAAATGTCGTTTTTGGAGGCGATCAGCTGCAGTTTGGGCATCGTCATCGTGTGTATCAGATTCCCGTTTACTATCAAACGGATCTCCATGCTGTTTTGAGTGAAAGCGATCACGTAAGGAAACGCGCAAACTACGAATTAAATCACAAGTTTACAAGCTACGATTTGTGGTTAATTTTTAATCACCTATATCAGACGGAACGGAGTTCCAATGGAAATCGAAATTGCTCGTCGAACTTTCCTCGTTGATCTTCTGAAAGTGACAGGTATCTGAAACAACAACGTCTTGTAAGTAATTAGAAAGCGCGCGTTGAACAGGCATAGTTACGATTGTAGCAGAGCAACAATTGTATCTCTTGGTCCTCGTACAGATCGAGAGCGGCCACCAAATTGGCCTTGGCGCAGTCGACGGTGTGCAAATGCTGCGCTAATCCGGTCCTGCCGTTCACGATGTCCCAGTGGTTTTTGTAACCCACGCAGACGAGGGTGTCGCCGTGGGTGGGCGAGCTGGGGCTCCAGCCGCTGTCCAAAATCGTCACCATCGTCGGGGTTTCGTTCATGTTCAGTTCCTGGAACGAATTAACCTCGTTTTGCATGCTTTTCTAGATTTTTTGGGTGTTGTTTACCCATTGAAACGTGAAGCCGTCTACGGTGTCAGTGTCGCTGGATGGGCACCAAGCAGTCCAAGCTGCGGAATGCTTCCATTGAAACATCAGCAGCTTTTTGCCGATTATGACGCACATACGCAGCTTCGATCCGCCTGGAAATACACAAAAGAGCTTTCAGAAACGTCCGAAATATTAAAAAAAAGGTGGATAATAAAACGCAAGTTTCACCCTCGTCCAATTGTGCTTGCTCGAAACGACCGGCTCTTCGCATGCCTCGGAAAACAAATAAAATTCTGCGGCCGTTTAAATCAACATCTCTTTCGTTTATTTACATATTTCCCGTCCTCGAGTGACCGCTGACCGGACAAAAAATTTTCTCCGCGGTTTTTTTTATTAGCCCCATTTCGGCTCCCGGAGGAGCGCGATGCAAACAAACGCATTTCGAATTCCTTTAATCACGTCGACGATTCGAATTAAATTTCTGCGACAAATCCATGAATAAAGCGCGGAAAATATGGCAAAAAAAAAATTCTCGAATGCGAAAATTAAACCGACAACAGTCCGGCGAACGTGCAAAACCCGTGCCCCCTCATGCGGAAGCAATATTTGTTAGAACGAAAATAATAATGTAAGGCAAACATTTAAAGGGAGAACCGGACGCGTCGCGTAGGCGGAAATTAAAATGAGCCCTTTGATTAAAAACAACGTAAATTGAGACGACGAGGAAATATATTTGTTGCGAGAAGAATAATTCATAACTTCCTTTAACGTTCCCTACTTGTGCAACATATCGCCAACGAAATTACCGATGTTTTTCAAACTACCAGAACTCCCTTCGAGCGAGCAACTCGAATATTAGTTCGCGAAACTTCAAACCAGCGATCGGGTCGTCGCAACTTTCCCGAAACGAAATTAACAATTACCTGGTCGGGATAGGGCGTAGAGGTTCGTCCCTCTGGTCCTCTCCAGCCGGTGATCCTTCACGTTAACGCGCGACTTCGCGTCCGTCAAATCCTCGATCTGCGATAATCTAAAAACGTAAACTTTACCCTCTTTGTTGCTGTGCCCGCACCGCATCAGGAATATCCCGTGGGGCTCCACCACGCTCAGCTGGCGCACCTGCAGCGACTTATCGAAGATCATCCGGTGGTAACTCCCGTCTGGAATGAACCGGAAACGAGGCAATCAGAAGAGCTTAACGCCTCGCCGGATCCATCGACTTACCCACTACGATGTACACCCCCTCCTCGGAGCCGATTACTAATCTGTTATCGCCCCAGGAATCGGCGCAGACGATGCTCTGGCAGGGGAACACCGGGTAGAAGCAATGGGCTTCCCAGGGGGACCGTTTGAACACCGTGCCGGTGCTGCAGCCGGCCGACGCCAGGCTCGTCGGGGCGTCCCCTCTGACGATGGCCTCCAGCTTCAGAGCCTGTCCGATCCGCACGAATTCGATCTGGCGGGAATCCTCCTTCAGGCGCGAATGGCGCGGCGTTTCGGCCAGCACGTCGGAGAACGCCCGGCGATTCAGCATCGCCTGTTCGCAAACGGTTAGACAAACCTTTACAACTGAACGAATTTCGACTCACCATCCTGCCGTCGATCATGTGCTCGGAGTAGAGGTCTTTGATCAGCATGTCGAGCGTCCGCTGGCGTTTCCTGGAGAACGTGGGCGTCTCGAACGTCGCCTTTTCGCCGTTTATTAATTTCACTAAGAGAAACTCCCTGAACAGGTAGGGATCTTTGAAGACCGGCGGGCAGGGCAGGCCCGGCCCGAACAGCGGCACGCACTCGTCCGAGAACACCGACAGTCTGTACTCGTTGTCGTTGTCCATCGTCACCACGGCGAATATATCTGTTACTCCAGTTAAGAAAAATAAACTAGAAGATCTGTCTGTTTGAATCTGATTAAAGCAATCAATATGGAAGGCATTAGGGCGTTTGTATTTCCCGAATGTTATTCACCTTGGCGGCAAGATAAATTCCACGGGCGAGATTAGAACGTCTCTTCCGAACGATTTAAACGAATTGGCTGCATTAACGGGATAAAACGCGTGGCGTTTCCGTGGATTCGTTCGGATAAAACCATTTTTTTAACGCCCATTCGGAGTTCTGCTTTTGCTCGGGGCGGGTTCGGGTTTTAATTTATTCCCAACACAATGGGAGCGCGAAAGGACACGTAAATGTCCCCCGGTGTTTCGATATCTTATTTAAGGTCGATTGCGCCGAGGAGCTAATAGGTCTTGGGGGAGATATAAAGGGATAAAAATACCTGCAGGTTTAAGTATTTTTGCGTTTTTTTTTTAATTATAGTAGCTGTATTCGGGGCTAATAAAACAGCATACGAGTGTAAATTGGAATATAAATTCTAATGTTTGAAAAATGTATGCAACCCAAAGTGCACAGTTGTTATTATTTTCAAGAAATGTCCCTATTTTGAATACAAATCAACACATTTCATTATTTTTATCTATCATTAATTAAAGGTTATGTTGATACAGAGTTTTCTTCGCGAAAATCACAAGAAAAACGATGAAAAATAAACAAAACACGTTATTTCTACCGAGATTTCATATTTCATCGAGTTGACGTTGACATTAATGACAGTTATCTAGTAACTTATTTTTTTTTGGTACCAACATATATAAACATTACAAACTTACTAGGTTCATTTCGAATTCGGTCACGGGGGAATCAATCATTTATGAAGACTCTGTATTACCGGTGCTTTTCATTCAGTATTTGCGGGTGTATAATTTATTCGCGAAAAAGGATACGTGTAAATTGCGATTTGATGCAGGTCGGGTTGAATTGCGCATGCGCCGCTTCCGAATCGGTCTCGGCGTCGATGAACACAATGTTCACTATGTCATTTCCGATGTGCCTTTTCCGTTCTACCTGTTGGCGATTGTCTCGGGAATACGGTAACAACGTCGATACGTGGAACATGATTTCGTGCCCTTCGTAGATCGTGTACACGGAGAACTTTCCGGTCATGTCGCCTGGAAAACGAAGCCATTGTTGATTCGCTAAAACCACGGCCGTATATTTCTAAGGTCTGGAAACTTAACCAACTTATCTCAGCCAATCAGCGTCGCGCTACATATAAATCGCGGTTGCGTGAGACGACAGTTCGAGCTGTCAAAAGTGTCAAAAATATTTTTTTAACATTTCGATGAGAAAATTCGAGGAGACCTTAAAAATATTCGGTCGTGGCTAAAACGCCGCTTATTACACGATGTGGTGTAATAATCGGTTACCTTTAATGTCGAGTCCGCCTCTGTACTTGTCCCATCCGCGTAATTTGATTTTATCCCCCAGGAGCGACAGGAATTGCTCGAATCGGTAGCTCCCGTACTCTGGAACAAGAAAAAAACTCGACTGAACAAACGTTGGTTTAGGGTAACGTGCATGTAATAACGAAAAGTCGATTTGAATAATTGATAAAGCGGTGATTTTCGAAAGTACGATTGTTTTTACACTTTGTATCGCCCATTAAAACTTTGTCTAAATAATCTCTGGTACATTGAAATTTAACATATCCTGTAGGAAGCATCCTAAATAATAAAATTCACCCTCGCATTTCATAAATTTCTAAATCTACAGAGACCTGTATTGTAGCTGTTTTGAGTCATACGGAGATTAGAAGTTTCCATTTGCAGTAAATTTTCCTCGCGCTGCTTCCATTGAAAAATAATATCGATCACTCGGGTTTTTGCGAAACGAAAAATGCATTTCTACATCAATCGAATTACCAAATCGGCTTACATTCGAGACCCCGTTATGCATTTGCTGCGAATTTAATATGTAATTCCACTTCAATGGCGCTACTATTTCAGTTACTCGAGCGAAAATTGGTTTTTACGCATTTTATATTTGCGAAAAAGCCCGGTAATTCGATTTTAATCTCATTTTCGGCCCGCCAAAAAAATTAATTGAGTTTTCATATTTTAATGGAGTGCAGGGTTGGATTCTCTAAGAAAATCTATCTACCACCAATTCCCTTCCAAAATCTGATCCCTAAATAATTAAACAGTGTGGAAATTAGCTGTTAGTACTCTAAAAGAATTTGTACTTCCTAACGACCCTCACGGAAAGTTTGCTAATCAAAGTTCCTTAATCAAACCAACAATTACAAAACTTGAATTTAATACAAAGCACGAGCGGTTGTTTAATCTCCTTGCATGTGTACATGTGCACTTATTTTTAATGTAGCTAATAAATTCCATCCAACGTCTTGGCTAAAATAATGTTGATATAAACGATGAAATTATTAATAAATCTTACCATTGCTCAAAATGTCGTCGTCGCTGGTTTGACCCTGTTTCATGTAGACAACGCCGAATTTGAAATTCACTGATCCCTCTTGCTCTTCTAACAGTAATAAGTCTTTTTGAATATCAGGCGAAAATATTTCCTTTGGTCCTTTTTCAACTCTATCCATATTGGGAAAGTTCGACATGATTTGTTTCACTGTCAACACTTTACTCTGCGACACAGGTAACGATATTTTCTGCGTTCCCTGGAAAGTTATACAGTAATGCAACTTTGCATTATACAATAAATTATTATTTATACGTACGGTTTTTTTGAATAAAATCGCCCTACACAGAGGCACACAGGTATTCGAATCTTCATTCAAAACTATGCTAAGAAAAAACGGTGATTTGTCGTTATCCAGTCCCACGTAATTCTGATGCACTGAAAAACCAACCAAACTCCCTCAGGATAGAACAGAAAAAAATGTATATAAATATGCTAATGCTACTTACGTTTGCCGAGGAAATACTTGAAGTACCATCGGGTCTGATACTCGGGATTTTCGAGCACGGGCGTGCTCGGCGACCCGAACATCTGAAACAACTCGTTTGTTTGAATCAGAAGAAAATATTCATGGGATGTACGCGGAAAAGATGGCCGCAGAATCGCTTAGCCCAAACTCGGGATTTCCCCCGAGAACGCCGGACCCCGGCTATTTATTAGCGAAGGGTATAGCGACAACGATAGGGCGGCCAATTTGCGTTCGGATTATTGCCTGACATCTAACTCAATTGGTAAACATTTTTACTAGAGCTGGTTTCAATTAACAAGAGGATTTTGGAGCAAATACTAGGCGATAATCCGAGTGGATAATTCGATAGTAATTACCTCGTCTTTTTCGCCCGGTGAATCTCCATTTTCTATTCTAAATCTCCTACAGTGCTCTTGCCCGTCTACTTCAGGTTGCTGTAACTGAAAACACACAAGTTGATCGATTTACTTGCAAGTAGAATTTTCTATACCGCGGAGCGTCGCAAATTAATTGTTTTTTTTTTTATTTTACGCGGGGTTATTGTGAAAGTCGACTTCACATCCATCATCGATAATTCAGACGCCCTGAAGTTGATTAATATGTCGCGTTTTTTATCGATACAATCTGGAATTACCTGCTCGACGGATCCGTAATATCTCCTCGAAAAAACGCCTCGTCTGGATATGAGATCGCTAGCAGTCGAACTGAAACAAAACGAAAATAATCTAAATCGTAAATTGTCTAACTGAAAGTCGTCGAGGCATGGATATCTTCTGAAATATTTTATTCCGAGGCGTTTCGCGCGATTGAAGGCTTCGGGAAACTAAGAAGTATTGGTTTAAGTTCGTCGTAAAGGTGGCGAGAAATCGCATCTGAGGCGATGCATTTCAAACGGAAACGCGAGGAATTCATAAATGTGTATGGAATCCGCTGTTTGTTTGGTTTACCATTCGATCTTCAACGAAATTCCCTTCATTGTCGATCGACTTATTTGCTCTCATCGAAACCAATTGCATTTTGTCGATTCAAAATCAAAGGAACAAATAAATCTTTAAATGTAAGGCTTATAAAGGAAGAATTTCACGTTAAGTTAAAGAAGTATTCGCAGAAAGTTACTTTGTATTCAACCTGTAATTCACAAAATTTTCTTACTTTTTGTAAGGAAAAATCTAATCTGAAAGTTTAATGTTTACCCGCACAAAACGAATACATTTTTGCTCTATAAATTCCTGCAGTTAGAACAAAAGTCCCGTTTTACTGGAACATTGTAGTGTATATTACACATTGAAATGTGGATTTTATGAATATGAGCGAAGCCACGATAATAAATCAACCTCGTCACCGTTTTATCACATTACAGGGCCGAGATAGGGCCCATTACGCCCCGCGAGTGTGTGATATTTCATGCACAAAGCTTCTTTCAAACTTAATCAATTAAAATTATGCAGATGTGCGATCAGAGACGCGTTAATAATCCGGATATTTAACCAAATAAGCCCTAATTGAAAGGGATGAATGATAGTTTTAATTTGAGCTTAATATTTCACGTGTTCATAAATGTGGAATTTCGTGATTAGGTAACGGGATTTGTCGCATTTTCGTTGCATTATCGTTAGTTTATGCAATGTTTTGGTACGCCCACTAAATTTCTTTCGCCATACGACGGGTAATTTTATTTCTGTACTTGTACTTCTATAAATAGAAGCGTTATGTGAAGCGAGCGATAAAACGAAAATCGATAATGTATATTTTTGTTGTTGTAAGTAGGAAAACGCTACGTAATAGTACATGTACATTTTTACCCGATTTCACGAGCACAAGAAAATTTTATTCGGCTCCAGAAAGTAGATAAATTTTCCGTTATAACTCCGCCGAAAGTTTCGCTATTATATAATTGAAATTCCTACCTGCGTCTATTAAAACTTTCAAAAAACCGATCTGTATCGGAAAACAGAACTTTTCATCCCCCGCCGGGCTTTAATTGCGCTTCGCCCGGCGAATATTAAATTCAAAGGAGGTTTACTTTTCGCAACTTGCGAAAGATGCTAATTTCCTCGCCAAAGCAAACTCGGTTTATAATGATCAACTGCCATTGTATCTACAAAAAGAAAACCCCACCTGCTCCTTTACACAAACTCGCAAAGATAACGCTTCGAAAAGGACCTATCGAATAATTTATTTAATAAGTTTGATAAGCAAAAATAATTGAATTAATTAATAGCTTACAATCAGGAATCTCCCTCCCTGTTCAGCTAGTAGATATTTTTTTCCGAGGATGCTGCTAGAAGGGCCCCAATTGATTTTCGCCGACGTTGTCGCACAAATACCCTAATGAACCCGCCCTTTAAACAAATCCCGCATTCCCGAATCGTCGATCCCTATTTATATCAACTCGACGAACTGTCTGAAACGAAGATTGCGAAGGTGAAAGAACTCCCGGACTCTCCGGACGCGTCGGAGGCCCTAAAACTATTTGCCCGGGAATTTCGACGAATATATCTGAATGGGAGATTGCGGGGATTCGTCGAACCTGCGGCTGACGTGAGTTCAATGCAATTTTCCTACAATTCCAAATTTACAGCGTTTTGGAACGGGTAATTGATTCCCGGCTTTCTTAATTACTTGGATAAGTTCAATTACTAATAGTGTTCTAATGTGATCAATCAACTACAAACGCGTGTCGGGGAAATTTTATTAAAAAAAGAACAAAGCAGCAGCTTTTGTTGGAGAAATGATAGAAGGTCCGTTCATCTAGCGAAATTGATTAAAGTAATAGCGAAACAAGAAATATTGTATCACATAAATCTAAAGAAAAATTGGCCGGTGTTATATATTTTCGTTTTTAATAAAAAAAAACCCGTCGTATAGCTGTTATTATATAGAAAATTATATGATACGCGATGGCATTAACGGATTAACTACAGATGAAATAATCCTACAAACAAACGCGAAAGAAAAGCAGAAAGTTTATCCCGGATTCCGTTTAATGATAACTCGAGCAAAAAGGATAAAAGTGTTTAAATTAAGACTATAAATCCGCCAGTGTTTATTCAGTTCATACAACGTAGGAGTTTCAGTTTACAACACATTTATCACCCGGATAAAATACCTCTTTCCTGATAGGATAAATATCCAGATACATCAAGGATAGTTATTCGCAGGTAATACGATATTTCATCTTCCAGTTTCAACTCTACCCGGTCGCGACTCTCTTAAAACTTTTATCAATATCATCCAACTTCTGTATCTATATTCTCCCTAGTTTTGTGCGGTTCGGGAAAAAAATTGTCGAGAAACTGGAAACAGAAGTGTCACTCGAGCCGTACTCTGGGCGCAATTACGGGGTCCCTAATAATGTTCGAGTGAATTTAGAGGGAACGTGTTAAAGCTCGACGATGCGAAATTTATCCACAGCGAACCGGTCGCGAACAAAACAAGCTTTTATCTCGGGACTTTATTATGCTCCATCATATGCTAAAAAGTGCTGGTAGTTTAGGGTTGCAGGTTCGTTTTATCCGGTTTCGCATGTAAAGAGATGCACACGCTCTTCGTTTAACTACCGAATAACTTCTGATAGAGTCGACCTAAATAACATATTTTCAAAAAAGACAAAACGGATGTGGTGTTTGGATGCTACTGGTTGGAATATGCCGGCGATAGTTGGAGAAAAAATGAGGAATTAATTAAACTCTAATAGGTAAATGCTTGTAATTAGAAATGTCAATTTCATTAAAGTGGGAATTAAAAACGCGAATTGAATCGTGCGATTCGGGAAATTGAATTTAGGTAACCGATTTTTAATTAAATATTGATTATTCTGGTTTCTGTTTGAATAGAGACTTATACCAGAACTATTATAAAACACGATTAATAATTAATTATGCAATAAGACAATTTTTAATAACGAACAGTTTTTATCTTCTCGGTTAATAAGACATTTTGTTGACTTTCCTTTCGATGGGGGAATATCAATTAAACGAGCAAATTTGCCCTGAATATACCTTTATAAAAACGAAATAAGATGCCTATATGAAAAGGAAACGTATTGCTTCCCTAGTCTCAAAAAACATGGCATTTAAACAACCTTTATATTCCTTTGACTAAATGAATTTATATAAAACGCCTTTTCCGAAGGAAAAATTCAATGTATGGCCATTTCATAAATTATCTACCCGCAGAAAAATATAGGTATTCGAAAATAGTTTAGTAATGAAATTTAGTTCTTCCGCCATGAAGAATTCTTCGGGAAAACCTTGACCCGGTTTAAAACCCATCGCGATTAGCGCGACTAACAAAGGAAATTAAAATGCAGTTTTGAGCGGTTTTGAAATTTTCAATCCTTCAGTAATGCCCGATGCTGCTCATCTCGCTGGCCAATTGTGAAAAATTTCCAAGTGGAGTATCACTTGACCTCATCTGCGAGAACGATTCCCGTTCGTTTCGAATTTCGAACTTCTCCTGAAGATTTTAATTTAATTTCTTCCGCCGCTTCTTTTGTCTCCCCGGTCGAAATGAGGATAATGAAACGATTTATTTGCCGGTTGTTACGGCCGTGTAAAGGGAGGATTTTCGTACAGGATGCAGGCATAAAAATTTTACTTCGAGTTTCCATTAAATTGTTATCTCATAAGCGTTTCTTTTGGTACAATAAAGTCGGAGTAAATATTAGGAGAGGGAGCGGAGGATGTTTGGTATCCGAAAGGAACAATAAAACTCGCCGGAATTATGTTTCTGTTATTGATTCCTGGCAGATTTTCTCTTGTATTGTGACATCTACAGGACCCATCAGGTTTGCCCTTTAATAAAGGGATTCCCCCGGAAATGGCCTTTTATTGATAACCTGGCCTTTAAGTGTCCAATCGCCGAATATCAAAGGGATTGTACGAAATAGGTCAAAGTAGAAACGAACTGTTTCGTAATAAAATTCTTCATACGCACATTTTTTTCGCGAGTTTAAACTTCCAACTCCTAACTTCTGGATAAACTCGCGTGGAGTTTTTGCGAAGTTTCCAGGCGAAATTTCCAGACCAACAAAAAATTCATATAGTCTCCCTGTTCCCTTTTATGCACATATTTGCCTACGTTTCGAACCCTTTTCACATCACGCAAATCCGAATCGAGCTACTAATTTTCTAAGGAAATTGTGTCGAATCCGAAACGGAATTAATAATTTACGACTACAAATTAATCTCGGGTCACCCGATAAACTTTATTGCCGGAAAACACGCGAATTTCCATATACAAAGGAACCGTTGTGAACTGAATTTTCCATCAATACCAATCAGCCATTCAATTTAGTTTATTTATAATTGGAATGAAATTTACCTAATACTCTAATGAATAATTCCGAGTCAACAACAAGGTTTTAGTAGGTTTTAAAACCCTAATAGTGCAACGAAACAAATCGCGATAATATCCTGCAAATCGAAATCGAATTTCGAACTTACATCGCGCTGCTGGCCCTTCTGTGGAACAATTTGAAAGCACTGACGTCCCTGGGCGGTTTGCTCCTGAACGAAGTAACACAAACACTTTTAGATCTGTCCCGGTCTTTGGCTGCTTCGTCTTCCACCGTCCGTTCGCCACGCAAACGTTGCATCAAACGCATATCGAGACACAGCATCACTTTTAGTTTAATGGAATTGTTAGCCCATCACTCCAAACCACGGCCCTATATTTCTAAGGTCTAGAATGTGTCCCGTTATTTGAGGACTTTTTGATTTTCACTTTTGCGCCGCAAGGTGGCGAACGATCGGAGGACCAACTTATCTCAGCCAATCAGCGTCGCGCTACATTATAAATCGCGGTTGTTGTGAAATGACAGTCGGAGCTGTCAAAACTTGAAAAATTATTTTTTGACATTTCGAGAAGAAAATGGAGAAGTAGGTACATTAACCGAAGATACGTGAGGAATGATGTTAACAACAAAATCATCGCTGATTTAAGTATATTTTTATATTTTCTGTCTATTTTTAGTTTGAATATAACCTTTTTTAATTGCTAATTCTATATAATTCGTACGCAAAAAACCGTGGTCCTTTACAACATCGCCTCCTAGCGGTCGTTTTAGGTCAAATGACGGGACACTTTTTCGACCCATGTTTCCAGACCTTAGAAATATAGAATTCCAAATAATTTTTAATAGTAATTTAATAACAACGGCTGGTTGAAAAATGCATCAAAAAACGTACGCTTTCAAGCTAATTGGGATTCGAATTTATAACTGGAATAAAATTGCATTAGCAGGTACATTCGATTGTTAATTCATTAAGTGCATAAGCTATATGCTCATTCACTATAGCCGATAACGGATTCGATCCGGAAAATTCCGGAAAGCTCTTATTTGTGTGTACGCGAGCGAGCTGTACAAATATTTTTCTAGGTGTTCAAACGCGAACAATTCGAAATATTAGCCCTGTTTTTATTGGGTACTGATACTCCAGCAAAAACCGCGAGTATCTCGGAAAATCAATTAACGACTGATTAAATGAATACGATAAGGCAATTAACAAAGCGATAAAATTGATAACTACACGTTATGGTTTCTTCGGGACGGTTTGATAACATGTTTTCGTAATAAATATACGTGTTTTAGTAGTTCAATTTCGGGGTTAATAGGTGGAAAGCACGAGAGAATTTTGCACGAAACAAACACCTACAATAGATGTTATAGGATACAAAAGAATCCGAACTCCCTTACTATTTTTTTGTTATTTTATGGGTTTAGGTGGACTATAGTGAATTCTAATAAATTTTCCACGTTCTAAACGTTCCTGCGACGTTTTATCGTAAGTTCGTATATCGCAAATGGGATTTGATGTAGAGGTAAAACGGAAAAATCGCCGGGACTTTAACGCGGATTTGACGTTAAATTAAACTGAAGCGTTTTTATGAAATCTGGCGTGCGGCGGGGCCCGGACGAAATGGAAGGAAAACGCGCCGGGAAAATGGAAATGCTCGATTTTCTGGTTTACCGAAGGCATTATTTCGATGAATGAAAAAAACGGAACGTTTCAATTATTAACTCGCGTTGCGGGTTTGTTCATTTTTAATGAATAACTCGGAGTATTTTTTTTCGCTAAAACATTACTTATAGCACCCACGAACTCATTAGTTTTTGGAAAAAATTCAATCAAAAACACTCACTTTACTCATTATTCGAACGGGTAAATTTATAATCGAATAGAAACTTCCGAAACGAATTTTTCGAATTCTAAAGTTAAATTGGTGTTATTTTAGTATACATATTTATCTACCCCAACAAACGCTCTTGTTTACTGATATTTTCCCAACGATGACAACCCATTTAAGTTCCATAGTTTCTGACTAAAATCAATAGAACGAATTCGGTTCCACCACAAACCCCGGGCGAATTCAGCAAGCTTAAACTACATTAAAAACTCTACAAGATTGTAATCCTCCCGAGCTGTAAACAAATTAGAGATTAGTTAATTTAACTGTTAACAGATTTAGCTAATTAACGCGTTATTAAACTGTACCGCCACCACCTTTGTGTCAATTAGACAAAACATTGGTAATTAGAAGGTGTCGGGAACTTGTGATCTGTCTTTTAATTAAAGACGGTGAAATCTATTGAGAAGGAACGCTATTGTTAATTATCAAAATTAATCTAATTACGCATTTTTGGAGAAAGTTCAATTATACCCTAACGAAGTTGATAAAACGGGTAAATTAGACTGGGGCCAATCGGTTGTAAAATTTGAATAGTTCAAATTAAATCCTAAAATGCTGGCTTTATTTTTTCTCTTATTAGAAATGCTGATACCGCATTAAATTCACAACTTCCTAAACTAAAGAATCGAGGTATTAAAAAGCTTTTTTTTGAAAAAGTAAGAAAACGATTTTACATATTTTTTAAAATGTTGACAATATGTTACATTTACCCCCTACCATGGGGCAATTGTAAATACATATTTGGTTCCTCTAAAATTTGATATGCTGTTTATTTATTTACATATTTCAAAAAATAACAGAGCTACAAAATAATAAAGAAAAAATAAGAAACAAACCCTGTTTAATGCACAAAAGAATTATAAAAATAATAAAAAACATTAACATAATAGGTAAAAATATTACATTTACCCCATTTTTACATTTGCCACAGTCTACCTTAGTAGGAATCTCTTTAATAGGCAATGATACTAATTGCAAGATGTGTAATTAACGAATTAATTATTTCGAATTCTGCGCCTTAGTAGAACTAAAAGGAGAAGTATTTTCTGAAGAGAGTAGTATCAATTTTAAAACAGCATTTCTATGCATTCGTTCTATTTCTAATTTTCCCGGAACAAAAGAGCTGGAAGCGATTTCGTTCCGGGTAAACATGGAAAAGATGGATAACGTCCAGTGGTTGTATCATACAAAATTCGCATGACGCTACATTTACCTACTTTTCGAGATAATTATACGACCCCGTTCGACCTCGAATGACCTCTCGGGGGGTTGTTTATATCTATTCGCTGTCTCCGATTCCCGATCGTTCGCGCTGCTAATCCACATCTTGTAGCAATGGGAATTTAAATTAACTTCATCGAATGATGAATTTTCATTTAGTCCGCGTTAAATCCTTCAATTACGCCGAACCGGAGTTCCGCTTCATTGTAAAATGCACCTTGCATCGCCGAAATTAATGCTTATACCGGTTGTCCCGGGGATTATGATACGACAAGCGCTTTCGTTTTTATCGAGTGTTAATCTCTTACACTATCTTTAGTGTAATCGATAGCCGCATGCGAGTATTTGCTCGGAATTACACCGGATTATTCGCCATATGGGCGTTGGGTTAATAATTTTCTATTGCGCGATATTTCGATTTTTGGTTGAAATTAGCTCGAAAGTTCTATCGTAACTTTTCGACCTACTTGGGTAAAAGTCGACCGCGCTACGAGCTGATTATTTAGTCCGAATGCAAACGAAAATTTATCGTTATATTTGTTCACTATGTTATGCATATACGAGGAATTAATTCGGTTGTATATGCTCGAAGTTTTCTTTATTATAATTAATATTTACATTCCTGGGCCGACCGCTCACGGAGCGACTGTTTTGAAATAAAGATTTCAATTTAGTTTAGTCTGTAACCAGTTTACAACAATAATATTAATTTTCTGCACGCACACGGATGATGCGACTATTATAAAACAGTTTCAATCAATTGTGGTAGTAATTTATCGAATGTCGAATGAATCACACCAGAAATTGGCAAGAATTTAAAGCAACTTGAAACTGCAAAGCGACTGCGACCGCGGGAAATGGCCGGGTACAACCGGTTTATGACTCATTGCAAACTAGTTTCATTTGAATCGACTTGTGTGCGGTTCCACACTACTGTACATTGCGCGAGGTTGCAAAATAGTTGCAAGATCAACTGGTTTACAATTTTTATTTCAAAACTGTTGCTTAAGTGAGCGTAGGACCTTACTATATATTGCCGAGGTTGCAAAATAGTTGCAAGATCAACTGGTTTACAATTTTTATTTTAAAACAGTTGCTCCGTGAGCGATCGGCCTTAGAAGAGCAAACTCGATCAGACGTCTGCGTGGAAAGCGCGCAAAAACGGGTAAAACCGTTTTATTTTTTACCTTTCCATTCAGCTTTTTCGCTTTTTCACCGTCTCGACGAAATGTTTCTACAAACTTTCCGATTTGCCTCTTAAAGCGCGAATCGGGAGAATCAATCGAGAAACGAAATACCTGCCGTGTCATTTCGTAAGCCCATTTATTGCCCTGGGCCGAAACAATCCCGTTATTAACAGGCGTCGATTATGCGCTTCGTTAGGAAATGAAACTACAGATAAAAAAGCCCTACACCTGATGCCGAAACGCCGCATTAAAATAATCGATATGTGGAAGGGCTATCTGCCATTCGGAACGTGAACGAAACGTTTTATGTAAAATAGAAAAGTTTCCCTAGTCCGATTCGAATATAAAACCTCTGCATGAATATTTAAAAGAATCCTTTAAAGAGCGTTCCGCTGAGATTATTGTAAACACGTGTAAGACCAATATAAATTTCCTGTATATTTCTATCGATTTCAAAGTATGATAAGTAAGCTATAAATTCCCAGTTTAATTAAGTACTAACGCTGTATACACAATTTTAAGCTCTTATTAAATTCGAAACATAAAAATAGAGCTTTAACGGTGTTATATACAGTGTTGATTTAATACGATGTACAACAAAAACACTGTTTAATGAAGTAATAATATTAGTATGGTTACGATCCTCCAGTTTATTATCTATTATACCATATTTTATAGTTCATTACTGGAATAATTAAAGTAGTAAAATTCTAGAGCCCGTTTTAAATCGAAACATAAAGTATTCAGAACGTTACCTTTCGCACGAAATGATTAAATACAAACCGTAAAAACAAAATAATCCTAAAAGGTCAATTCTTTTATGAAACCGGCGCTTTATTGCCGCTTATATGGATAATTTCGCTTCGGATAATCAAGCTAATTCCGATTGCTATTTGTTATTTGTATCGCCCTCGAAATGCATACAGGCTATTATTTTTTAAAGTTTTCTGAACAATATATTACAAGTATTTCATGCGAAATCGCGAGCGCGGCCAATTAATGGCACACTCGAAAATCGTTA